CTCCGCCGCCGGCCCTGCATCCACCATGCTGCCTGTAGAGCCGGAAGTGCTCGAGGCCCTCCCCAAGCGGTCGCCCTGTGCCGTACGGGTGTGGCTTTGGCCCCCAGTTCCTGCCCTCCCGTACGGAGTAAGACGTCAGCATCGGCGGCAGCCGACACGCCGCGACGACGGCATCAGCGGCGGCGGCGCCCGTCGGCGTTGCGAAGGCGCTGAAGCGTCCGAGTCGCGGTACCGCCGCCGCCGCCGCCATGGATGCCGGCGCAGCAGGCGGCAGTGGCCCCGCCGCCGCCAGTGCACCGCTGGAGAGGTCTTCTGGCAGCCGAGTCATGTCGCCCTTTTGCTTGAGCTTCGGAGGCTGCTGCTCGGGCTGCTGCTGCTGGGGTTGCCACCGCGGCCGGAAGCTGGAATGCAGGCGAGGTGCAGGCGGCAAACGTCCCGTCGGAGCCACAGCTGCTACCTGCCGAGGTACAACCGCAGCCGCCGTCGGGGCCTCCACTCTAGCCACCCCTGGTGGCGCCTTCGACGCCGCCTCTGACAAGGCTGTGACTGGTCGACCTCCTGGACTAGGGTGCCGTACATTGGCCGAAGGATCGCCGCCGCCGCCGCCGCCGCCACTGCTGCTGGCGCCGCTGGTTTGGCGTATGGGGGAGTGTCCAGCGGCAGGCGTTCGTACCCCAGAATGCTGACTCTGCGGCCTGGGAATCATGCGGAGCGGTAAGGGTGCCGTAAGTATGCATGCAATTCCTAAGACTGAAGGGAAACGACCCGGGAATGACTGGTTACTGGTCGCTTACATACCGGTGCTTGGCCTCCATCTCTACTTTAGTTCGCATTTCAGGCTTACCGAGGCGTGCAGTAGGGTTGCGAGTGCGAGGTAGTCAGGTAGGCGGGGGGAGGCAGCGACCGAACCGCTGCCAGCGATCGAGGCACGTAATCCCTGGCCCCGGCCCCGGCCACGTTGCCGATAGTGGTCTGAACCTGAATGCCGCCGCCGCACACTGACGTTGCGCAAAACGACCTGGAACGCTGGGGCATCCCTCTGCTTCCCAACGGCGGCGCGTTGGAACGGGAGTTATGCCCTGTTGTTGCTTGTTGAGTGTGCGAAGTGGTGTGGAGCTGCCGATGGAGCTGAGGAGGCGGAGGGGCAGAAGGGACGGAGGTGGAGGTGGCGGAGGCTGCAGCTGCATCCTGGGCTGCTGGCTGACACGGAGCTGCGGGGTGATCATCCCCTGGTGACAGCAGCTGGTGGTGCGGGTGCAGCTGCTGCTGCAGCTGCTGCTGGTTTTCGATGGACGGTTGCGTTCTGTGACGATGACGCAGGGGAGGCGGTTGGCGGTGGGATGCGCGCAGGTGCGACGAGAGCGGCGATGACGGCGCCAGGGAGTGCGGCTCAGCGTCTTGGGGAGGCTGCTGGCACCGCCGCCGCCACCGCTGCTGCTGCACCTCCGTGCTGTCACCGCCACCTCCCTCCTGCGCCTCACGCTCCTCCTCCTGCCACGGCCGCAGCCGCTGCGACGAATCCTGTCGCTGCCGCCCCCAACTGCATGCACCAGCGACAGCCCCCCGCCCTGTCGCTGCAATCGCCGCAATCGCATTCTCTGCTGCCGCTGCGGCCTCCGGTCCCTCCGTCCCTGCACCAAGCCGCAGCTCCATCCGCGGGCCAAGTGCGACCTCCGCCTGTTGCGGTGGTGACAGGGGCGAAGAGGATGGCAAAGATTGTGGCGGCTGCTTTGATTGCGATGACAGCTTTGGTTGCAATGGCTGCTGCTGCTTTGGTGGTGATGGCTGCGAGGGCAGCAATTGCTGCCGGGGTGTGGGGTGGTGCAGCTCCGCCGGCAGCACCTGTCGCAGCCGCTGCAGCACACCCAGCACCGACCCCACGGGACTCAGCGCACTTCTGAGGCTGAGGCGGGGGCTGAGGCTGAGGCGGGGGCTGAGGATGAGGCGGAGGCGGGGAACTGCCTGGGAGCCCGCAGCAGCTGTGGCAGCAGCAGCGGCAGTAGCGGCGCTAGCACTGGTACCAGCACTGGTAGCAGCAGCAGCAGCAGACGGTCTGGGTTTGGGTTTGGGCGGCATTCGTGTGGGCTGTTGCGTGTAGAGCTCCCGCCAGACGTTGAAGCTGTCGCCTGATGAGGTAGGCGTGTTGCACATGCGTAGCACATGCGACGCGAGCAGAGAGTTTCAGGAAGAAGCCGTTATATAGACACCGTGGGCAAGACAAGGGTGAATTGTGCACACCAAGGTAGTAGATGGGTACGGAACCCGCATCGTACTGCGCTGTATGCTGCGCTGTATGCTGGGATAGCGCACAGGAACCCAGGAGCACCCAGGAGCAGGAACCTAGAAACCCAGAAACGTGCGTGTGTGCCATGCTCCCGCCGCCCCCGCTTGCCACCTACCTTTGCGCAGGTAGTGCTGGCGGATGATTGCAAACTGGCGGAAGTGCCAGGAGAGCAGCCAGCAGGCCCACCATAGGTAGGCCCACATGAGGAGGAAGTGAAGCCTGGATGGGGGGGGGGGAAATAAGGCATGTATGGCATGTATGGCATGTACAGGTGGTTGCCGTAACCGAAGTAGGTTTATAGTAGGATGGATGCAACATGGAACATGGAGGTCAGGCAAGGGAAACGGAAACGAGGCTGCCCGATAACGAAGTGGGTTGCAGGCCAGGGGTCAACAACCGCCGCCAGCATGTCAGGAGGAGGACACCTCTGCCCTCGCCACAACGGGATCCATGCCCTCACCACATCCAGCGGGATCCGTACGGTAGGTTTCCGAGGCTAAGCGTCCACAGCAGGCCTCTGCGGTGGTTGCTTGGCGGCTGTGACCCATGGGTCGGCTCGGCTGCTGCTGCTGTTGACGAGGCAACCGCACTTGTCGCTGATGCTGCTAATGATGTTTGGTGGTTGGACGCCATGCGGTGCACGGGAATCACTGCGCGGGGGGTGTTCCGAGGGAGGTTGAGGGTGGAGCCGAAAGGACCGGTAACAGTTGACCCTGGTAACGGCAACCATGGACCTTGGTAACCGCTGCTACTCGTACTAACGGTACGAAGGTACAAGTACTACTACTCACACACGGTCAGGCCCAGCAGGCAGGGAGGCGCCAGCAGCTGCATGCCCAGGGCGCATGCCTGCGGGGGCAGAGGTAGCGCGAGGAGGAGGTGTATGTTGGGTGCGGGCGGGCGGTGAGAGGGGCCGGTAGCATACCTGGAAGGTCGGTTGGGGAAGGGAAGCAGCAGACGGCAAGACACGTCCTAGTTCTTTTTCCTACAGGGTTATATACAGTGTTGCCACCTGACTTCAGCCCTCAAGGCAAGGCTACTCGAACAGCTGTGCCGGAGATTGATACGGAGGCAGCAGGTGGTTAAAAAGTGCGGCGCCGGGCGAGGGAGCGCGGGTGGGAGGGGCGCCGGGCGGAGCGGCAATGTCACGCGCCCTCACGCCCCCCCTCCACCCACCCACCTTCACCATCACCAGCGCATCTAGCCCCGCGGACTGCAGCAGCAGCAGGTCGGAGGCGGTGGCGGACTGCACCGCCCAGTCCCTGGGAGGCAGTTGGGGGAGGCAGGGGGGAGGAAGGAGGATGGAGGGACGATTGATAATACGGTAGTCTTGACATACCGTGATGGTGGGAGAGAGGGAGGATAAGGGGACGGAGGGGAAGGGAGAGGGCGGCAGCGGTTTGGTAGGGGCAATGGAGGTATTGGCAGCAGCGGCTTCAAGAGGAGGGCGGTTTGGCAGCCCCTAGCCATTGTTCGTACAACATATTGCCGTACAAGTACGTCCCCCGGCACTGCCGTACCAGTAGGACCTGAAGCCGGTGGTTGCCAGCGGGGGCGGCTTGGTGCTGACGGCGGGACATGTCTGGGGAAATACACCGCCCAGGGACGTGCGGGAGCCACGGGTGAGCATTAACGGGTCGTGAGATGGGCGGAGAGGACGAGGTAGCACCCGGCGGGGCGGAAGAGCGGGACAAGTCCCATGGCATCCCACGGGGCGCTGGATTCCGCCACAGGCCCCTCCGCTGCCCTCCCCCCCACCCACCAGTCGGTACCGGTAGAGGGCGCAGCGGCGCTGCAGGCAGCAGAAGGCCGCCAGCAGCAGCGACCCCGCAACCAGGTTCACCCACAACCTGGAGGGGGGGCAGGGCAGGAGGGAGGAAGGCAAGAGGAGGAGCTGAGGAGGGGTGCAGACACTGCGCCGCCGTATACACCGTGCGTATGAGCAGCACCTGCACCTGCACCTGCACCTGCCTGGTAGCTGGCGCCCTAGCTACGTGCATGATAGTGCAACTATAGCCAAGGCCAGAGCATGTAGGATAGGGTAATCCTGACAGTTAGGCACGGGTAAGCCGGTGAGAGTCCGGTTTTGGCGCCAGCGGCGGATTCTGCTGCTGCGGTAGCTGCAGCCGTAGGAACCCCCCCATGACTGCATGCGGCCACCCACCCACCCCGCTAGCACGCCGCTGTCTGAGACCAGGTTGCTGTCGCCGCCGCCCAGTATCTTGCTGGCCGCCTCGCTAGCGGAGGAGGCAGGCGAATGAGACATTACCTCCTTAGCTAGCTAGCTAGTTAGCTAGCTTGCTTGCCCAATGTCCTTGCCCAATGTGCGGAGTGCTGAGGTGTTCAGCGTCTGAGTTATTAGGTTCGGAAACGGGACAGCTCCGCTCCGCTGCTGCAGTCCTCGGTCACAAGCGGCTATCTTGCAAAGCCAACTCGACCTAAGGCCTAACTTGGATGCAGGTAAAGAATTTCTTTACTTGCGCGCGCCATCGGAGCGGGAAAGTGACCGCGCGAAAATAACTAGTACTTAAGGAAAGTTGCTCTACGATAGGCTGGGGCACGAACCAGCGTTTCGCCCGTGTTTTGAGTTTAGCATGCCAATAGCAAGGGGAGTGGCTGCCCCAGCTTAGGTAACGATAGCCAGTAACGACAGCGTGCGACCTCTGGGTCAGTGATCCGGTGAGGACGAGGCAGCAACTGCGTACAACAATCCGTCCCTAACTACCCTTTAAGCTTATTACCGGTATTGTGGGAGACCATAGCTCCTTTTACATGCCAACATTTTGGCGCGCGCCGCCATGCAACCCACATCTTTGGATGAACCAGCGAAAGCGCTCCTAGAAACTCGCAACATCGATCACTTGCTAGCATGAAGCACACAAAATTGCAAGCTCACGACGTGTGATTGAAGCAAAGCCGTCGCCGGCGTTTCCCAACGAAAACAAGCACACCCACAGCCCTTTCAGCCTCCATCCCAGCGCGCTTCAACGTTACTGCTTTGCACGTCTTGGGTCTCGGTAAGAGGTCAGGCCTCCGCGCACTCTTTCATGTCCAGCACGGTCTATCACTAACACCGTTAATAAAGCTGCCGTTTGACAAAAGGACGAAGACCAAGCATGCCGGCCGAGTTCCCTCGCCGGGATGGTGTAAAAGTGTTTCCAGGCAGGATTATTCCTCCACAAAGAGAGGTGCATTTTGCGACTTTCCAAAAGACCGCAACAGGAAAGCCCGTCAGCTGCCATCCAGCATCTTACCTCTTTACTGCCTTCTCACCCCTTTCCCTTCTGGCCCTTCAACGCAACGCGCTACTGCGCTCCGTACACACCCTCCTCCACAACCACTCTGGCTCCTGCCCACCGCTTCCTCCCGACCCGATTACTCCACTCTCGCCTCTTGCCGCAGGCCCTGATGCCATCTCCTCCTCCTGCCACTCCCATCCTTCAACCACCTAAACCACCCCCTTTCCCACATCACCACTCCTTACCCCGCCCACCATCCTCTTCCCCTCACCACCAGTTTGTCAGTGTTTCTTTATTTTTACCACTCCCCATACTCCGCCTTGCTTAGCCCCCTACTTTGCCTTGCGCGGCACCACCGCGCCCCCCGCAGCCAGCGCCGCCGCCATACCCGCGTCCCGCCGCCCCCCCGCCGCCAGCAGCCCGCCCGTCATCTCCGCCCCCCGCGTCAGCACCCGCGCCACCTCCTCCCGGCTCAGCGGCCGACCCAGCTCCGCCTCCTTGAGCTGCAGAGCCGCCTGCGCCACATCGCCCGACATGTACTGGGGGGAGAAGGGGGGGAGAAGGGGGGGCACAGGAAGGCGGCCGAGAGGAGGGGGGTGGTGTAAGGGGCGCGAAACGGGGTGCTCTAACGGATGTTACATAGCGATTCTGTAGCTGCCAAACTCCTCATCGGAAAATGTGCTGGATGACGGTAAACATTCACGGGAGGCGGTGCGTGCTCATCCCCCCCCCCACCCCCCCATGTGACACGCACCCCAGCAACCCCCCTCCCCGCTCCTCCCGCCCCACCCCCACCTGGCCGCTGGGCAGGTCTCCCGGGTACGTCCGGTTGCGCCCCACCCAGTTCTCCACCGGGTCCGTCCAGCCGCGGCTCTCGATGAACAGCGGGTTGTGCAGCTGCTGCTCCATGTCGGCGAACCACTTGAGGCCGCCGAAGGAGGAGAGGTAGAAGTTCTTCATGCGCTGCTTGTCCCACTCCTCCACCTCCAGCCGCCGCAGCTGCGCGGCAGTCATGAGCCGCTTCTCCTCGTTGATGTCGTCTGAGGTGGGGTGAGGGGGGAAGGAGGGTTTGACGGTGTGGAGGAGGGGGGGGGGTGCGGAGGGTGAGGAGGAGGGGGGGTTGCGGAGGGCGGAGGGCGCCCCCATGACCCAGCTACTCCTTCCCTTGCCGTGGCCGCTGCGGCCGCCCCTGTCCTCTCCCCTAGTAGTCCGACTAGCTGCCCCGCCAGGCATTCCCGTTGCCCTGTCTCCCATGCCATAGCACCAGCCAGCATCCCCACCGACCCATGGGTCCACCTCATGCCGACCGCCAATGCCGTTTCCCACCCCCCCTTCCTGCGTCCTCCCTACCCAAAATCCCGCCAGGGCCCACCTACCCGTACACAGCCCATGGCGCACGCACCCCAACCCACCGTCCCTACGCCACCCCAACCCACTCCCTCCATGCCTCTCCACCCTCCCCTCCCCACGCCCCACCCCCCCTACCCACCCGTGATCAGCCCCTCCTGCACATCCTGGCAGGCCTTATCCATGTCCGCCTGCATCTGCTGCTGCCAGTCCGGCCCCAGCAGCGCCGAGTAGTACTCCTGCTCCGCCTGCTGTGGCGGCAGGCGCGACAGCCGGGCGTCCAGGCTGCGGCTGTTGTCAAGCGTGCGGAGGGCGCGGTGAAGCACGAAGCCTGGAGTGGGGGGAGGAGTATGGGAGGGGAGTGGGGGGGGAGGTAGGGGAGGGTGATGTGTTTAGGGTTAGGAGAGGGAAGGGGAGGCCGGGAAGCGCGGGGGAGTGGAGAGGGTGCAAGAATACCAGGTGAAAGGGGGGACCGCTTCGCAGGTCGTGTGGTGAGGCTTCGGTCACCTGGCTGGCGCTCTTCCAACCCAGGCAGCTGGAACGCATCTTGGCTTAGCCCATGGCCTGACTTCTAAAAGCGCATACCCCCCATTGCATGTAGGGTCACACGGCGTATAGCCATTATTGTGTACTACGTAATCAGGACGTGCCCTCGCAGTCGTGCGCCCGCCCGGCTGCGTGTCAAGCCCCGCGGACCTCCCAGCCCTTCCATGCCCTCTCTCCCTTCATTAGCCTCCTCAGCTGCAGCTCCCTTTTCCAGACCCCGCCACCTTATCACCAAGCTTGCTGTCCTTCCCTCACCCACAGCCAAGCACCTCCCCAGCTTCCACCTATCACAGGCGCCACCCAAGAGCGCGTGCCTACCTCACACCTGTCCCCCTCTTCCCTCCCTGCTGCCTGCTGCCCCCCTCCCTCCCCTCGCCCTCCCCTCCCCTTCCCGGCCCCACCTATGACCAGCGGCCGCGCCGCCCGCACCGCCAGCTTGGCCGCCGCCCGGGAGCCGTCCAGCGCCACATCCTCCAGCCGCCACCACAGCTGCTGCGCGCGACCCAGCCGCTTAGTGACCTGGGAAGTGAGAGGAAGAAGGAGAGAGGGGGGTGGGGTAAACCCCTATGTGTTGGGAGGTGGTGTGGGCACACGGGATGCAGGCGGGCAGCAGCCGGTGCCTTCACTGTCTGGGGACGGCGCCGGCGTCATGCGGTCTGCTGCTGCTGCTGAACTGGTTAACCTGCTCTGCTGCCCAGAACCCGGGCCATGCTCCCCGCGTCACGCTTCACTCCCCAGGTGCTGCACTGGGTCCTCACCTGCCGCAACGCCGCGCGGGGCACCCCCAGGACCCCGCCTATGAGCATGCCGCCGCGCTGCAGCAGGTTGGGGCGTGGAGGGGACAGCCCTGGGGGAGGAGGACGAGGGTGGAAGGGAACACGGGAGGGAGGGGACGGAGGGAATTAGAGGGGGGAAGGGGCTGGTCATCTTGCACCTGGTGTGGATGCTTTCCACCGTCCCCCAAAGCCCTGCGGTTGGGTCAGTCGTGCGCAGGGCGGCACTCACCCGCCACCCGGACCAGCTGTGCGATGATGGCCTGCACCACGTCAAAGGGGTCCATGGGCGTCTCCGTAAGCTCCTTGTCGGCTGAGGCGGCATCCAGAGCCGGAACCAAGTCGTCAGCTACGTTTTGAAACCAGCTGTTGTAGCGGCGCTCGAGACGTGCGCGCTTTATGATGGACGAGACATCCTTAACCAGCGCTTCATCGCTGAATTGCAGCTCCGTTGCGCCCTCCTCCTCGTCTGTAACAGCGACCTCTGCTACGGACGCCAGCTCCTCAGGCAGTTTGGCTGTGCCGAGCTGCATGCATGCAAGCAAATGCGCATTTCAACGACCGCGTTGGTGGTAGCTTGACGCCACCCGCCATAAACAAAGCTGTAAGTAGGAAACCCTACCAAGAGGCCTGCGATATCGAGCTGGCCCCGCAGCTTGTCGAGGTCGACTTGGCTGTCCGCTCCCGCAGAGTCGAAGCCAATCGACAGCGTGGGCGCTCCATCCTGTCCAATTGCACAAAGTTTACATGACGACGGGGTTTGATCGCTGGCTGTGCGGCTAATTGGATCAGGAATCCCACCTCGGCGGCGTCCTCTGCCTCAACAGCCTCGACGTGTCTAAATTGCGGCAGCCCAAGCACCGAATCAATGACTTCCGAAATCAAGTTCGCGAAGGAGCGAAGGACCCCCTGCTGGGCCTCATCCTCGACACCCTGAATGCGCAACCACGAGCATGAGTTCCGCAACCGAGCCACTGCGCCGGAGTCTCTTAAGCCGCTTAACGTACCGAGGCTAACCCTTCGCCTCCATCGTTCCAAAGCACTATGCGGATTGGTGAAGGCCCTGACATGGCAGCAACCGGTTCTAGCGTACTGGCATCCACACTAATTGTCAACTGAAGCTGTACATACGTTCTGGCCTAACCTATCCTACAATTCGGCTAGGCGAACGCCGTCGAAAGCCTGAACGCACGCGGAATGACCCACGGCAATCCGGGTCCGTCGTGCATTTTCGTCAAAAGACGTTGGACGTAGACTACAAACATTACAAACAAACCGTACACGCTCCTCTAACCCCTCGAAAATAGATCTGAGGAACCTTCCAGCTGCCTAGCTTGTTGCTTGGCTTCCCCCAGACCCTAGACGCGTCATGTACAAGCCTTCGCCTGTATGCAATAGCGCTTCTGACAAATAGCAGGATAGTAGAACAAAAAGGCGGGGAAAGCGACGAGTAGGGCCCCTTGCTGGGACCAGTTGGAGGATGGGCAACTTGGCATCTACTCCCCTTCACAAGGCGGCCAACGACAAGGACCTGTCAAAGCTAAGATGGGAAGTGCAACAGCATCCAACGCTCGTGAACTCCGCCGAACCAACCGTAAGTCTCCGTGGGTCGGTCCAGACCCCATGGTTCCCAATTGTCCTAAAGAGCTCCCGCATAGCAAACAGGCAGTCCATCCCTACCACTATCACCACTATCGCATGTCGGCGTCATCCTTTTACCCTTTTCCCTTCCGCCGCTGCAACTGCCCTATGAGCTATGACCTCCCAGCCTGAGCCCTCCCTCTCCCGTCCGCATCACGCTAGTGCCTTCATGCACGCTGCGTAGAGGGCCGGGTTCCGCTATTTCCCTACGTTACCAGACTCCCTCACAAAACAACAAGAACAGTTAGCAGCAATTGCTAGACCCTTTGGATTGCTCCAAAACTGACTAACTCCGTCCCGCGTTCCCACAACACCCCTCTCCTCTCCCGTCTCCCTCCAGATGAGCTGGACCCCACTGCATGTGGCAGCTAACAACGGGGCTGCCGTCATCGTACGGGAGCTGCTGGCGCGCGGAGCCCGACATGACGTTGCTGACAAGGTGAGAGCTGAGGGGGGCGCAGATGGCTTGTACCGGCCATCTCACCTCACTGCCTGCTGGCTCCTAATACCTGTATCCTGCCTGGCACACCGCAACCAACGGGGACAACGTGACGCTGGTGAAGTCTCCGTCGGAAACACATCCATTGGTTTTCGGTTAGTGCCAGTTTTGCGAGCAGTTGATGCAGCACCCACTGGGTTCAGTGTTCTGCTCGCGGCCTACCGGCCTAACACGCAGCTCAGCACTCTCGCCCCCTCCCATTCCAACTTGTACTCCTCTCCTGCCCACCACTCCTCTCCCCTGCTCAACCCACCTGCCCTCTCTCCATTGTGGTCTTCCTCCCCTCCCCTCCCCTCCCCCCACCCCCGCCAGGACGGCCGCACCCCCCTGCACCTGGCGGCCCACGGGGGCCACTCGGAGGCGGTGCGGGACCTGCTGCGTGCGGGGGCTGCGGCGTCCGCCAGGGATAAGGTACGGCATGCGGCCGAGCAACCGGAATTGGGTACTGGAGTTGGGGAGATACGGGAGTCAAGACGAAGAGGCAGGAGCATTTCTGGCATGGTTAGGAGCTTAGGACTGGTGGTGTGGTTCATGCACACCTAGCCGGACGTGCCTGTCCACCGGCGCACTCATGTCGCCAGACTGCAAAACAGCCCTCCGCTGGCGCACCCTATGTTGTCGCCCCCCTTCAACTCACAGTCCGGGGCTTCGCCGTACGACTACGCGGTAAAGGAACGACACTCAACCGTCGCTGCGCTGCTAGGCGGCCCGCCGCCGCCAGCGCCGCTTCCGCCGTCGCAGCAGCAGCTGCCGTACCAGGGCCCAATGCCGCCGGTGGACCTGACGTCGGCGGCCCCCGCCGCACAGCTGCTGCCGCCGCTGCCGCCGCCGGCTGCACCCATGTCGACGGGTCTCGGCGGTGTCGTCATTCCCAAGGTACATCATGATCGTACACCGCAGGGCGTGCTACTGCCGCCGCCGCCGGCGACGCCTGGGCCGCTGCCGGCGTCGTCGTACCCGGCGGGACCGACAACTGCCGCCGCCGGCGGCGGCGGTTATGGCGGTTTCTATGAGTCTCCCAGTGCGCCTCCGGCCCCGTACGACACGGGTGCGTGCGGCTATGGCGGCGCTGCGCAACAGCAGCAGCAGCAGCCGTACAATACGCCGGCTTATGTGCCGTACCCTGCCGTCCCTGGAAGGCAACAGCCAGCGGCGACGGCGGCGCCTCCCCCAGTTGGAGGCGCCGCATGGCCGGGTGGCGGTGGCGGCGTCGCCGCCGTACAAAACCAGCCGTACGCCCCTCCACCGCTGCCGACGCCAGCGCAGCAGCCCCAACGAGGCGGCTCCGCTGGCAGTGGCAGTGGCGGCGGCAAGGCTGCAGACCTGGACTGGGCCCCCACCGCCCGAACCGACTGGGGTGATGAAGCAGGTAAGCTCGTTCGTGTGTGGCAAGGCCTGCGTAACATCTGGAGGCCCTTTGTAACACGTAAACAGGTTTGTGGCCTCTTTCCACGGAGCAGAAGCTAGCAGAAGTCATGCCGAGAAAAGGAGCCGCAGCTCTTCCTGCTCAGTCTCTGTTGCCGAATCCCGTCCATGCCTGCATGCCTGCTCAACTTCCTCTCCTCCTTTCTGCCCCCGCTCCTCCTCTTCCTCCGCAGACCAGCCCCCGCCCCCGCCGCCTTCCTCCTCCTCCGCTCCCGCCTCCCGACCCGCCAACTGGAACCCCATCCAGAGCGCCCGCTACCAGCTGGAACGCCTCCTGGGGGCCGGCCTAGCGCAGCTGGGCCTCTCAGGCTCCCCCGGCTCCTCCTCCGCCGCCGCCGCCGCCGCTGCTGCCTCCCCTTCCATGGGCGGCGCCAGCACCCTCAGCAGCAGCAGCAGCAGCAGCAGCGGGCGGGTGTACAGCTACCAGCAGCTGTACGCGGCGACGGGCGGGTTCAGCGCGGGCAGCAAGCTGGGCGAGGGCGGGTACGGGCCGGTGTACCGGGGGACGCTGGACGGCATTCCGGTGGCGGTCAAGGTGATGGACTGCGGGGAGGGAGCCATGCAGGTGAGGCGGGGGGGGGGAGGGAAGGGGAGAGAGGGAGGGGGGGGGGAGGGGCCTGGGGTGGAGGGTGTTAAGGTTCTGTTGAGGGAGGAAGGAGGCCGGTCGCGGTGGTGTTGGAAGCACTAAACGCATGCGGCTCGATACCGGTGTTGACGCTATCTTTCAGGTCCTTCACTGCCTCTGCGTAAGGAAACTCCATCCGGAGCTACCGTCTTGTAATGCCTTCTCCAAAGTAACGCCCCCTTTGGTCGTTCCTCCTGGCCTGGACCCTCCTGGTGACCCAAGGGTCGGTCCGAGTTCGAGGCTGAGGTCCGCATCCTCTCCGCGCTGCACCACCCGCACGTCGTGCTGCTGATCGGCAGCTGCCCCGAAAAGGTGGGGGGTTACAGCGCCTGCATGGAGCATGGGGCATCTCTCGGGCACCTGCTCCATGGCCTGCTGTGAACGGCCCCGCTGACACCACCATTTCCTACCCCGCCAGGAGCTCCTCGGCTTGTATGCCATTTGCATTCAACGCAGTGTGTATCCTTCTTTCCCCCCCAGGGCATGCTGGTGTACGAGCTGATGTCGCGAGGCAGCCTGGCGGAGCACCTCTTCTCCCAGCAGCACCAGCACCAGCAGCAGCAGCAGGCAGCGGGCAGGGCCTGGCCTTGGAGGGCAGGCGGGAGGGGGTCAAGCGAGGGAGGGGGGCAGCAGCAGCAGCAGCAGCAGCACCCGCAGCGGCAGCAGCAGGCTGCAGTGCACCTGGACTGGCGGGACAGGGTGCGCATCAGCGCGGAGGTGGCCTCGGCGCTGCTGTTCCTGCACTCCGCGCCCACACCCATCGTGCACATGTGAGTGGAGGGGGAGCGCCGGTGGGCGGGTGTGACCCGTGGGTCTGTGTGTGGCGGGGTGGTTACGTGAGCGGCGGGCAGCAGCTCGCGCACTTTGCATTGTGTGCAAAGTACATATATATGGCTGGCGGTGCTTCTAAATTACTATATACCTTTGGTAAGAAGCGTAACCTTGACTTCCCTTCCACGCCTTACTACCATTGCATACTACCATTACAACGCCGTGGCTCTCCCTACCTCCTGCAATCCCCCCCATGCTCCCCCAGGGACCTGAAGCCCGCCAACATCCTGCTGGACGAGCACCTGACCGCCAAGCTGGGCGATGTGGGGCTGGCCCGCCTGGCGCCCACCCTGGCCGCACCCGCGGGGCCGGCGGCGGCGGCAGCGGCGGAGCGGGGGCAGGGCCGGCCGCCTGGGCGCTCGACAGTGCAGGTGGGGGAGGGGGGATTGCCTTTGATTTGTAGCTGCCCCGTCCCCACCTTTCCGGCTATGCCAACGTTCCTCCCTTGCCATACCTTTACGCATTGCTGGCTGCCCTTTTTCTGTGTTGTTGTGTTTTGTTCCCGACGTGTACCCGCCTCCCACCGGCCTGCCCCCCAATGAGCAACCCATGGTGAAGCCCCGTCATACAGTTCGTCAGTTCCTTTATGTTTACCCTCCCCGCCCCCCCCTCCCGCCAGGATGACCGGCTGGTGGGCACCTGGGAGTACATGGACCCCGAGTACCTGCGTAGTGGCGAGTTCTCGGCGCGCAGCGACGTGTACGCGCTGGGGGTGGTGCTGCTGCAGCTGCTGACGGGGCGGCAGGGGGCGCAGGTAGTCGGGGTGGGGGGATGGCGGGGGACGCAGTGCAGGGGTGGCCAGTCCTGCGCGTGCCGAAACATGGGTTGTGATGATGAAAACGCGTTACAGGGCTGCTGTGTTCCCCATCCCCGTTCATCCAACCGCTGCGTGTGTCTCGCCCCAGGTGATCTCCCAGGTGGAGTCCGCCCGCCAGCAGCCGCTGAGTTTCGTGGAGGCGTGCATTGACCCACGGGTCGGCTCCTGGCCGGCGGCGGAGGCGATGGCGTTCGCGGACCTGGCTCTGCGCTGTGTGGAGTACCGCCGCCAGGACCGACCCGACCTCAGGTGGGGGGAGGGGGAGGGTGGAAAGGAGTATAGAGGGTAGAAGGGGTGGGAGGGTGGAGATGAAAGTGCATGCGGGTTATGGGGAGCAGCGACGGCGTGTCATGGGCGCTGTGGCTTGGAGTGGGGGGGGCTTGCGAAGTGAAGCGTCACAGATGTGCGAAGGCATGGTGGTGGTAACACGAACCGTTACAGCAGGTCGGGGTTCTGATTGCGAGTTTATGACTTTGTACCTGCAGCACCCTGACACCCCCGTACACCATCCGTACGTTCGTACACCATTCCTTACACACAGGAACGAGATCCTGCCCACCCTGCTACAGCTGCGGCAGCGCACCACCCTGTACGATCCACTTCCGCAGCAACCACCACTTGCACAGCGGCAGCAGCAGCCGCAGTGGCAGCAGCAGCAGCAGCCAGGGGCGCTGGCAAATGCGGGTGGGGAGGCGGTACCGCCCATGTTCGTGTGCCCCATCACACAGGTGGGTTCGGGTAGCGGAAAGAGTCAGAGGTACGATAAAGAGGAAAAAGAGTCGGACAGGGTCCCGTTGCGGGGGAGGAGGTTATGGCCACGACGTGCGCTGATACGGGCTCGCATGGGCGGTAGTCCGGCAGTCGCACGGCTTTGTCGCCTGTTGCCCCCGTGCGCTCTTTTCGAACACCGACCCCACTACCGCTCTGCCCGCTCCACCCTCTCAGTTTCCTTAACACACCCTCTCTGCTCACCCGCGCACACCCGCACCCACGCACCCCGCCCAGGATGTGATGGACGACCCGGTGGTTGCTGCGGACGGCTACACGTACGAGCGGCTGGCAATCACGGAGTGGCTGGCCCGCTGCCCCACCAGCCCGCTCACCAACATGCGCCTGCCGCACACGCAGCTCACAGAAAACCTGGTGCTGCGCAGCGCCATACGGGAGTGGTGGGAGCAGCAGGCGCGGGGGGGCAGGCAGGGGCAGGGGCGAGGGGGCAGGCAGGGGCAAGGGGGGCAGCAGGGGGGAAGGGCGGCGGTGGTTGATACGGGTGGTTGGTAGAGGGGTGGTGTGGTGGTGGTGTTGACACGGGTAGTTGGTAGAAGGGTGGTGTAGTGAGAGGAAGATGCGTGGGGATGGAACGGGTGATGCAGTTGCATGCATGTGAGGATGCAGGAGGGCGCGTGGGTGCATGCGCAGATTACGGAGGAAACCTGGGGGGGATGAGGAGCGCTGCACGCGAGTGTGTTGAGAGCGGCAGGAGGGAGCGCGAGGGGCTAGGGGCAGCAGGGCAGGCCGGCGCCACCGCCTGACATGGCAGTTAGCACGTCGGAAGCAGCCGGCATACAGGGGGAGCAGCACGGATGAGCGGCAACAGCAGAGATAGGGAACAGCGGCAGCAGCAGCATAAGGGGTGCGGCGGAAGGTGGAGGGCGCCTGACAGGGGCGGGCGGTAGTGTGGTGTGAACAGGACGAGGCCGGGCAAATGACGCTTCGCTTTTTTGTCGATGTTGTTATGTGTGTCAAAGGTGGAATGTTGCTGTTGGCAGGTGGCGGGTAGACAGTAATGTTCGTGGTTGATGAGGCCATTTGTATGGGAGCTGGGCTGTGGCGGTGCTGGAAAAAGTGGCAAGGAAGCATGGAGCCGAACAGCCTGGGGTGAATGTGCATCTTGTTGAGTAGGATTAACCGTGCAGCCCACGTTGCCCTCACATGACGTACACGCGGTGTGCCGTACAGGGACCGCACGTGTCATTGGGTGCAGTGTACAATTTGACGCATAGCTTATGTCGCACCGTTTGTATTGTATGTTGGTTAGCAAGAGGAGTTGGCAGAAAGGGCTGATGCGGAGAAGAGGATGCGGGGCCTTCGCTTATGCAGGTTAGCATTTCGTAAGACTGGTTGCGAAGCTGGGGGGCGTGCATTGCCTTCCGAAGGGGGACTGGAGAACACGGCATGTACGGCGGGTATGGTGTGACTGCGGAAGGTTAAGTGCTGACGCACGGACCCGTTTGCACGGAAGGGACTATTGCAAATCTTTCCATTAGAGACTCGTGGTCGTGCCTTTGATGTAGGCAAAAGAACGTGCCGCCTTACCTGGAAGCCTATGCACCGACAGATTGCGGCCAAAGGGTATGCTGATCAGATGAACAGATGTGCGAACGGGATCAACCTGCATGGCAAGCCAATGGGAACACTGAAGTTGAGAGAATGGGCCCCCCTGATACTCAGCAGCTTGGACAAAGTTGAGGAAAATGCAAAACGCGGCAATGTTTGCCATCTTCAGACTAGAAAACAGCATATTTGAGTTGGCCTATGAAGCCTAGAAAGAGAAAAAACGCAGACTCTCAAGCAATGGAGCATCAAGTAAAAGGCGTGAACATGAACGGTCCCGGCGGGTCAGCCCCATGCTCCGAAACCAACATCGGCAACGTTTCCTGGCAAATGAGAGGCCTTACAATGCCGTTGCTTTTACAAGCACCAAAAACAGACACAAACACTTTTATTCCGCTACAAAGAACCAACAGGAATGCCAACAGACGTTGCCGCCAAGCACACGTTCAAGAGGGGCATTTTCAAAGCGTGCACCGAATAAGCCATAGCTAGCAACAGCTTATGCCTTTTCAATAACAGGAACAACGACAAGTACCGGTCGCGGGCGGCTTGCCAAGTATGACGCCTTCTGCTGCTAGCGGCTCAGGGGCCAGCGATGAAGTCCGCTTCAATGACATCGTAAAGAAGTGCGCGGCTGCCGCTAATAACCAGGGTGCTAGCAGCCTGCGGGTTTCGGAAATGCGCGAAGCAGCAGAGCTGCTGAGCCGAATAGCTGCGCGCCCACCTGCCGAGGTGAAGGGCGGAAAAGAAGGCAAAAACGGCGGTGCGGCTGCTGGCACGACCTCCTCAGCGCCGAGCACCTTTGCTAAGGAGGTCCTGCAAAACGCGGACTACTGTACTGGCTTTGTGGCACTCTACGTCACGGCCTTGCGCGAGTCGGTCCCGACTTTGAACACAAGGAACACAGCGGAAGGCGGCATCCAACCAGCTGCTGCTGCGCTACGTCGCCGTATGGTGACAGCACTTCACGACCTGGCTTGTAGCAACTCGATTGCAATCGCCGGTAGTGCGGGTAAAGCCCCTCGAAGCACTCGCAGCCGCAGCAGCTCCCTTGCCGAACGCATTGCCTTAGCGCTGGTCCGCTGCGGCACACCCGCCTGCTACTGCGCCCTGCTGCGCGAAGCAGTAAAGTCAGTGGTCGGCGCAACGACTGCTGCCGCCGCCGCCGCCTCGGCATCAACTGCTGCTGCTGCTGAGGCTTCGGAGAAGCCGCCGGGCACGTCAATGGGCAGTCGTGCAGGTCTGCTGGCTGCTTCACTGGGGCTGCTGGGGGAGGCGATAAGCTTTTTAGACGCCTTGGACGCGCTGGTCCTGTGCGGCATGACCCATGGGTCGCCAGAAACCAAGTTGAAAGCCGGGGCTGGAGGCGGTGGAGAGGCGGAGTTCACAGCCGCGGCTCAGGTTGAGTGGCCGCTCCGCAGCGGTCCCCTGCTCGACCACACGGCTCAGCTTGCCCAGCGGCTCGCAGCGTTCCCGGAGGCTCGGCAGCAGCTGGCGGCGCTGCTGCTGCGGCTGGGAGCGCTGCTGCGGAGGACGAGGACTGACCCATGGGTCATTGCGGACACCAGCGACTCCGACATCAGTAGCAGCGTGCCTGACCCGAAAGCGCCTGCCACCCCTGCCGTACAGCCCCGCCTGACGTACCTTTTATGCAGCCACGTGGTGGGCCTCAGCGCGGCTTTGGATGGACAGCAGCGCACGTACGGAATGCCGGTAAGCCAGCTTCTGTCGCCGGCAGCGGCAGAGCAGCCTGCGCCGGCAGCGGCAGCGGCGGGGGCGACTGCTGGAGCAGCACCAGGCCAGCAGGAGGGGCCGCAGCCGTCGCCGGCGTCGCCGACAGCAGCAGCGCCGGCGGTCGCAATAGCAACGGAGGAGCCTGCTGCTGCTGTCGCACCCCTTCCACTGTTCCGACCTGATGGCCGATCCATGGGTCGCCCCGTCAACCGACACCCCACTGCTGCCGCCGCCTTCGACCATGATGCATGTAGTGCCCCGGCGGGCCCGCCAGAGGTCCTGAGCGCGCAGCTGGCTCTGGGGGCACTGGCGGTGTGGACGAGGGATGTGGCGCGGGTGCCAGTGGACGTGCCCGCTCCACTTCGGTGCTCGACTGCCAGCGCTACGTACAGCACTTTGTCTGCGCTCCTTGCCTGCTTTGAGCAGACGCTCGGTGCCTTTCGCGAGTGTGACGAGCAGTGCGCGGAAATCAGAGCCGACCAAGTGCATGTAGAGGCTAGCTTGGACGAAGTGGATGCTGAGGTGGAAGCCCTCCAGCAAGACTTGCACAACAGAGGTCGGGGGGCAGCACCCATGGCCCTGCGGAGGCTCAAGGACTTGAAGCGAAGACGCCAGAGGCTCTCCGTGCGAAACAACAAGGCTTCATTGCGACTGCAGGATTTGATGAGCATGCAAACAAAGGTGCGTGCCGCAAGCAGTGCGGTACTGCAGCTCGAGGAATGGAAGGAAGCCGTACACTGCCCGCCGTACAACTCCCGCGCCACACACGAGCTGTGCATGCGGCTGCTGCGGGCGGGCCTGGCAGCTTGGGCGAGCCGGGAGCTAGCCTGCACCTCTCCGGCGGTCAGTCTCCAACCTCCATCTCAGCAGTCGCCTGCATCGGCAGCACAGCTGACACCCTCACAGCAGCAGCTGCTGCAGGTGCCGCCGCCGCCACCGCCGCAACCGCAACCCACATCACCCGCCCCTCCGCCGCCGCCCCCCTCGCAGCCGCCTGCTGCCCTGTCCGCTGCCGAGGCCCCCCTGCTGGTGGCTGCGGCGCTGCGCTGCGACCGCACGTCACTGCTGGTCGCGGCCTGGCGCTGCAAGCAGGAGCGGGAGCAGCAGCGGGGGCAAGAGCAGCAGGAAGGGCAGCAGCAGCGAGGACAAGAGCAGCAGGAGCGGGAGCAGCAGCGGGGACAAGAGCAGCACGAGGAGGAGGAACAGAAGGACGAAGGCCCCAAACAGGAGCCTGGACAGGAGCCTGCGGCCATGCATGAGCGCATGAGCCGCGCAATGCCGTTCCTCCTGCCTGCCGGCATGCAGCTGCGGCTGACAGAGTGGTGGGAGGCGCTGCTGACTGCTGCTGCTGCTGCGGCGGCGGCGGCAGCGGAAAGTGCGGAACCAGCGGCGGCGGCGGTAGCGGCGGCGGCTATGGTGCCACAGGCAGCAGGTGGCGCCGCCGTTCCGGGTACTACGTCTGTTGCGAAGCGGCCTAGCGCGGGCGGGCCACCTGCAGGTACCGGTAGCGCCCCCGCCGCCGCTGCCGCTGCCGCTGGCTCCGCGGCGGGTGCGGCTGCTGCTGCTGCGGACGCGGAGGTGCTGGACTGGGTGTGGAGCTGCCTGGGCGGGGGGAGCTGCCTGGGGGACCAATACCGATACGCAGGGTGCGGCGGCGGCAGCGACGGGTGCGGCCAGGGGGAAGGCGGCGGCGGTGGGGATGGAAGTGGCAGTGGCGGGGGCGGGGGCGGGGGCGGCAGCTGCAGCGGCGACATCGAGGGTGTGGGCGTAGCCCGTGCCTTAGGTAGGTCGGGTAATGCGGGGAAGCCTATCACTTTGGAGGGCGGCTTAGCAGCGTTTTCGAACGCTTAGGGATATTGCTTAATCGTGTTCGCCTTTCCTTGTCGGGCGAAAGAAGCGACGTATGATTCCTTGGTCGGCTTGCGCGCACTGGCTCACCCCAACGGCGGCTTCCTGTCTGCATCTGCTTGCTGACACGTCACCCCGCCTCCTTTCGTCTCCTTCGCCACGCAGCCGCAAGCACCAGTACCAGTACCACCCGCATCAAGCCCACCGCCCTCACAAAGGGAATGGAGACGCTGTCAGCCTACGCGACGTCAACCGCTGCAGCCCCTGCCTCAGCCACCGCCGCTGCCGCCGCTGTCGCAGCCGCCGGCCGTTCTTTTCCTCTCCGTCCCAGCCCTGACGTCGCCGCTGCCCTGGCGGCCGGCTGGCTGCCCACTGTACGACAGCTGTTGCAGCGGGCAACACCGCCGCCGGCGCCAGCTGCGCCACTACTGCCTAGGGACCCCTCCGACGGTGGCGGCGGCGGAGCTGCCGGCACTGCTTCAGGCACCCCGGTCCCTTCATCACCGCCCCCAACTAGGCAGGTGGCTGCCGTACATTCGTCAACGTCAACGCCGCCGCCGCCGCTCATGTGTCAGCTGGCGGCAAGCGCGATTACCCGCCCGCGTGCCGCTCCCACCATCACCTCCGCTGGCTGCCGTCACGTGCTCCGAAGCCCTGTCAACACCCCTGGCTGCCGTCACGGGTTCCAAAGCCCTGTCCACACCCCTGGCTGCGGTCACAACCCCGCCGGCAGCAGCGGCAGCAGCCCCACCAGCAGCCCCTACCTCCGCCGCTGCGACCCTCCCAGCAGTGCCCCGTGGGGCGCCGCCTGGTTCCAGATGCTCGCCTTTGCCCCGAGCGGGGACGAGGTGGGGGAGCTGGTGGGGGCAGCGGAGCGGCTGCTGAGGGGGTGCGCGGCGGCGGTGCTGGGAGGGGAGGCGGCGGAGGGGAGTGAGGAGGGAGGTGCGGGGTGGCAGGAGGAGGAGGAGGAGAAGACCCTGGAGGCGCGGCGTGCGTGGCTGGCCGGTGCGGTGGAGATGGGTGTGAGGCTGCTGGATCCACTGCCGCTCAGGTGGCTGAGGGAGGCGGCGGGAGGGGGAGAGGTACGGGTGGGAGGCGAAGGCGGAGGAGAAAGGGAGGGCGAGGAGCAGGCGCACGCGGCCCCCACTGCAGGCGCCTCCAGCAGCGATGTCGGCGACCCCCCTGCTTCCCAGCTACACCAGCTGAAGGACCGGGTGTACGACATGGCTGTACGGCTGCTGCCCGCCTTCTCAGCTGCCGTACGCCAGCTGCGTGCGCCGTACGGCGGCAAGGGCGGCGGCGATGGCATTGAGACCGGCAGCATCGAGGCTCCAGTAAGCCACTCCGCAAGCCAGGCGGCTGAGGTAGCGGCAGCAGCTGCGGCGAGGGATCAGGTGCATGGAGCGAGGGGTGGTGGCGGCAGGTGGGAGGGTCTAGTAAGTGCAGCGGTTGAGAGGGAGCGCGAGTGGGCGGCCTGGCTGCAAGCGGCGGACGCGGTGATGGAGGCTGGGGATGCGGGTTGCTGAGGTGGCGGAGGTGTGCACTAAGGGATGTTAAGGGTGTTGACGAGGAGGTTGCGGCTGAGGCTGATAGCAATAGCGTGTAGGGCGGCAACTTCTAACGGGAGAGGTGGTGATAGCGGTGTTGAGGTAAGGCTTACGCTATACGGGGGAGAGCGGGTGATGAGTGCCCGACGCAACTGCTGAAGGGGCCTTCCGCCGTTGAAATGGGAGGTGTTGTTTGAAGTGACAAGGGTTTTGGCATTACTGCCAAATGCTTGAAGCGTGTCCGTTGTTATATAGTCAGTAGATATCTCGAAGGACACTTGCTGGAGACTCCATAAAAACATCTTCGCTTCAATGACATAGAAATGTTGCAAGTAGGAGAGGTAACACATATCTCACGGTCAGCGGGTATGAAATTCAGTAACAGGATGCGTTAACGGCTTGCACTTTTTCAGACAGCAACGATGGTGCAAGTCCGCAAGGACTGTCGTCCGTACTTGATGAGGCGCATCGGTTGGTTGGACAGTCGTGAAGCCAGTCGTAAAGCCAGGAAACCTGTCATCACAGGTGTAAGTTGAGGTCCTCCTGCAGCCACTAGGCCTGCCATAGGAGTTTCCGCGCTGAGCTCGCTAGAGAACTAACCTTCTGTACTGGTCCCTACGCGATTCTCCTAGATTACTGGCAGCGCCTTCAGTTAATACACTTATCAATAGTGTCTGTCTCATGCAGCATTTGCCATGAGCAGCGATAATAGCCGGACGGTTTTGCTTCTGGCAGCTGGGGCAGCTGTGGGCGGAACCGTCGCTTTTGCAGCTGCCTTGGGGTTAACAACTTACTATGCGAGGCGCCTCGAGGAAAGCAAGGAACGAGCTGAGCGGAAGGGCCCAGGGTCCAAGTGGGTGGTCCAATTACCGCGTTAGGTCCACGTTGCTCACGCATCTGCAACTAAGAACCTTACATTGATTGCTCAGGGCCCCAGAGCAAGCTACCATACTGCAACCAGCGCAAGGCAATAATGTCTTCAAGGCCGACGTCCCTGCATGGCCATATGTAAGTCATCACAGGGAGCCGGGGCTGCTCTCCACGTGCCCCTAAAGCTCACAACTGCACTCACGAAATTGTCGCTTTGCAGGTGAACAACACCGCGCCGCAGCCGTTTGTGGCGCAGATTCCCAGTGGGCAACCCACGTACCCTCAGTTTCAACCGCAGTCGGCACCCCAACGGACCGTGCCGCTGGATTTGACTCCTGCGCAACCCCACCTTAACCCCCGTGGTCGCCAAGTCCCCAAGGCGCGTTGCCGTTCGGTAGAGCAGCCCGAGCATGCATGCTTGCTCAAAACTCAACCGCATATGCTGTATACGCGACGTCTGTTACGAGGAATGCAGCGGTGGTCACGGACCACAGCTTACACACCATACCTTTGCGGAACATCACATCTCTGTAAATCGCAGCGTCGTTCAAGGCCGTCTACCCTTCCGCCCCCGCCCAGCGTTCCCTCTTTGGCTCTCTTCCGACCATCCCTTCGCTCTTCCTCATTGTTTTACACCCACCGCATTCCCCCACCCAGGATGCGGCTGCCATGCACCACCAGCAGCTCCATCACAACCACCACAACCACCACCACGGGCCACACAACCACTACCCCCAGCACGCCAACACCCACTCGCACAACGCTGGGATGGTAGCGGGAGGTGGCGGCACCGCCCCACCGCCGCCTGAGCCCCGCCCCTCCATGGCTGACGCTCAGCTGGTGGAGGGGGAGTCCCCGCGCGCCCCGGGGAACCCCCGCCGCATGGGCGCGGGTCACGGAGGAGCCGCCGACGCGTTTGCGGTGAGCGTGAGGGATGCGGGTTGGACTGATCTGGGTCAGGGTCTGGGTCCGATCTTCCTGCCCGCCCGCCCGCCCTCCCCTCCAAACTTTCCCGTCCCCATCACCTCCCCCTTGATGCGCTCAGCGCTCTTCTGCCACCCCTTTCTTAACCCCCACCCACAGCGCGCCCTGAGCAGCGGCGGCTCCGCTGCGGCCGCCTCGGGCCCCCCGCCCGTCTCCTCCATGCGCCGCGTGGGCACCGGCCTGGCCCTCAACCTCATGGGCGGCACCTCATCAGCAGCAGCGGCGCAGGATAGGGCCCAGAAAACGGCTCTGGATCTAATGATTGCAGCCACGGGGGGCACGGGAGGCCTGGCGGGGAAGCTGGGCGTGGGGGGTGCAGGCGGCGCGAGTGGAGGCGGGCTGACGGGTTCGGGAGCGGTGGAGAAGGTGCGTGCATGGGGTGCTGGCGGGTGGTGCGGCAGTGGTCAGGTGGGGTGGGGTGGAAGAGGGTGAGATGGAGGTGATGGGGAGAGCGGGCTGGATGACTGTGCAAGTGGAGACTCAAGGAAGTGGAGTAAACGTAATTGCCTCTCACACCTTCGTCCGCAACAGCATTAGGCTCAACGATCACTCTTCCTTCAGCGTGCCCCTCTTCCCTTCTCCCCTCTTCCCCCCTTCCCCTCCCCCCCCCTTCCTCTCAGGGCTCCGACAACCACGGCGGTCTGGCCATGTGCGACGACTACAGCCGCGTGATCACCCCCGAGACCACCATGACGGACGAGGTGGAGGAGGTGTGTTCGCTGCTGGTGGAGTGCCTGGAGCTGCGGAAGCACTGGCTCTTCAAGCCGGCATGTGGGTGGGGTGCGTTGGTTGGGGAGGAGGGCTGGAGGTGGGGAGGAAGGCCGGGCAGGGTGAGGCGGTGTAGGAAGACAAAAGGAAGGGGAAGCAATGGCTGTTAAAGGCGGCATGTGGGTTACAGTCGGCGTGTTACGAAGGGACGATGGGGGTGGCTGGGCAGGAGAAGGACCGAAGCTTAGGAGTTTCTGGGGTTGGCGCATGGGGTTGGAATGGCAGAGGCTTATGTTGGGAGCAGGGCAGGATGGGCCAGGCTGAGGAGGGACGGTGATGGGAAGTTCCAGCAGTGTCCGCGGAAGAGGTGGGGGGGTAACAACATAGGCAGTACAGATGGCACACACGTGCGACCAGGGCAGGCGGCATAGCGCACCCGCAGGCACTCGACGCACTCGACTCGATCACAGCGCATGCACGTGCAGCTCACGTCCCTTGTCCCCCCCAGTCCCCGGCGCCTGAACGCCTTCCTGCCCCATCACCTCCTTCTTAACCGCATCGCTCCGTCTACCAACCCCACCCATAACCCCTCTCCTCAATCGCCACCTCAACTCCCTCGTTCCTCTCCTCCCTCTCCCCTCCCTCCCCTCCGCGCCCTCCCCCCCTGCCCTCTCCCAGTGTCCCCCGAGGCCCGCCGCCACGAGCCCGAGGCCGCCGTTCCCTCCGACATCAACCCCGCGCCCTTCCAGTACGTGCCGCTGCCGGCCTCGGGCCACACCTTCCGCATGGTGGAGGGCGTCATGGCGGTGTTCGGGCCGGAGGACACGCAGCAGATGGAGAACCTCTTCCCGGTAGGCTGTAGTGCGGAATGGGGAAGGCGGATGTCAGGGGTACAGGGTGAAGACTAGCCATGTGGCTAGTAAGGGGTTGGGGCTGCCTGGCAATGGGAGGATGGAGTGGCAGAGGTGGGGGACTGAGGGTGCATGGGATGGAGTGGGCGCAGTGGGCGGAGAGCGAGGACCCGGTGAGGGGCGAGTGGGTGCGTGGGCTGGGAGTTGTTAGCAGGTAAGAGGGCGGCGTCGTGGGGTTGTCTGCTTCGCTCTGTGCCGCCCTGTCACAAACAATCTGTCACGTAAGTAACATCGTCCGCTAATCCCTCGCACGTTCATTCTTGCGTCCCCTCACTCGCCCCTCCATGTCCCCAGGTGCCCGGCACGGCGGCCGAGTTCTTCACTGACATGCACCGTATGCTGCGATATGCCGCGTCGGTGAGGACTGGGTAGTGGACTAAGTGAGGTTGGGAATGCCGCACTATGATGGTCTATAGGATGGCATAGAGGACAGGAGTTACTGGTAGCAACAAACACATATTGCGCATGCAAAACATTGGGAACGTTGCGACACCAAGAACGGATTGAGGTGTGGGGCCGCGCATGCCGGCACGGCAGGGAGCCGCCTGTCCCGACTCCTCTACACTAACCCTCACCCTGTTTGCATGTGCCTCCCTCCTCTGCAACGGCCCCCCCCCTCCCCCAGGGCCCCGTCAAGTCCTTCTGCCACCACCGGCTGATGCTTCTGGAGCAGAAGTTCAACCTGCACGTCATGCTCAACAGCGACAAGGAGTTCCGCGCGCAGAAGGCGGCACCGCACCGCGACTTTTACAACGTCCGCAAGGTGTGTAGGGCCCTGCAGCCGCTTCCAACGCATCTTTCTGCTTCAGCAGTCCGTGCCTTCCTGGCATTCCCGCTCAACGTGTCTATGCTGCCCATTAATTTTCTCGCCGTACACCCCCTGCCCTGTCCAGGTGGACACGCACATCCACCACAGCGCCTGCATGCACCAGAAGCACCTGCTGCGCTTCATCAAGTCGAAGCTGCGCAAGGTAGGGGAAGGAGCCACGTCTACCTTGCTACCCGTCTTCTGCCAGTGTGAATGCCCTGTCCGCTTACATTGCTCTGTCGCTCATTCCGCACGGTTGCGCTGCCGCTCGGGTTCCCCGGGCACCCCCTGCACATGGGTGCGTGAGGGTTTCCGGTGAGGCCTGGGGAGTGCGTTCGTCTGGATTGTGAACCCGGCATCTCTGCCAAGTCCCGACCCATGGGTCCGTGTTGTGCTTGTAGGAGCCGGACGAGGTAGTGATCTTCCGCGACGGCAAGTACCTGACCCTCAAGGAGGTGTTCGAGAGCCTCAAGCTGACGGGTGAGGGGCGAACAGAGGGGGTCGATGTATGCGGCGGTGTGTGCGCTGTTTGGGAGTCTGTGGGCTGTGTGCGCCCTCACCCGCGGCTGCATGCTTTTTACTTGCTCGGCGGGGCTCCCAAACCCTCCGGATCCCCACACTCTCTGATTCTAACAGCCGCCGATCCAACACATTGGCTACGACCCCCATGCCGCCTAACTCTCCGAATACCCTCCTCTTCTTGTAAATTACTGCCGAACGACCATTCCTGCTCCTCCGCACGACCCAATCACGCCCTGCTCCCTCGCACCCCCCCAGGCTACGACCTGAACGTTGACACGCTGGACATGCACGCCGACAAGAACACCTTCCACCGCTTCGACAAGTTCAACCTCAAGTACAACCCCTGCGGCCAGTCGCGACTGCGGGAGATCTTCATCAAGCAGGTAAGCCGCTGGTAACAGGGACAGCGCCAGACGCGCGGCGGGGCGGGGCGGCTGCCCTGTTGGCGCGATGAGTCGGTACCCAAGCCATGTCAAACTCGTTGCGAAACTTCCCTGCGTCTTCACCTCTTCTTCGGCTTAACTTTCCTTCATTGCCGCGCGACACCATCACAGGCACCCAATCCCTAACCAGCTGACAAGCTACCGTATACTACCTGCACATATTCCTTCCCCTGACCCTGCCCCGTGCCCCGCTCCCCTCCGCCCCCAGGACAACCTGATCCACGGCCGCTTCCTGGCGGAGCTGACCAAGGAGGTGTTCTCCGACCTGGAGTCCTCCAAGTACCAGCACGCGGAGATGCGCATCTCCATCTACGGGCGCAAGGCCATGGAGTGGGACATCCTGGCGGCCTGGGTGGTGGGCTTCCAGCTGCACTCCAACAACAACGTCTGGCTCATCCAGGTGGGGTGGGGGAGGGGGTTTGGGGTTCGTGTGAGCTGCAAGCATGGCAGGGTGGGGGAGGGGGTTAGGGGTTCATGTGAGCTGCGATGAAAGAACTGACCCCGGTAGGGGGCGGTGCCATGGAGGTAGATGGTAAAGAGAAGCAGCTATAATGGCTATGGTGAGTCAAACTCTCGATTCCCTCCCATTATTTACCTCCTCTCTCCAGATCCCCCGGCTGTACAACGTGTACAAGGAGACGGGTGTGATTGAGACCTTCCAGCAGATGCTGGACAACATCTTCGAGCCGCTGTTCGAGGTCACCGCCGACCCCTCCACCCACCCGCAGCTGCATGTGCTGCTGGCGCACGTGAGTGGGGATGAGGGGCGTGGGGGGAACATGAAAGGGGGTGAAGGATCATGAGGAAGGAACGAACCGTGTCTTCCTCGTTAAGGAAGGACTGGGGCGGGAGGGCGAAAGGCGGAAGCGTCGATGGGATGGCATGATTCGCCGAACGAGCACCGGTGTACAATCCGTAGCTTTCATACGGTATCTGCCCGCATGCCCTCCCCTGCTCTCCTCATCATGTGTGCTGCCGCCCGTGCTGCTGCAGGTGGTGGGGTTCGACATGGTGGATGACGAGTCCAAGCCCGAGCGCCGCCCCACCAAGCACTCGGAGCCGCCCGACCGCTGGAACACCAAGCACAACTGCGCCTACGCCTACTACGCCTACTACATCCATGCCAACCTGTAGGTCACCCAGCGCAGGTCGCATCCCCTGCATTGTTCCTTTCCCTGCACGACCGCTCCGCCAGGTTCCATACATACCGGTAGCCCTTTTCTTCATTGCCTTACACGCTATAACGTGACCACCAGCGCCCCTCCTTCCCGACCACTATCTGTCTTTACCTGTCTTTTGTGCCCCCGTGTTTTCCCACCCTCGTAAACCCTCGCTCTTCCTCGCAGCTACGCGCTCAACAAGTTCCGCGAGGCGCGCGGCCTCAACACCTTCTCCTTCCGCCCCCACGCGGGCGAGGCGGGCGACATCGACCACCTGGTGGCCTCCTTCATGCTGTGCGAGAACATCGCGCACGGCATCAACCTGCGCAAGAACCCCTGCCTGCAGTACCTGTGAGAAGGGGGAGGGAGTCGGAGGGGGGTACACTTTTAGACGGCGGAGAGACGGAGAGGGACGAAATGCAGAGGGTGGAAGCATGGCGTTCCTTGTCTCAAGCTCACGCTGCTTATACGTTGACATCTTATATCTACACGCTCCTACCTCCATCTCATGCGCCCTTCCCGTGCTTTTTGTACTTGTATCGGCACAATCCTGCTGCAGGTACTACCTGGCCCAGATCGGGCTGTGCATGAGCCCGCTGTCCAACAACTCGCTCTTCCTGGACTACCACCGCAACCCCTTCCCGCTCTTCTTCGCGCGCGGCCTCTCCGTGTCGCTGTCCACCGACGACCCCGTCATGATCCACCTCACCAAGGAGCCGCTGGTGGAGGAGTACAGCGTGGCGGCGCAGGTGAGGGAGGTGGAGGGGGGGCGGGTGGGGCGAGGGGCACTGCGGGTCTGGAGATGACTAGGAGTGACCCGTGGGTCGGTGAGGTGGTTGCGCGCTATATTTCTTTGCGCTGACGCCTCTCACGGCTGCGTTAAAGCGTCCGCTATGATGGGATATGGCATACGGTTAACTGAAAGCACTGTTACCTTGTGTCTATTGCCCTTCTGCCAGGTGTTCAAGATGAGCAGTGCCGACCTGTGCGAGATTGCGCGCAACGGGGTGCTGCACTCTGGCTTCCCGCACGCCTGCAAGAAGCACTGGGTGGCGGAGGAGTACTGGCGGCCGGGGCCGGAGGGCAACGACATCCACAAGACCAACGTGCCCAACCTGCGCCTGCGGTTCAGGTAGGGAGGAGGAAGGGCGCGGGAGCGGTGATGGGAGGTAGGGTGGTCGGGTGGGTTGGCATGGAAGGGTCTCTAGAGGCGCTATGCATGCGTCGCGCCTAATGGCACAGTCTTTGCGTCGACTGGTGCATTCCAATTACCCGCCGCCTGACTGCCTCCTCACATCCCATCCCCGGGCACGCACCCCGCACCCCCGATGCAGGCACGAGACCTACTGCGACGAGATGCGGCTGGTGCTGCACGGGGCGGTGGCGCACCAGACCCGCAAGACGGCGCAGATGATCGCGGCAAGCAGGGCAGAGTAGCGGCGCGGAAGGAGAGCAGAGCGGGGTGGAGCAGGCACTGGGATTGAAAGGAGCTAAGTCGGTATCGGGCGTCAAGAGAGAAGAAAACCTGGGGTGCAAAAAGTGTGCTTATAAGGGCTCTGGATGATGTCCCTAGACTTTCGCACTTGGCTAGAATTTGTGGGAAACTTTGATGGAGAGGACACGGACTAGGTACCGGTATGACGGGGGCATCCTAGCGTACATTCGGGTCCGCAATGCAAGGCAGTGCTGGCACCGTGAAGCTCGCCCAGCCGCACCTAAGCAGGCCACTGGTGCCCGCGGCATGCCACGAGTGTTATCGTGAGAGAGGGGTCAGTTGAGAGAAACACATCTTCATCGCCATGAATTGGTAGGGATAGGTCAGGAGGGGACTTCCGCAAGTTGCAAGGACTGCTGCCCTGCCGCCGCCATCGCGCATGGGCATGTGGGCTGGCTATTGGGGTAGGCTAGAGCTTTGTTTATTATGGCCAAGTGTTATAGTCCCCTTCACCGAGGTTCAGACAGAGAGTGCAGTAGACGCTGCTTTAGGACTGCTGAGGTAGTAACGCGCGGTAGCTCGTTAATTGCTCCCGTCAACTGTTACTAGAGAGGACTGCGTCATACCGGTAGTGTCTGATGAGGGTTAGCTTCTTCCTTGATCTTGTAGAGATGGGGATCGGCTTCTTCCTTGATGTCGTACGCGTTGCCTTCTTTAGGCAAGGCGGGCCTTCGGCGTAGCTGCGTGGGTTCTCGAGTTTCTTTCAGTGGGTGTTATTGGTAAAAGGCTTTCCTAACATCGCCAGCTTGAAGAGGAAGTTCGAGAGTGGTGCTGTAGGCTGCTTTGGACATTCTTGTATTTCTTTTGAGTGCATGACCGGGGCATAGGAGCTGGGAGCAAGTGGGGAGCAAGAGGTGGGAGTGAGGAAGGAGGCAGGCCCTTTCTTGTAGGCTGTACGAGCATAAAGGGAAGGTTACATTGTTCGTTGAAAGACTGTGGCAGCTAACAAAGTAACGATGCCCCTCCTTGTTACGCCATGTAAAAGCTGGTGTGGCAGGTGCGGGATACCAGCGGGCATATTAGGGTATCACGGAGAGATCATATGTGCTCATTCTGACACAGGACACTGGAGGTGCATCAAGCTGTTCGCACGTGTCTCGTAACAAGACAGTTAGGTGTAGCAGTTTAGCCATGCGATGGTTAATACCCTCTCCAGCCCAAGTGACTAGCGCCATGGGAGAGCCGCCGCGGGGTCTGAGGTAGGGCATACAGGATACAACAGCCAGGCCTGCTGGCAGGCTAGCACAACTAGTGGCGTCGCTGAGACCCGGGTGAGACCGTGCCAGCAGCACGCTATATGCTGAGGCTACACAGTAACGGCTAGGTGGACATAACCGGCTGGAGTTCTGTACATGCTCCCATGCCTGGAAACTGGCGACTTTAGGTGAAAGGCCCAGCGTAACCGTGTAATGGTCGCCTTTTGCTATTTACGACCAGTGTAGCTCAAGGTAACAGATAATCAGCTGTCGCTATGCTTGACGGGATGATAAGTAAGGGGTGCGTCCCGGTTTCATGACTTCACATGCTAACAAGTCACTTATGGGCTTAGGCCAAGACACTGTATGCATGCCCAACAGTTTCATGGCGATCCACATGAGTGTTTAGGTCTCCGCAAATATGCGCTGCGCATGTATAGCCCGTACAGCCACGCACGGAGAGCCTTAGATGGGCCGTTCACCCTGAAACATCATGACACAACTACTCAAATGACTACGGTTACCCGACGAACTCGAAAAGGCCCTCATAACAGGTGTCTACCCCTACATCGCTAGCTGCTGCTCAAACAAGCACAGTTGCATCGAGTCGGCGACACCTAATAGTGCCATAAAAGATGTTGCCTATACTCCATAGACCAGCCACCTCAATGTTTGGGGAGAGGAATGTATTAAGCACTCCTAGCTCCCCCAACAGCCCGATGCGGACAGACCAATCCGGTCTGGGCCCTAAGCGCTCGGGGCTTGGGACGGGAAATTTATCAGGTCCACCATCAACTGCGCAGTCTTCACTGTCTCAGGGCGGCGGGCCGTCCCAGTTCCAAATTTCCCACGAAAAGCAAGTGGGGGCGCATTTGCTCAAGGTGTTCCTTCGAAGGCATCTTTGATTACCTTGATTTATCTTGTACGCAGCACCCTACGTAAGAACCGCAACCATTTCATTGGACAAACAGAGCAGTTCAGCATCGACTACCATGCTGCTCACAACAAATCTCTGGCCGAATTACCAGTGCTACAAGAGCAGCACCAACTGGAGGTAAGTACTGGCGACCCAATTGTAAAGTTACTTTGTTAACTGCCGGTCGGCCGGTGCCTGTCGCTGCTTCGTGCATTCGAAGGGTGTCAAACCGGGTCGCTTGGCGCCTGTCTAAGGGCTGCTTTTCCGAGGGCCTATGGGCGCTAATATGTAGTTGGCCCCTTGCGGCCATCAACACCATGCTTCAACTTCGCGCCTGCACGCCTCCTATGACCCCCGACCATACCCGACTGTTATACAACCCTAGGGGCCCCGTGCAAGAGCAAAACCCGTCCCCTGTAGCTACTTGACTTGTAGCCACCCGTGCTGAAGACGCTTTTGCCGGATATGTCACTGCCTTCAGGTGGAGGAGTACCAAAATGTTCTGGAGGAAACGGTGGCTCGGCACATCGCCCGCATTGCACAGGTAAAGCAGCCTCCACCGTGGCGTCGTCTCCTTCTTAGGCACGCCCCCATGAAGCGCATGCGGCTTTTCCCAGTACGCGCCGTTACTCCATGCGCACGACAACGTGCTTTACCGCCCTGCCTATTTCACCGCTTGCCTCACGGCCATTGCCTGCCTTGCAAGCTGCCCCTACCAGTCTATGCTCTTTGTCGCACGATGCCAAATTTCGGTATCGGTTGGGAACACCTGCATGAGTACACCGTGGCTAACGGGTTTTCCAGCTGCACATTCGCCATCCGGTTTGACACGCATGTCCTCGCCCTCACCCGTCTCCTCGGACCCAATTCCCCCCTATCTCCTGCCTTACAGCTTCGGCAAGACTACTCCCTAATGGTTAAGGAGGCCAGCCGCCGCCACATGGAGCTGCAGCAGCGGCGCTTTGCGGGCGCAAAGGTGGAGATTCCGCAGCCCTCAACCCTACAGCCCGCCACAGCAGCCGCAGGGCTGCCACCGCTGCCGCAGGGCTCACCCAACATAGGCGCCTCCAGCAAGGCTGCCGCCCACGCCGCTCACGAGCAGGCCCAAAGTCACACCATGGGCCAGGTCAACCCCAACGCCTATCTTAAAACCCTGGACAATGGCGCCGCAGCCGCCATGTCACAGTATAGCACCCGGCCGCCAGCCACTCCCACCGGCATCGCCACCCTCTCCATTCCACCGCCCGCCACGCCCGTGGCTCGCATTAGCACGCCCTCAGACCCCAACGCTCGCGGCTCGGACTTCCACCGGCTGGAGTCCATGCATGAAAAGTACATGAACCGCACACGCTCGCTGCACGAGCAGGGGCTCGCGGCGCGCTCCGGCGAGGTCAACTCCTGGTCGCAGACCTTTGCGGCCTGCATGGGCGCCCTGGCGCAGCACCAGTCAGCCGCGCTGGCGCACCTGGCTGCATGCGTGGAGGAGGCGGAGGCCTGGCACTCGCAGCAGCGTTCCGCACTGGCGGTCGCGCATGATGAGATACTGGTGGAGGCGGAGCGCCTGGGTCGCCAACTGGAGACGCTGCAGGCCGGCGCAGCCGCCAAGCTGACGGGGCTGCTGGCGTCCTTCCTGGAGAGGGTCCTTCCCTCGGGAGAGGTAGGCCTGGCGGAGGCGCAGGCGGCGTACACGCGGTCCACCGCGAACCTGAGGAATGAGCACATCGCGGCTCTGGAGGCGACCGAGGCGGCGCTGCGCGCGCTCATCCCGCGCCACTCAGCCATGCGGCAGCACATGTCAGCGGCATACTCTGCGGGCCTGGCGGCGCATGAGGCGGCGCTGGCGGCGGCAGGCGGGCATTACGACTCGCGCGGCGTGCCTGAGCTCCGGCGGCAGTACGAGGAGGCTGAGGCGCGACACCGGGATGCGCTGGCCAGCATTCGCGCGGAGCACCTGAAGGGGCTGGCGGCGGCGCGGGAGGGCTGGATGGGCGAGGCGGCGGCGCTGCTTGAAGAGTACCGGGCGCGCATGCAGGAGCTCAAGTCGCAGTTCGTGCTCACGTATGAGGTGAGTGGAATGCGAGGAAAGGGCGGAGATGGAGGGTCGGAAGGGAGGGCAGCAGGGATTCTGAAGCCTTGGAGCCTACCGGTTGTTTGCCGTTTTGGGGTCAGTTTGTGCTAATGCATATTCCTTCTCTGCAATCCTGCCTTTTTAGGTCGACGTTACGGAGGTGTAAGGCAGCTGTTGTTGCACCGCCTAATCCGTCAAGCAAGCGGCTCTCGGATTGGCAGCTGCTTATCGTTGGGGCGGCGAAGGACATCTCTTGGACGCCGGGGGATGCTAACACCACTGCGAGCTGCTAGGGAACGTTTTGCCTGGCCAGGGCTACATCCCCGTGGATGGCAACACAACAAAGGGTCTGAGTGTTGTGTCCTAGTAGATAGGTGCAGGGTGCAAACCAATTACCAGCGGACTGCTGGCATGGCGCTTCCCTCGTGCAGTGGGGTGCGAGGTGCCCGGTGAGGGCTCCATGCAGGCTGCAGGACACTGCATTGCAGGGTTGGGCGCCGAGGTACGCCATGAGGGGAGAGCTCACGACATAAGGCTTATGACATAGGGTAACTGGGAGGGGACGTTTTCACCTAAAGGCGGTAGTGTGTGTCTTGCCGACGGTGCCGCATCGGGTCTCAGAAGGGGCATTATGCATCGGAGTTACTGTTCGCAGGGTTGCTTGCATGCACCTGGCATCAGCGCTCGGCAAGGGGTGGGCATGTCCTATTTCGGGGCTGTGACCCTTGTACACACTGCTTTGGTCGTCCTGTGACTGGACTTCTAGTGATACGGTAACGGCTTTGGACGACAACGACATGGAAACTTTATGGTTGTGCGACACGGGTGTGTAAAGTTCTGATTCTGGATTTTGGAGGGACCGTCTTGTCATGGCGGTCACACATGGATATTACTGATCATCCTGCTCGCTAATGGAAGGCGCATGGGCGGGGTTGCCGTCTTGCCGATGTTGGGGAGGTGTTTCAACCCATGAAGTTGGGTCCATTGGCTGAGGGTGTCCTGCGAACGTCAGATGCTTGCCTCACAGCCAGGAAGCAGCGGTGCGCCACAGTAAGCGGTGCTTTGCTGGATCAGCTTGTACCTCAAGTGGTGCTGCATTGCAGTTCAGTCTTCTGACTGCTCGCGCAAAACACTTTCCGCTCGGCCTACAGACGGTACTAACAACGTAGTCGTTTATGCCTGTGTACATGCCGACGACAGCAGCCAAACGGGGCGGTTGTGTGCTCGTGAAGGCACCCTTAGGTATTCTGTACTTGTACGGTTATGAGGGGAGTCCGTACCTTGCTGTGCGGCGCATTTGGCTATTACATCTGGTGCTAGGTCACCTGACACCACATGTTGCGGTTACGGTAGTCAGCTCAACACGTCCCGATGCTTGGGCCGTCAGCCGCCGTCATTGCTTCTGTGCTGCTTATGGCTTGCTTGTGCTCTTCCTCTATAAGCGGTTATATGCACTTGCATTTGGTTTCTTGGGAGGGTGATTAAGGAAGGTGGGGATGACGGGTATGAGAGGGCGTGGGTAACAGTAGCGTACATTGTTTTGCCCGAGGCAGGCAACAGGCTTCCTTGGTTGGGGTTTCAGGCATGGCTTGGGCTTATTAAGGCTCAGGTGTAAGCGTGGTTATGATCGCTGCCCTTGTAAGGTACTGAACAGTCTACCTATACGGCCGTGATGCACCGCCAGCAGTAACTACGCCTGCTGGAAGTCCACGGTGAACTCGATGAACAGAGATTGCACATAACCGCCCTTTCACGCGTTGTGAGAGGCATATAACGCAGATGGTTGAAGCACGGAATGAAATCAAGCTTAAAGCGCAGCGCCGCAGTGCTAGTGCGCTCAGGTTGCATATGCATTAATGCAGTGATACTATGGCTCGTGTGGCACCTAGGGTGTTGTAGATATGTTGCTCAAGCTTGTGCGCACATGCGCGTCCTAATTCCTATGCGCAGAGGGAAACACTTCTGTAAATGTCAAGACTTAATAGCTGATGTAGTGGCCCAGGCTCATTTAGGTCGCTTCAGCGCATCGAAAGCGTTTGTACGGCTTGCCTACCACAATCGGCTTTCGCGTAAAAGTTCCTCGACGCACTTTTACTTCCAGACATTTTAGTTGATTAGGAAAAATGGCCCTTCGCGTGTTCGGCACCCTGGCCTTGGGCAAGCTGGGCCTGCAGACCCAGGTCATGCAGGCTGCCGGCACGACGGCCGCGCGGGCCTTCGCGACGGGTAGGTAGCTTTTGGAGCATCAAAATGTAAATATTTTGATACTATTAATCTAACATCCGAAGGGCTGGCCGCACCCTACTATGCACGATGCAGTTGTGCAGGGCTACAAGTACGCTGCTTCACACGAATGGGCCAAGGTTGATGGCGAAACCGCCACGGTTGGCATTTCTGATCACGCCCAGGTGCGCTCCATCGCAAATATCCCAACCGAAAGCTATCTTGGACACTGACCTAGTCCTTTGTAGGCTGAGCTGGGCGATGTGGTGTACGTGGAGCTGCCCGATGTGGGCAAGCAGGTCAAGCAAGGAGAGACGTTCGGTGTGGTTGAGTCCGTCAAGGTAAAGCGATGGCCTTGCCCATGCATGCTTTCCTAGCTTGAAAAGCGTGCAACCCGGGTATAGGGGCTAGCCTGCTACTACGTACACTCAGTGCAGTGAAGACGTTTATCCGCCTTGCACACAGGCTGCTAGCGACATCTACTCGCCTGTGAGCGGTGAGGTCGTGGAGGTCAACCAAGCTCTTGTCGACAAGCCCGGAACGGTGCGTCGCTTAGGAGTATCATGTTTAGGCACAGGGGTTAACCACGTTTAGGAGGGAGATTGCTTTGGCGGTTGTGCTGCGGATCGCCGTTTGACCGTACACGTCAGTTTAACGCCAGCATCGTTCGCTCGTGCCCCTCCTGCAGGTGAACACCTCGCCTTTCCAGGATGGGTGGATCATCAAGGTGAAGTTGTCTGACAAGGCCGAGCTTGGAAGCCTGTTGGACGCGGACGCTTACTCCAAGGAGTGTGAGAAGCATTAAGCAGGGACGTACGGCAACAGCACAACATGGTCTCTGGAATTCGCTCCTGTAGCTGCTGCCTGTAGTAGAGTGTTGGCCCCGGTGCGAGGAGGCATTTTTTGGTATGGACATAGCCCATCGCTGGAGGGTATGCGAAGAGGCGAACATGCAGAGGGACCATCAAGCCTGCCGTTTGGGATCTACGAGGGGTGTAGACTGCACACGCATGGGCCTAGTAGGTCGCCAAGCACAGAAAGCACTGCAGGAGGGCCTGTAGGAAGGATTGGGTTGGACGCGCATAGCGGCCACCATGCTCGTCGCTTGCAGCCATGCACCATGGCCCTGCAGGAATAGTTTGGCATTGCAGGCGACAATGGTTTCGGTGGTACGGGCTTTTGTGGAGGAGATTGGCGCAATGTGCCCTGACTGTTTGGATAAATACCTTTCTCCGCTGAGGAGCAATTGCTGTAAGGCGTGAGCTGCCACTGAAGATAGGTAAAGACGTCCTGGCCGCCTGCTGCTCAACTCTGTCCGGCGTCTAACCCTGGGCTGTCTTTGTAGCACATCTGTTACGTATGCCATGCATGACACCCCTTGGGTGGGCTACGGGCTTCGCCGAATCCAATTTCAGTGATTGTTGTGCATGCACGGCTTCCCCAATCAAGCTTCACCCTGCAGTCAGGCCCGTCGTAAGCGCACGCGGTATGCGAACAATACAGGGGAGCCTGAACGTCACGCCGGGTACAGGGGCAACGAGTACGACAGGTGGCATATGCCGTGTATGCAGTTTACATGATGAGGTAAGAATACCAGTATGTACTTCATATAGTTTCGCTTTTCGCGCAGAGAACTAAAGAAAGAAGCGCCTGCAGTTTTTTTCCCTGATTCTAACGATCCATCACCAACTTGCAAGCAAAGGCAATTGCACTCCTGCTCTACATACGTCTTACTTTATCATGACCACACCTCAGGCTATCGGGTGCGTAGGTCTGCGTACCCTAGGTATCTGAAGTTGTCCATCGGTCGGGTACATGACTACAGTGACGTTTGTGCAGGTCGAAGGTCACCTTCAAAGTAACTCTTACATCGGATCCCAAGCTTCCTTTCCGAGTGTAAGCAACGGATACGCGTACCTCGCCGTAGCTGTCTTTTAGCTAAGCACATCGCTATCCCTCTACAGGTTCAGCGTGCCTGAGGAGGCTCCTTTCACAGCTGTGCTCAAGTTTGCAGCGGAGGAGGTGAGCGGGTTCCCTTTGAGTCAACTATCGCAACAGCGCGTAACGCGAAGCCGACCCGTCCTTGCCCGCAGTTCAAGGTACCTGCCCAGACGAGCGCAATCATCACAAACGGTAAGTGCAGGGTAGTATTGGACTTCTGGCAAGAGAATCATGCTTCATATCCAGCCAGGGGTAAGGTATCAGATGGATGGTAGTGTGCCATAAGCTTGGCGTGTTTACAACTGATGACCAAAGTCAAGAGCATTCAAGAGCATCCGCTCTCTATGCATGCGCTCCCCGCTCGTAACTCTTCACGCTTACATAGTTCTGTCCTATATGGCTGTGGTTGTGTCCATCCACAGACGGCGTGGGAATCAACCCGCAGCAAACAGCCGGCAACGTGTTTCTTAAACACGGGTCAGAGCTCCGACTCATTCCCCGTGATCGGGTTGGCTGCATGCAGCAGCGATGAACAGCAGTAACCATACAAACGGCTTAATGGCAGCGCCTGGGGTTGCAAGGAGCTTCCTTCTCTCGCCACAAGCCCCTGCCGAACTATGGTGACTAAACTCCTTTGTGTAACAACAGCAACTGGATAAGGAATAAATGCCCCCTCTATCTAAGAGGGATGGCGAAACACCGCTTGCCCACGAGACTCAGAACGACTACCTTCTTAGAGCCCGCTTCACCCTAGCCATAGCCCCAGCTCTTATGCCAGTCCGTAAACAGCCCTCAGGGCGGCCAGCTGGACTGCCGTACACATGCCGCTACCGCTGACCTCCTGTCCAGCCCGATCTGCGTCGCCTGCGGTTGCAGCGATTTCGGTTGTCTTTCCGGAGGACGTGTCGATGGACGCCTGGAGCGGCTCCGCCGCCTGCGTGTCCTTCCCCTGCTGCTGCTCCTCATCCTGGCTGGTTGCTGCTGCGGCTGTTGCTGCGCTCTCTAGGCCGGAGAACAGGCGCTCCATCACGGGCTTGCAGGTGCTGCCTAGTAGCTTGACCGTGAGGGGGAAGCGGCCGGCGGCTGCAACGGGGTTGGAGCGGGCGGTGGTGACGAGGTGCGCGTGTAAAAATGGCAGAGGGTGCTTGACATGGGCGGTGAAGCGCTAGGTTGCGCTAGAGAGGGTCATGGTGAGGTTGATTCGCAGTGTACAGGTGGCAGGGACGACCGGACGTGGACTGGAGGCGACTGGACTTCTCTAGCTTAAGCCAGGGAACTACAGCGAGGTGGATTTGAGTTGTGGGTGCAAGGCAGGTTGGACAGGTAGGAAGACGCAGGATCAGCGGCTTTGTGCCGATGGTACCCAAACTGTACCCTGAATGATGGCGGCATGTTCGACTGGCCTGTAATCACTAAAGGCAAGGCATGCTGGCTCGCTAATAGCTGCTAGAGCCTGGGCAATGCCTATGGCGAGGCCGAACACCGCCCCTTTTCGGCTGCACTGTACCCTAGGCGCTTCCATGCTTCCTTACAAGCCGCAGCCATATCCCGCCCACACCTGTGTGCCCCAGCACCCACCAGCCACCATACCTGATAGCGCTTCCAGCAGTTGGACCACGAAGGCCGCCTCGCGCAGTGCTGCGCCAGCACCGCCCTCCGCCTCCTCTGCTGCACCGCCGTGCCCTAGCCAGCAGGCCTCCAGCACGCACAGCACCTCTCGTAGTACCTCCGTGCTGACCTCCACGCGAAACACTGCTCGCAGCGTGTCCGGCCCGCAGAGTTTCAGGTAGCGGTACTTGTCGTCAGGCGTGGGATGGTTCCGTCGCCAATCCCTTTGGCAGCGGAAAGTAGGCAGTAGATTTGGTTCGCAACAGGGGCGCACATGCGGTTGTGCATAGTGTTGGATGCACGCGTGCAAGGTGTGTTGTTGGTAATGGGCGGTGCTGGAGACAACGGGTTCCCTGGGGTAATCCACGGTGCCATACCTGTAGAAGTCCCCACTTGTCTTTGGTACCTCGCTGGGCGTCACTAGCGACAACTGAGGCTGGCTCGACTGCTGCTTGACTACCCTCCCATCCGCACCGAAGCTCCAACATGGCGAAGGCCTGTCTGCAAGTGCAAATTCCTTACTGAAAAAAGCAAATGCCTCGAAATGCATGTACTTGCATACCGTTTTCCCTCCTGCTAGGCGCAGTGATAGGCTTGAGGTGTGCTGTCAAGACCATGTTCTTGAACGTGTCATAATCGACCCGCTGCGAAACCGCACGTTTTTTCGCTTCGTCGATAGCCTGTATACAGCAACAACTACGCGTTATATTAATTCTCATAGACTTCACATCGCAAATCGACTTGCTTTTCTTTTAAAGTCATCGTAGGCCGCGTTTGCAAGTTCCTTCGAGATCTTTGCTGGCCTGTACTGAGTAGGTTGTTCTTGTGCCATCTCGCACGTGATCATGTTCTCCAGGACCTCGCGCTTGTATAAGACGATAAGAAGCCCGCATTGCTCCGTACTTACATAACCTACATTTGCCGTACGAGCTGATGGCCCACCGCACGTGAGGCGTCTAAGGCTAACAGGCGTGGGGCACAGCGTTAGCTCTGAATCGGTCCTTTGTCAACCTGTTTTGAGCAGGGTATGAACCGAGTTTTGCTTCAGGTTATTGGATGGGATGGGATGAGCTAGACTGTGTTACCCCCTGTCTGTGGGTTGCCTGCTTAGGTATTTCATGATTCCATTGTTACTTTCGAGGGTTGCACTGTCGGCGGTGGGGGAAGGTGGTACGGATTAGGCTAGGAACGATTTGCGGTCGATTAGAGTTGCGTGTAGACGCTCTGTCGTACGTACGGCTACTGGAGCCTGCTGGGTTTGGACCGCTTGCCTATGAAAGGCTGCAAGCTGTCCTAGTATGTCAGCTTGGAGTAGCGCTCTTCCATGGTGTTCCAGTACGAACAGGCATACAGCCAACAAGCAACACCCTCACAGCCCTGACTGCACGCATTCCCCCTGTCGTGTGCCAACGTACGAGCCTGAGTAGATACAACTTTCAACTCGCAAGAGCATGCAAGATTCCATTCGTTGTGTGCAGAAGAGTTCAGATCGCCAACACTGTGACAGTTGATTATGCTCTTTCTTCATAGCAAATTTGTTGTTGTTACATGACACGCGCTGCACTTGTGGGGGCGCAACGAGGGGCTGCATCCCCACAAGCTGCTTTCTCAAGAATGATGCAACTGCCTTGCCTCTCCTGCTTTAGTCCGATTCTGTTCCACACACATTCCTCGGACCCCACCTTGACAATAAAGCCATACAAGCTATGCAAACACCACAGATACAAGCAACGCACAACCACTTAGGAATGACCCCAGACAAGGCCAGTAATTACAGCATAGACAGTTCGGGTTCGGGCATGTTGACTAAGGGTTTCATCACAGCATGTACAGCAGATCCAGCCCTGTCGTGCAGAAACTCGGACGCCAAAGCACCAACAAAGTCCCAAACAGCTTGCCCAGTTCTAGTTCCTATGTGACTTGTAAAAAGCCCCCAAACTGTTAACACAGACCCCTTGCGGCAATGCAGACTTTTCGCTGTAAGCCCAGTCTGGTCCAGTCGACGTGAAACGAATCGGCAGCTCGCACAATGCATATGCGCACACACGAGTCCTCGCACAAAACCTGCGCCGTACAAGTCCGTGCTAAAGCACGGCCGTAATTTCGACGGCTGTCCCCACACTGCAAACACCACGCTCTTTCTAGCGGGCCAACACTCCACAAGCCCGACTCGTACCGTGCAAAGCACGCACATGAGGCGCCTGTGTTGACACCTCACTCTCACGACTCGGAGCTGCAGGGTACGTCACACACACCCTCCATACAGCCACCCTCCCAGTGTCCCTGCATGAGTCGGGATATGGGATTGGGACTCTAGTTGTTTGCACTTATTATATAATTTTCCCCGTAGCCCTCTCATTCGACGTTCCCCGCAGGCATGTCAAGCGGGGTAGCGAGCCTAGCGACCCCTCGCCTTCTCGAGACATTGAGCAGCCGCAGGTCACGATAGGGGTGCCCAGCAAAATGGGCAAAAGAGGTCCAGCAAAGAACGCGCGCGCTTAAGGAACCACTCGCTGGGAGCATTGAAAAGCGCATTGAAAAGTGATAATCCTTTTATCCATAGCCATACCTTCCCTCTTAATCATCAATATGAGCCCCTTTCCGTCGTAGTACCCGGACACAGAACTCGACACGAGGTTGGTTACTTTCCTTTTTCTTCCCGCATTGAGGTGGCTGGCGTCAGGTGCACATCCCTTGCATGCCGTGTCCTCGGCCCCTACACAATGGCGGCCCCCGATCATCAGCTGCCGCCAGCATATGCACGCCTCCTATCGCACCCTACCGCAACATTTAACCCCGGTGCCGTACTTCAGTCAAACTTAAGGCACTGGACGCAACCGGAAGCACCGGGCCCCGCAAAACAGCCATGTAATAGGACACAACTCGCCTATACTGGATAGTAAAACAGTTTAGAGACGGTCGCCGTAAAACGATGTAAGTCAGTATGTCACTCCCTCAAGCACTCAGCATCCAGCAGATTCAGGCGAGGCCCCCGAGCCGGCACCAAAAACAACAGCAAACAAGGGGGCAGAGGCGCTCCTGTGTCCCCAACATGATCCGCTAGTATTCTTGTTGACGCGAACAGAAGCACATGCATGCGCCTGCACGAGCGCGTCCCTACAACGGCACTCCCGGCAAAGCCATTGAATTCGACGTTGTATTCCGAAAGAAAACCCAAAACATCCGAAGCGCCCAAACCGGCAGCCCAACAGTACCAAGTTGTCGATGAAGCGGCACCTGTCATACGAACGGAAATCACGGGTACACCGCCATACCAGGCCGGTACTTCCGTCCTTCTGTAGCGGGCCCCAAGACCTCTAATCCCCCGAGCCACGTTACGCAGCACTGAGGCAAGCCAGAAGGCAACCATGACGGCGCACGCAGTCACCCGCCGCACCAACACTCGAGCACGTCAGGCAGACAAATACCACAGCAGGTCACCACCTTGACGCACCCCTTCCTCGACGCCATGTACGCCCCCAAAGCGCCTTCCTTAACGCCTACGCGGAAGCACTTTATTGGTTGGGGATTGCCTTCTGGAATCGTCCGTGCAATGCTCGTGAATGGGCACCCGGGCACACACAGATGGCCCAGAAAAGAAGGGTGCCGTGCCCATCGCTGCCCAAGGCCTGTGAAGCTGTTACGGCGTACGATGCCGCTTAAAACAAGAAACCATCCCGATCAAACACCTCCGCGTATGCCTCCTGCGCCTCCAGCCTTGCTCGCAGCTGGCGGGGAGCGAATAAGAGGCAATGAGCGGGCGGGCGGGCGGGGACAAGCGTTAGCTGGGCTGTGTGTGCAACAAAGAGCCTCCCTCTCGGGAAGCCGTCGAACGCCTTCCAACGAGCGCTGACATGCAACAAGCAGCGATGCGACATCAAGGCAGCGACCCATATGCCGTTTACCCTCAGCATGCCGCGCTGTTCCTACATGCCTACGTGAAGCCCTTTTCCCAATTCCCTGCCGCAATCACAGTAGCTCCTTGCGTGCCCTGTACCCATGCGCCCATGCAGCCCAGAAAGGAGCACAACATACCTCCACGATGTCCGCCGGCAGGTGGTCTTGAAGCAGCATTCGTCCGGGATCTGTGACCCAAAGATGAGCGAGATCTGGATCCGCGAGGTCAGCGAAACCGCTCAGGAACTGAGCAACCAGCTCCGCCGGCTGCTCCTCGTCCGCAAGAGGCTGCGGCGGGTGCTGCGCTGACGACGTCAGCGGCGGCGGCGGCGCCGTCGATGACAGAGGCGGGGACGGCAGCGGTGGTGGCTGTTGCAGTTGTTGCGGTTGAGCCGATGGCACCACGGGTGAAGGAGGCTGCTGCGAGGTTGGATGCGGCTGCGGCTGCTGGGCAGAGGGAGGGGAGGGCTGCGGGTGGCTGGGCACTGACGGCGGTGCTGACGGCAGCGGGAGGACTGGCGACGGCAGCGAAGAGGGCTGTGCGGAGCCCAAATGACCAAACGAGCTAGGGCCGTTTCCGCCGGAAGGGCGCTGCTCGCGACCCCCTCCTGCAGAGTATTTGGTCTCGTCCCCTTGGTCTGTCCGGTTGGCTTCGGAGAGCGTCAGAAACTGTGGCTGGGATTGGCCTTGAGACTGGGACACGGACTGCGCGCGAGAGTATGTCTGCGGCTGCGATTGGGACTGTGACTGGGATTGGTTGCCGGGCCGGGCGGGGGCCCGAGCTCCCGTGTCTGCCAGGAACAAACGGTACACCTTCGGGTGAGGGCGAACACGGGCATGGAACGGAAGGGAGGGGAGGGGTACATGTCAGAAATCCAGCTCAAAAGGAGGCTGAGGAAACGCGACTTGCTTTTAGGCCGTTCGGCCCTGATTGGCAACTACCAATACCGGTCTGCCAGCTGCATGTTCCTGCACGATCAGGCCCTAGGGAAACACATTGTCCTGTATCGGGCATGGCAACTCCTAACCTGCACGGTGGTCGAGTTTTTCACTCGGCCGTGGGGCGTTGCCTGTACGGAAGCCTGCCGGTGCTCGTGCATGTGCGACGTATCTTCAGTTGGCCGCCGATGCTCTGCCGCCGCCTGCTCCGCTGCCGCCAACGCCGCCGCGGCCGCCACCGCTCCTCTCACCGTGCCGCCCCAAATGTGGACACGCACGGGCACCAATCGCAGCCTCAGGTGGTTCAGCTCCCGCAGTAGCGGCCCGAGCGCCGACTCCGGCAGCGTCGGCAACTTGTCAAGCGCCATCGTGCTGTGTCGCCCTCGCGTACCACCACCACCACCTGCAGCAGCGGCGGCGCCACTTCCGCCGCCACCGCCACCACCACCACCGCCGCCACCGTGGCTGCCTGTCGGCAGGGAAGACAGCGACAGCGGCCTGGCACTCGCACCGCTGAGCTCCGCTGAGCCCATGGGCTCAATCTCAGACATTGCCAGCATTGCGGCGGCGGCACCACCGCTGCCGCGTGGCGACCCGGTTGCTATCGCGACGGCGGCGGCCGGCGGAGCCGGTAGGGCGTCCACGCCAGTGGGGGTGCCCAGACAGATGCGAGAGCGTGAACGAGCCATGCCACTGCGCACTCGGGCGAAGAGGCCGCTGCCGCTGTGGTGGCCGCCGGAGCCGCCGCCAGAGCTGCCCTGCTGCGCCGCCGCCGCAATGGAGCCGGCAGTGGCGGTGTGCGTGGGGTCTATGATGCCGTGCGTGGCTGAGGCAAGCGACGTTCTGCTAGGGCAGCAGTCGGCGCCGAAACCTCGCAGTTCACCCGTGCTCATCCCCATTTGCACGGAGGCAGTCATGGATACGTGGAGGTTGCCGGTGCTGTTGCTGCTGTGAGCGAACTCGCCCGTTGCAGCAGCGCCCGGTGCGCCGCTGCCGCCGCAACCAGAGACGGTCACGGCGTTTGGGCCCGCTGCCGCTGCCGCCGCCGCCGCAGCTGCTGCTACTGATGGGCCGCCAGCGACATGACCGGGGGCGGTTGCTGCGGAGTAGCGTGTGGATATGGTTGAAGAAACATCGAATGGACTCATCACCTGCAGGTTGTGGTGCTGCTGGTTCTGGCTCCACAGCTGCTGCTGCTGCTGCTGTTGGTGTTGTTGCTGCTGTTGGTAGCTCTGGAGAGTCTGCTGGGATCCCCGCCGCGCTCGGAAGCTCAGTGCGAGGTGCGAGGAAGGCTGCGGTGTCCCCGCTGAGTCTCGACGTGAGGAGCGAGGCACGAGGTTCGCAGACGACATGGACGCGCGCGGTGGGCGTCCATGTCTGGTCTCTTGCGGTGCAGCCGACACGGCAGTAGCAGCGGCGGGGGCGGCGACGGCGGCAGACGCCGCGTCCGGTCGGACACCTGAAGCAGCGCCGTAAAACACCCGCGACAAGCCCGACGCAGGGCGCTGCCAGGCGACAGCGTTGCCGCTGCCGCTTATGCCACCGCCGCCGCCGACTCCCAGCTCGGGGTCCCCGGCGTACGATGAAACCGCTAGCGGCGAGCGGCGGTGAGTGGCTGTGAAGGTAAAGGAGCGACTGATACGGTCGCTTGGACCGCCGCGGATGATGGACTCGATGGACATGGAGCCGCCCCCGCCGCCGTTGACGCGGGTTGGCGGCGACGGTAGCCCCGACGAGGGCGGCCTAGCTGATACAGCAGCCCCCGACGACTGTCCCGCGTCTTCCGCACCGACACTGCTCCTGCCGGCGGCACCTCCCACGCCCCCGCCGCTGCCGGCGGCTGCACCGCCATCAAAGGCGGCAGCTCTCTTGTCTGCGGCGGAAGCATGTTGCGTGACGGCGGCGGCGGCGTCAACGCCGCCGCCGCCAGCCTGTGCGAAGGAGGCTGCGGGGTAGGGGCTCACCGCCAGCAGGTCTTGAAGCCTGGGCCTGGCCATGGAGCTTCCCCGCTGACCGTACGTGAACGACAGATTACCCCGGCGAAGCATGGCAACGTCAAGGTCGCCTCCGCCAGCGCCGCCGCCGGCAACAATGCCTCCGCCGTGAGCAAATGAAGAGCCCGGAGATCCTGGACCAACACGCGCGCTTTGCTGGGATCTTAGCCGCCGATCGGCCGGCAGGGGGTGCTGCTGTAGCGGCGGAGGGGCCGGCGGGGTGGCAGCGGTAGCGGCAGCTGCAGCGGTGGCGGAGATGGGGGTGCTGGCTTGCATGACGCATGGCTCATGTGAATCCTCGGAAAACGGGATGCCGGCAGTGCTGCGTGGGCCCTCACTGCATGCTACGGCTGCTGTCGCCGTCGGCACCGGCCCGGATGGAAGTACGGCGGACAACTCGAAGTCACCGGTTTGGCGCCCGCTGGTTTCGGAGCCGCGAGCAGGGGGTGCTCCACTTGCCGCAGCCGTCTCGGATATGCCTCCAGCCGCAACCTCGGCATTCACATGTGTCACACCTGAAAGCGACAGCTCCGCAGCACGTGGCATGGCCGGTTGTGCTGCCGCCGTGCCGCCACCATGCCCGATGACACCTGCCCCCACATGCGCTGCAGCGCCTTTTGCAGCCATTGCCCCAGCCGTCTCTGCTCCGCGTTTACCGCCGCTGCCACCAACCTGGCTTTGCACCCACCCTAGCAAGCGCTCTTGCACCGCGTTCGGCGCCCCTGCGGCGGCGGTAGCGCTGCCTGCTGCTGCAGCATTGCTCGCGGCCGCTTGTGCCGCTGCCGCTGCCGCCGCCAGCAGCGCATGTGTCGACGTGTTTGGCACGGCGCCCGAAGCTGCCGCAGATGCTGGCAACGTTAGTTCGCCCGATGTGGAAAGCAGCAGCAAGAGCGAGTCGCCGCCGCGGGCTGCCGGTAGACCGCTCGCGCCGCCGTGTACGGCACTGACCAGCTCGGCTCGGCTGATGCTTGGCGTTACGCCGTCGCCAATGCCGCTGGAGGCGGTCGAGGTGCAGGCTTGAGCAACTGCTGCCGCCAGGTCAAAGTTCAAGGAAAAGGAACTTGGTGACGCCTGTGCTCCCGGCGCCGTGGAAGAAAGCGCGCCGGCGGCAGCGGCACCCACAGACCTGCCGCTAAGGCCAGCGCCGACGCTGTCCGCTCTGTAGACGTCGTAGCGGCTGCCGCAGCGGCTGCCAACGGCGCCGCCATCCGTGCCGTCTGTACCGGAGGAGTTGCCGGCGGAATCCGTAGTGGGAATGGCAGGGGAAGCTGCACGCGGCAGCGGTCCCCGCTTCGTACCCGCCAGCAGCAGCTCCTCGCGCCGCCGGACAGGACTAGCAACCACGCCGCCGCCAGTGGTAACGGAGGCGGCAACAGCGAAACTGCCACTCCTGGTTGTTGTCATGTTGCTTGTGGTGGTGTGAATCCCCGTGGTGGTACTAGCCCGGGCTGGGGCGAGCAGCGGTGTCCCCTCAAAGACAGGGCCCGATGCGCGGCGATGGGCGATGGCAGGTGCGCCACCGCCGCCGCCAATGTTCCGGTACCCGCCGGGGACGCCGCCGCCGCCACCACTCCCGCCGGCGGCCGCCTCCCGCGCCATGACCGCTGCAAACACGGAGTCCACGGAGGATCTGGAGCGTTGCGGTAACGGCTCGTGCTGTTGTGCGAAATGTAGCTGATGATGCAGCCGTCCAGCCGAGTCCTGCCATGCCGCCGCGCTGCTGCGCTGGCTGCCGCTACCCGTGAAGTCGCCGCCGACGCCACCGTCGACCTCCGTACGCGTTTTCGACGCCGTACGATGGGACGCTGAAGGATGCGCGCTTTGGCTGTTGGTGCTGCCGCTGCGCGCCGCCACGGCGGCGGCGGCGGCCTTGTTGCCGTCGGCGGGCATGTAGCGACGGAGCGACGCCGCCGCTTCGGGTGTCACGACCACGCCGGTGGTTGCCATGCCGTGGATCAACCGCATGGTTTCGTCAACGGTTGCGCCTTCATACGACAACTGGCCGGTGAGGGGGTGTATCATGCTGGCGACAGGACCCCAGTGCACGACACCCTTGACGCGAGGGCCAGGAGCGACGGGGAACTGCGAGGGGGGGTGTGCGAGGGTGCAGGGGACGAAGGGTCGTGTAAGGAAGAGGAGACGCGTCGTGGCGTGTTGGGCTATACCGGTAGGTGCACCATGAGGATACCCGTGAAAAGTCGACGCGTGGGCTAACAATCTTAACCACCCCCGGTCACCCGCATCACCCTACTCACGTCGCATTCCGCGAAGCCTCGCCATTCGCATTGCTCGCAGGTCAGCACCGCATTGCTCCAGGGGTGGTTCGACATGCCCGCATACACCTGTGCTGCCCATAACGCAGCGCGGTAGGCGTCCGAGAAGATGCACAGGGCCCTTCCGACGTCCAGTTGAGACATGTAGCCGCCGTACAAGCGGGCGTACTGGTAGGCCAGCGCCTGTAGGGACAAGGTTTGGGCAAGTATCCGTAAAGAGGAATGTCATGAGGAGGGTATTAGGGCAAGGCAAGGGCCAGCGCAACCTTTTCTAACAAGATACCGGCATGCTATGTCTTATTATGGAACCAACAACCGCACTCTACCCCCGCCCGTTATGCTCAGGCCACCACGGCACACACACGTGCGTTTTCGGCTATGGGGTCCGGCTACTGTAATCCCTTTAATCCATGTACGGTACATCCACCCCTTAGCCCCGTCGGATGCCCTGCGTGTACCCCGCTTGCGCTGTTGCACGCACCTGGAACACGGAGGACATCTCCATGCTTACAGCCGGGGGCGCAGTGTGCAGCAGGCCTCGGGGGGCCAGCTTGACCGCGCCACAGGCCACGACACTCAGGGGCGCATCCAGCACACCTGCGACAAGGTAAGGGAGCGACCCATGGGTCCATCGTCTGCGGGTTTCCATCCCCAAAGCAGGCAGATAGATAACCTTGACATGATGGCATGAACCGGACATGGTATTCATACCGACCGACCCTTAAACACCGCCAGCCATCGGCCGAGCGCCCCATTATGACTTTATGAGTAAATGGTCACCAGTAGCGACTTTCCCTCAATACCTACCCAATCCAAGCGGCGCGTAGGTCCTGTTCAGCGGCCGCTGCAGCACCGCACGTAGCACCAGTCCCGGGCTCGACAGCTGGAACAACGTGGCGGGCAGCCGGGGCGCCCCCAGCACATAGTCCCCCACACGCCACAGCACCGCGCGGCTCGCCAGGAACTGCGGGCCGCACAGGGCTACCGTGTGCCTGGAGGCAAACACCATGCCGCCGTGAGCCGCGTCTGAGACAGCTTTGGCGCACAGCAGCGGCTGGCCGCTGTAGCGGGTGCGGCCTGAGGGGTGCTGGCGGTTGACTTCGGCTGCCAGCCGCACGCCGCTGTGCATGCCGCAGCGGACCTAGCGAGGTGTAGGGATGGGAATGAGAGTGGGATTGTGCAGGGTTAACACACTGGAGAACTGGGATTAGGAATACTGGTAAGAGGAAAGGAGAGGCCTCGTGCGTGTGAAACGGTGGTGAGGTTTGGAGCGTTGGGATCTTACCCTGAAGCCTCGGAAAACGAGTATGGCGTCCGCCCCAGCATGCTCAGGGGACATGCTCGCAGGCAGCTCCACCCACTTTGACTTGAGCTCCGAGCCGTACGTGGCAGGTGACTGGTACAGCTGCTTGCTGTTGCCTCCACCACGGCGCTTGCGTCGGCTGGGCTGCAGCATGAGGGTGCTGTACACGGACGTCCCGTGCGTGCCGTTGCTGTTGGTGGTGCCGTGGGAATGGGAACTGGAGCGGCTCTCCGTCCCCCAGCTGGCCATGCGGCCGGTAAGCTCAAAGCCGTCGGCCTGGGGCGCCGGGGTTGAGGTTGCATGGAATGCGTATAGCCCCAGTCCATGTGGCGCGGAGGTGGCGGCGGTGACGGCCGCGGCGGCGGCAGCGACGGCAGCCGCCGCGGCCGCATTGTTGTAGCCACTGTCGCCGAAGACGCCGGCACCCAGGCGGAAACTCCCGCCGCCGAAGCTTCCGCCACCGCCGCTGAGCCCGCCGCTGATACCGCCCTCCATGCCATCGACGCCACTGCCGCCCATGCCAATCGCCCGAATGCCGGAAGGGCTGGTCCCGGTTATCGAGGAGGCGTAGCGGAAGCTCCTTTGCATGCGTCTGAGGATGCTCGTCCACGAGCGCCATCCCCGAAGACTCCGGGCCTGCTGAGTGCTTGTCGCAGCACCGACACCGCCGCCGGTGCAGCCCTCATCAACGACGGCCGTGCCAGTGGTGTGCTGCCGCTGCCGACGGAAGGAGTTGTGCACAAAGTTGTTAGGAAACGAGGCCGCGGCATGGACGGGGTTCGTTAGCGTCGGCTGTGACGGCGACGGCGGCGGCGGCGGAGCGTCGTCCGCCGACGCATCCTCGGCGCCGGCGCCCAGTGGCAGTAACGCCAGCGACGCGACTGCACAGCGACTGGACTGTTGCTGGAGGATAGCCGCTGCAGTCGCCGGCCCCATCTGCCCGGGCCCGCATCCGGCCGCCTCCGCCTCCTGCACCAAGGCAGCAGCATTGCTGACCACCGTCGTACTGCGTGTACGGCGAACCACCTGCAACGACGCCGGCGGCGGCTCTTCAGGCACAGAGGAGATCTGCAGGTGCTGTACGGACCGCAGCGAGTGCGCGGATCTGGACTGTGGCTGGGAGGCCCCTAGGCTGGTGGCGGCGGCCAGCAGCCCGGCGACCCGGGGCGGCGGCGGCGCCACCGGCGCCTCTTGTTCTGGGCCACTTGACACGGGGGTGTCGCTGGCGTCGGGTCCCAGACTGTCGCTCCCTAGCACGGGCGGCCGTGAGCGGCTGCCGCCGGCGGGGATGGTGGTAGCAGCAGTTGTAGGGCCTCCATCCGTGGCTGTAGTGGCAGTGACAGTGGCAGCACCCACCGAACGGGCCTTCTGAATGGGTCCGCTGACCGGCAGGAAGGGCTCCAAGGAGCTCCGTTCATGGCGTTGCCCGCCAGCGGCTGAGCGCACTGACACCGCCGCTTCTAGCGGCCCACTGTCGCCGCCATCCCCACCGCCGCCACCGCCGCCGCCGCCGCCGGCATTCGCCTGCGCGCCCGCTGATACTCCGCCGCCGCCGCTCCTCACAACACCCGCTGCTACCCCACTACTAAGGTTGCCGCTGCCGCCGCCGCCGCCAAAGACACCACCGCCTGCCGCCAAAATCCCGGCGAAAAGGCTGCCGCCGCGGACTGTCCCAAACGCCACAGGAGACGCCGCTGTGGATACGGGGGATGGTCGTTGTAAGAAGGACATGCTGCGACGGCCACCCGGGATGGACAACCCTGATAGCATGTCCAGGCGACGCGCCCCGCGACTAAAGGTGCGTGGCTGCGGTGAAAAGCCATGTCCGTGGCTGTGGCCGTTCCCAGGGACCGATGTTCCCGAGGTGGCAATGGCACCTGACTCAGCCTCCAGGGCCTCGTCCAGTGACACGCCGGCCTTGGCAGCGGCCTTCGCGGCCAGGCGGCGCAGACGCTTTGTGCCAATGACGTAAACGGGCCTGGGGTAATGAGGCGAAGATAGAGGAATGGGGGAGGGGACGACGTGGTACGGGGTGCGTGGGTCGGTGTGTTGGATTTGAGGTGAAAGGAGAAGGGCAAATGGGATATTAAGGTACTGTGAAAGGCTGAGAGGGCTGGTACATACCACACATGCAAGACAAGTACTATGGATTAAATACACTGCATGGCGAATCCTGTAAGTGGTCCAAGTCAGTGTTAGTGCATACAGGTGCGTGGAGGAGGGTAGGGGTAGGTGGTGGCCTGTCATCACCCTCCTCCGCCCTGACGCCTGTGGACGATGTGGACTGTGAGGGGAGAGGGAAGGTGGCGCTCTCTTCTTCCCCATGCAGGTACGGCTTCCTCGCACCTGCATGCGTCATGCAGCAGCACCTCCTCGGGCCAGGGCTGCTCCATCAGCACGGACTGGATCTGCAGCGCGAAGCCCACTGTAAGAGGGAAAGCAGGAGGGAGGCGAGGGTCAGCAAGCGCAGGACACTACCGAGAGAGATGAGGGGGAGGGGGAACTGGGACTCTATTTTTTAGACATTCGCAATCAAGGGCACTGATCCAGGCCTTACAAGCACTGTGTGGAATCGAAAGCACTGCGATCGCAGAAAGCGTGTGACCCAATGAAGCACGGCACCCTTGCAATGAAGGGGTACAGGACGGGAATGATACGTTGCGCGAGGCGAAGCCCGACCTACCCGCTGCGTCTGGCGTGTGAAATGCCACGGTGAATGAGTCGCCTGCGGATCAAGGTGAGGTGTGGAGGGAAGGCAGGCGGGCAGAGCACCCGTAAACGGCGGGACATGCTCGCCGCCGCACCGGCGTCCTCACCGAGCGTCTTTCAGCAGCGAGCAGCGAGCAGCAGCAGCACAAGCTGTACAACAGCAGCACAAGTCACTGGAACAAACTGGAGCTGGCAATTACAGCCCCACTCACCCTCCGTCACGGACTCGTATCCGGACCAATACGCGATGACCTTGCGGATGGTATCATGGTGCAAACTCAGCGCCGTGTCCATGACGAGCGCATCCAGCTCCTCCCAGAGGACCTGAGGGAGCAAGGGAGGGTCGTGGGGTTGGGAGGTGTGCAAAACTGCCACAACACGTCGGATGGTACAGCACGGGATGAGGTGCGGTAGAGGGAGTGGTGGGCGATTTCATTACGGTAGTACTGCGAGGTTACTGGTGAAGCAAGAAGCAGACACGCCATGAACAGTGAAGAGGATTACGAGGTGGGAATCAGACAAACTGATAGGCGTACGACAGGCTCGTGCGGACAGGCGGCCATGTACGACAGACCCCACTACAGCCGCACTTACAGTGGATGCCTCGATGTCCTGCCGGGGCGACAGCGAGGGCAGTGATGGCAAGCCGCCGCAAAAACGACCGGCGTGGTGATGAAGGGTGTTCAATAGCAGATTAGTGAAGGGTACGTTTAGTAGTGGTAGGGGCGAGGAGGGACCGGTGGGCCATGTGCTCATTCATCAAACACATTCCCTAAAATAGAGATTGCGGCTCAACTATGACATGTCAAGCACAACAGGCCATCGCAACCCAAGCGCATGTCCCAGGGTAAGCGCTGCTGCTCTTCCGTGCCCACGCGCCTCCTTTAGAGCCCATGGTTCCCTTCCCTACAGCCCTACGGCCCCAGGCCTGAGTCAACACCGTCAGGCCATGACCCGTGGGTCCATCTCACCGTGACAACCTGCGATAGAAGGGCAATGTAAAGGCAGGGATATAGTTAAATGCGCCAGCGTTAAGGTGCGATGTAGGTTTTTTTGCTAAAGCAAATTGGGCTAACGGTCAATGCGAAAGCAGCCATGCAAAGCCCGTGTAGTGCAGCGTGTTAACCGACAGATGGAGAGCACAGCCAACTGGCAACTGGTGTGCCATGCGGAGAAGGAGAAGTAAAGAGGCCCACGCCCGCGGAGAAACCCAATACCCAAATCCCCATCTTGGCGCCCGTGACGCCGCTTGATCCCATCCTTAAGCACCCTACCGGCCCACTCCACCCCATTCCATCCCGCATGCCCTCCTCCCCACCAGTGTAGTCCTAGGCCCCACACACGGGTCCTTGCTGCGCCTCCAGCCGCCTGCCACCATCAGCCTCCTGTACAGGAACGCCCCCAGCACCACCAGCACCGCCGCGGCCAGGCAGCCCACTGCCGCCCCCGCTGTCGACCCCGCGCTGGGCTGCGCCACGCCGTCATCTCGCTGCACAGGGCCCACCGTGAACCGCAGCACAGGCGGCGGCGGCGGTGGCGGCGGCGCTGGGGCCGCCAGCAAGTCGCCCCTGCCGATGGAAAGCAGGTACTGCTTGCGCAGCGTGGTGAAGCCCGGCACCGACGGGTTGAAGTAGGGCCAGATGAGGGCCATAAGATGGTCCATGATGAGTTCTACGGACTCATCCGAGACCGTGAGATTGTAGGCCGCGTAATGCAGCGCCGCACGGTACTGGATGAAGCGTTGTAGCGCCTCTGGGAAGCTCAGCAGGTTGCCATGCATGAGGATTTCGTACGACAGATCCAGGTAGGATCCAATGGCGGCATCGTCGTACCCAGCCGCTGCCCAACGATACCTGTTCGAGGGTGCAAAGTGCTCGTAGCGGAAAGGCGCCAGCGGCGATCCGGGGGCCACCACCAGGTCCCAGACCAGTTCGGTATCCGTGAGCCGCCTTACCCACCGCACCGAGTGCGCTTGATGCATGCGGGGAATGAAGCTGTTCACCCCCACAACCAGCGGGCTCATTCCCAGCAAAGGCGCCATGTTAGCAAGCACAACGCCCTCTCCTCCTCCTTCGCTGCTGCTGCTACCGCTACTGTAGGTGGTCCCAAGCACGGCTGCCTGACGCGCCGCGTCCCCAGGCCATGCCTGTACGGCAGTTGCGTACGGACACGTCTCGTACGTGCAGGGCACTAGGGTATTCGTCTGGCGGTCAAAGACCACTGTGGAGCCGGGCAGGTGCGCGCTGCGCGAGTAGCGTCGTACGGCAGGCGAAGCTGACAGCAACACATGCTCCTTCAGCACAGGCTGGGGTGCGATTTGGAAGGCGCAGCGGCCTTGCTGGTACAGCGGGTCCGCGGTTCCGTAGTTGCTGTTGCAAGCTGAGGCATTGGTGGCGAGGCCGTGGGGCGGGCTGAAGGCGGAAAGCGCGCGGTAGTAGAGCATGGCGGCGGCTGTGCCCATGTTGTGAATAAGTGGGTTGAGCGTGGTTGGCTCGAAAAAGGCCTGCGGCGTGGTGGTGAGGGCGTGTGCAGGGTACAGAGGAAGTGACTAACTGACATGCAAGGTAGGTTGGAGTCCTCTTCATACCTACCCTGAGCCGCGCCCATTGGAACCCGGCCCCTAGGAACGTGCCCGGCCTTGTCTACCCCATGCGTAACACTCTATTCCTATCCCGGCTGACCGACCGCTCCCCGCCAAAACCATGCCAATGCAACCCGGATGCACCCCGGCCCTCCCGCCATCCAACGGACCCGCCCGCCCCTCGCATCTCACCCCCTGCTGGATGCCCTGCGTCTGAATGAAGCTGGCCCACACCGCCATAAGCTCGTACGAGTCCGCATGGCAATCTGCAAGGGAGGGCGAAAGGGAAAATACGTACACAAGAGTTCAGAACGTGAGGCTGTGCTCAGGGCACATCCCTGAGCCGCACGTCGTGGCCGTGCGGCCCTTCACGCAGAAGCAAACCCAGATCCCGGGACAAGGGGAACACCCTAGGTGGCTTCACACCCGACAGCGGCGCAAGCTCCGGCCTTAGCCACCGAGCCCACTCCAACCCAACCCAGGTGCGGCCCTCAACATGTGGCACCCGGCGCTAGGGACACCAGCCCAGACCACACCGCTGGGCGCACCTGGAAAGGGCAGCGTGCAGAAGCCGTAAAAGTTCGAGTCCTGCTGCGCATTCGGCCCCTGCGGCCTGCCATGTACCGCCTGTACGGCGTACAGCAGCTGGTCCCAGGTGCGCGGTACGGCAAGCCCATGCGCCGCAAGCACGTCACTGCGATAGTGCAGTGTGATGGCTGCGGCACCCAACGGAAGCGCGTAGATGGAGCCGCTGCCCGTGGCGTCTGCTGCGGCCAGGCGCGCCCGCAGCACGGCAAGGTTCCCGAGCCAACTGCCAGTCCAGGAATCTGTCGTGATGTACGGCTGGAGATCCAGCAGCGCGCCCGAGGCCATCATATCCGGCACAAGGACCGGGTCAATGACCAGGCCATGGTAATAGTTTGTGTGACCGCGCGCCAGCTGCGTGAGGGACAAGTCCCAGTCCGGAAGGAGCTGCACGTACCATGCTACCCCGGGCTCCCCTGCTGGTACGGGTAGCCGCTGCTGCAGCACGTCGGCTACGCCTTGCAGGGGCCCAAGCAGGAAGCGGACCTGGAATGTCCGAGGGAGAGAAAAGACGGGGCAACGCTGGCACTTAGGGGCCAAGCACTCGAGGACGGCGAGGCGAGGCTCAACGTGGTGGCTCCTTGTGTGGTGCATGGCAGCAATGTGACTCGAGGACGGCCGATGCTGCCCGTGCTTGCATGGCATGCATATTCCTAATCACAGGGGTGTGCTTGGTGCTACTACCGCAAGTCCGCAACCTGAGGTGCGGCTTTGGATGGTGTCAAACGTGCGGGCGCGAACACTTAGCGTTTCTGGAAAGTAAGTACCTACGGTGTAATTCGCATTGCTGTAGTTGTCATCCAGGCATTCCTCCAGCAGCGTTGCAAACGTATTATTTGTGCAACTGCATTTTTAACGTCCGCGGTCCAGTCAGTAAATAGAAAATGATACGAAGAGCATACCCCACAGTCAAAGCATTAAAAGACCTTGATACTTTTTAACTATGAGCGCACCTTGCATGAGCTCCAGCCAGAAAACAATCGTTCACCAGCTGTGCGCGAAAGGAGTCATTTGTATCTGTATCTGCTGCTTCAGCCTGAAGCTCCGCTGGCAGATTTGTCGCCGCAAGAGCGAAAAGTAACAACAACGCAATGCGGAAAGGCATTACCACCTCGCAGTAGAGGCCTATCCCCACCCCATTTGACAACTTGGAACTCGACGAGTATGTCGTCCAGTATATAGGCTTCACCACCGGCGTTGCAAATGTATTCCGACTGAATAGGCAAAAAAGTAAACTACCCAGAACTTTGCGGACACATATTAAAGACGGTGCCCTTCCTTGCCTGAACCACCGGTGTGCTTTGGCCGTTCTCCACCAGGAGGCACATACGAGCAGTACGACATGTGCACGTGCGGCCTACTATTCATATGGACAGCCGACATCTCTGGCTTAATGCTCGCTGCCCCATGGCATAGAAACAAACGCTGTAGTCACAGAGGTCGTGTAAAGTTCATAACTTCGACGGCCACGCACAGCTTCACCGCATCGCCATCTGCGCCGTGCGAGGTTTACTCTACGGGGTGAAATTTAGCTATCCAGAATAACTAAAACACACACATGCAAGATCACCGGTTGGTAGATACAGATGTCTCCCTGACAAAATTCAGAGTATGACAAGTATGAGTAACGTGCCAGGATACATCTGACCCCCACCGGCCCTGCCTGCCTTACAAGCACACCGCATACTACAATTCCGAAACAAGGTATGGGGAAACCTTAGTTATACATTTCACTCCAAGGGTATGCGCGTGAGGAGCGTTGAAGTATCCGGGCATGCTCGCACATGAGCGGATACGGTGAACGGTTCATATATTTCGTGCACGGTTTAATACAGCTTGCAGACGCATCGGTGATCATAACACATGCTCAACCAGCACAGTCCGTTAGCGACACAGGTTATGACGTAGGATGTACAGTACTGTATGGCTTACCCACGATTAGTCCCAAAACAGAACTCGGTAGCCGAATGTGAGGCATTAAACCTTGACTGGTGATATCGATTAAGGGTGGTTTGATGGGCGACAGCAGGTGCCTGATGGTCGTGATGGAGGCTAACACATGCACGTGTGACACTGTTGGCACTCTTGATTACCCGAGGCGGGGCAACAGGTTTGCAGTGAGCTGCGGGTTGATAAGAAGCATGTAGTTATAGGAGGTTGCTGCCTGCAGTGTCATGGCTCACGGCTCGACGGCTGCACGTTTGAGAGAAGTGATTGTACGGACTCGCCGTACACTTTATCATATGAGGTGAATTCTGGCCTTACATGCTGCTAATCGCAAGCTGTACATACCAGGTTTGCGCTGTCCTTTAAGGGAGGCGTAGGTGAGCGCTCCGAGCATAATTCCAATACTTAAGACGCTTACCTGCCTGAGCTTTTAGCTTCGTGCTTCACTCTAGGAAGTTAGGGCTTTATCAACACATATATAGCGCATTTTGGGATACCTACTTTGTTGCTGGAAGAAAGGTCTGCGTTGTGCGATCTGACCAGTTACTTCTTTTGCGCCTATGGCGTCGCGGTAAGTAGGGGCAGCAGCATTCAACTTGCTTGTACAACCTTTTTAAAATGCATGTATTTAGATTTTTGTACGTTTCACCCCAGAGATGCCGAGTCGAGAAGGGCAAGTGGAACCACCCGATAAGGGCATAGGATTGGGCCGGACGGCAAAAATGGCACGAGTTGGGCGCAAGTACGCCACACTCTTTGAGTTGGCGGCGCTTCCAACGTCGAAGGCCGAACCTGTAGTTCCCTGCGAATGGGCAAGCCGCGTGCTTCGGCTGCTGGCGTCCGCCAGCTGGGCGGACCCTGTCTTTCTTGAGGAGCTATGCGAGAGTGGTCTGGTGCCCGCAATCTGCAAGGTGCGATCCCTAGGGCGTATCCACTTTAGGCCCGGTTTCGATTGCAGGCCACGACCCGATCGTTGCGCCTGTGCCATGATGCAAGATAGACAAGAGCATATTTCATTGCATCGGACCTGATGACGCAGTCATTTAGCTGGGTGGTTCCAGTCGCACGCTAAACTACTTCAATTCCCCTTTCTCAACGGTGCAGGTCCATCCGCTTCTCAAGGCGAATGCGACCGGCTGTGCAGCGTCTAGTTCTATACAGGACTCAGCTGATCTGGACGAGGCTGTGCGCAAGTTGCGCCACGAGCTGGGGCTGGCCGAGAAGCGGCTGCCCAGCCATGGCAACCTTGGCAGCGGCGGTAGCGCCTTCTATACCACCTGGACCAGCGTTGGCCACGTGTGCAGCCTGATGTTACAGGCGCTGACACACGCCGGGGCTGCGCAAACTCCCAACACTCCCGCTTCTGCTAATGCTGGCGGGACCGCCTCAACCGCCGCTACCCACTCGCAGCAGGCCCCAGCCACGAACGGCCCAACTGCCGCGACCCAGGCCTCCACTTCCGGTGCGGTAGGATCTTCTGCACCCAACAGCAACCAGGCGCCGGACCCTGAAACGCAGGAAGGCCCCGCCAACGACACCAGCGCCGCAGCACATGCTGCCCCCGCCCGAGCTGAGGCGGGAGGTGCCGCGAGTGGGGCTGTTGCGGACACGCCCGGGGATGCCGGACCCTCGAACGCGGCCACACCCAGAGGCCATCCCGGCTCTACGGCCAAGGCGCTGAGTGGCTTGTTCGCGAGTCCTCCGGGAACTGCCGGCGGTGTTAGCAGTGGCAGTGGAGGCGGCGGCAGCATGCCTGCGCTTGCCACGGAGGCAGCGCTGCTGAAGTTGCTGGGCCATAAGCACGTGCTGCCGCGCGCCAAAGATGTGCTGCGTGCGGTTTCGGAGCCGTACCGTGCTGTGCTGGCGCGGATCTTGCTGACCCACATGATGACGGAGATGAAGGTAGCTAGGGCGGTCGCGTGTTGTGTGGCTTGTGCATGCATGTTACCGGTTTGAGTGAACCAGAGCTGTGGCTGCGTGGTTGGTGTGATACCGGGATTCAATCCGTACGAGCTGTCCACACCGCATCTATACTCGCCGGCAAGCTCTTTATGGTGTCACGCCTCCTTACCTGCATTGCGCATGTTTCTTGCTTTGCTACTTTATGCAGGCCACCAAGTCAGGACTGGCAACCATCCTCCAGATCCTCAAGGGAGACCCCGAGGCATCTTCGCCCGCCCCCACCGCCCTTCCCAAAGCCTGGTTCGCCAGCGCGGCCCTCCTGACGGCCTACCGTGACGTGCTCTCCGCCTGCGCCCCGCCGGCTCCTCCCTCCGCCGAGGCTGCTGCCGGCCCCTCTACCAGCGCTGCGGCTGCTGCCCCCGCTGCGGCTGCTGCGTCCAGCGGAGCTGAGGCGCCAGAGCTAGCAGCTGGGCAAGCAACTGCGTCGTCGGAGGCGGAGCCGCTACCTCCTGCAGGAGCAGGGCGTACAGCAGGGGAAGCTGCGGGGGAGGCTGAACATTCAGCAGCTCCGAACCAGGCCTCCGGGGGCGGTGCGTCAGCAGCCGTACCCCAGCCGGCGACAGAGGCGCAGCAGCAGGCGGAGGCGGCAGCTGCTGCGGACGGGAGCGGTGACGTCCCAATGGCTGATGCGCAACCAGCGCCCCAACCCGAACAGGCTGCTGCTCCCGCGCCGAACACCGGCAGTGCACCGACTGGCCTCGATAGCGCTCCGCCGCCATCCTTCTCTGCATCCCTTCGAAGCGAGCTACCCAGTCTTCCCGCTCCAGCCACCCTACCAGCGGCCTCCGCACCCGAGTCCCGCGGCGATGACGCACGGTTCGCTTTAGGTCAACTGCTAGAGGACATGGCCGTGTCGCTGCTTGACGCCGTGTCTGGCGCTCACGCCGTGGGCCGCATGGCGTTGCTGCTCCGCGGCGAGGCGGCTGCCAAGTTCCCCGCAGCCGCCTCATTCATGCCAGCCGCACTGTCCATTAACGAGCTCATAGCTCACCTAGACGCGCTGGCCTGCGTGGGCGCCGCCTTGGGCGCGGAGGAGCGCGTGCGGCCCGCCGCTGCGGCGCTTCTGAGCGGCCCCGCGGTGCGGGAGCTGCTGGGTGTGGGCAAGGTGTACGTGACGACGGTGATAGCGGCGGGGGCACTAACTAGGGACCTCAGCATCGAGGCTGTGATCCCGCAGTCGCTGCGGCAGGGATACATGGCGGCGGTGCTGACGCCGCTGGAAACGGGTATGTACGAGGATGTGGGCTGGGGTTGTGGTGTGGGAGCAGGGCAGCAACTCCGGTCTCTGGCTTTCGATGCGCCCTCCCCATGCTCGCTACATAGCACGATGGCTGCTCACCCCACCCACTCTACCCTGCTCCCTGCAATCCTGCTGGGGGTATTAACTCACTGTACCTTGTGCGGCTGCGTGCACATGCGCATTTACAACATCACATGCATATGCAGGTGCGCTGCTGAACGAGCGGCGCGCCCCCCAGGTGCTGGCCTACCGCAACAGCATCACCGAGAGCTCCTACTACCAGGTCCGCAGGGGATGGCAACTGCGGGGGCGGTTTGTTAAGGCTGCCGGGGTCGAGTGTGGTGAGGGCCGCTAAGCCTATACGGCGATTGCCTTAAGCAGCAGTTGGACCTGACCCGGTGTATAGGAATGGGTCATGCCCCAATGGTCTTGTCACCGCTGTATCGGCTTCGGCATGCCCCTTTCCTCGTAACCAGTGGCTTATCCCCAATGCGATTGTGTGTTAACTCGGGGCTGCACAGGTTATGGATGCGGATGCGCTGCCGTACGGCGTCAACATTAGGTGAGTGCTGGGAACCGGGCTGGCATTTCCCATATGGCTTTATGAGGTACCTGTATGCGGTCTCTTACCAGCGGTCGCCACCATGGCGGCCTGGTGCCGTTGCATATCGTACGGTAACAGCGGTTAACAGCGGCAACCTTCCTTCTCGCTACAGGTTTGAGGACGAGCAGGAGGCTGAGGGCATGGGGGTGGTGCGTGAGTGGCTGTCACAGATAGCCGCCGACATCTTCTCAACGGAACGCGGCCTCTTCGTCCGCGGCGCTGCGGACCGACGTGTCGTACATCCGTCGCCTCAGAGCGCCGCTCAGGAGGACTACCTGGGCTACATGCGCTTTGCGGGGCGCATCGTGGGTGAGTCTAGCTGCATGCGTGCACCTTTGGTGGACTGCTCTCTGAAAACTCTGATGCTGCATGGCATTCAACCGTTATGCGTGCTTAACACTTGGATTCGCATGCCGTCACATGGTATTCGAATTGATCCCGAGTGCCGCTGTCCCCATGACGCCAGGTCTGGCGCTGCGCGCCAATGTTCCCCTGGGTGTGGTGCTGAGCACCGGCCTCTTCAAGTACCTCACCGGCCGGAGAGCGAACCTGCAAGACCTGCAGCAGATTGACCCGCAGGTGTGTCGTTGCAGGGCTGTGTGTCCCAGTAGATGTGTGACGGTGCATGATTCCCGTCAGGTGGCGGGCAGTCTGCAGGGTGTTAACTTAGATGGCAGGGTGTTACGTGTGCTGGTCGTGTTGGCTCTGTGGCGGTGTACGGCCTGCGTGCTTCCCTTCCCTCGCTCCTCCTCACATCGGGACATCACCATACTTGCACCCTTCCTGCTTGCAGCTCTACACGACCTGCCAGAACATCCTTTCCACTCCTGGAGCCGAGTCCCTGGAGCTCTTCCACGTGTGGCACCGACACGGCGGACCCATGGGTCAGTCCCCCAGCGGCGGCAGCCACAGCAAGGGCGGCGAGCAGCAGCAGCAGCGCGGCGCTGAGGTGGAGGTGGAGTTGCTGCCCGGCGGCAGCTCGCTGCGGGTGTGCGATGCCAACAAGGCGGCCTACGTGGAGCTGCTGGCTCACCACGTGGTGGTTGAGGCGGTGGAGGAGCAGGTGGGGGAGGCGGCGTGGATGGGCTTGGACTCTCTCACCTTCCCGGTGCATTGACCACCATCACTTACCGGTAACCTTGCTGGCACCAACCTTGCAAAGCCGCGCTTGGTTACGTACCCACCAAGCATCCTCTCTACCTCTCCCACGCACCCATGCATCCCTCCCCCGCTCCTCCCTCCTCTCGCCCCGCGCGCCCCCCCTGCGCCAGTCCGCCGCCTTCCTGGCCGGCCTGCAGGACACCGCCGCGCACCTGCCTGAGGAGCCGCGCCTGCGCCGCGCCTTCCTCTCGCCGCTGCTGCTGGAGGACCTCAACCGCATCACGGCGGGGGAGAGCCGGCTGGAGCCGGACGACTGGGCGGCGCACACGGATGTGGCGGGTTTTGAGGGCGGCGAGGTGGGCGGCGGTGGGAAGGTGGAATGCGTAGGGAAGGGAAGGCGGGACGCAAAGGCGTTTGTACCGTGGTTGCATGCCATGGGTGCAGGTGCCGGTAGGAAAGGTCGGGAAGAGAGGGAAGGGTACGGAAAGGTGCATGCGCGCATGTGGTCTCATGTGATGCCAAGGAGGCGGTTGTCCCTCCGCCGACCGTGCTATACATCCCACCTGTCGACATGGTGACGCTTTCGACGTTCCACGCCGGGTGACGTGACAGACGAGACCCCTTGCCGCTGTCTATGATGTCCCTCCGCTCCGCTCGCTGTTCGCCCTCCTCCCCTCAGGAGCAGTCCTGCCTGGACATGTTTTGGCAGCTGGTGGCGGAGTATAGTCCTGAAGACCGGCAGCGTCTGCTGCAGGTGCGGCTGGGCGAGATGAGCAGCGTTGGGGTCGCATGTAATGGGAGCCTGCGTTTGTGTGTTTCATTTAGGGCCTACGGGCCTGCGTACGTCCTCCCTACCCCTATCTGCATTCGCTTCTTGTTTCCTTCGACATGTCCCCACCTACCCGTGTCGTGTCACGTTGCGCTCCCCCCCGCCAACCACCACCAACCGCCAACCGCCCTGATGCATGGTGCGCAGTTCTGGACGGCCATGACGCACCTGCCCTCGGGCGGCTTCAAGGCGCTCAACCAGCGACTGCAGATTATGAAGCTGGGACCCTCAGCAGCTAGGCCCGCAGCGGCCACAGCCGCCGGACCAGCGGGTGCGGCTGCCGCTGCCGCCACCCCAGCGGCGGCGGCCATGCATGGCGCGCCGGCTGAGAGCTTGGGTCCCCACTCGCACCAGTTGGATGGCGACGCCCTGGAGGGCGAGGAGCCCAGCAGCGAGGACTCCGAGGAGTCCATGGAAGAGGCAGCGGCGGAGCCCTCAGCCCGGACGCCGCCGCCGCAGCAGCAGCAACAGCAGCAGGAGGAAGGAGAGCGGCAAAGCGATGCGGCGACTGCTGCTGCTGCTGCCGCCGGTGCCGCGACTGGTGTGCCGGACGGCAACGGAGGTGAGGGCGGGCATGCGGCGCGCGCCGCTGAGCCGGGTGCTGACGGTGCGGCTGCGGCTGCTGCAGCACAGTCGCAGCCGCAACCACCCCAGGAAGGAGAGGACGCCGCTGCGCAGCCCCTCTCGGGCTTTGCCTCAGGGGATGTTGCAGATGAGGATGGGGAGATGCCGTACGATGAGGGGTACGACGACGAGGAGGAGGATGACGGCATGGATTACGGGCATGGGGAGGATGAGGTAGATGAGGAGGAGGAGTTTCAGCGGCAGCTTGAGATGGCGCTCGCGCTGTCTCTGCAGGACCTCCCTGCTGAGCAGGCCAATACAGGTGCTGGCCCGTCGGGTCAACAGCCCGCGGCTCCTGCTCCTGCGGATGGTGCAGCTGGGGGCGCTGCAGGCGGCAGTAGTGCGGAGCAGCCTGCGAGCAGCGGCAACGGTGCGGACGACAGTGGAGGTGCAGACGGGGCAGGGAATGGAGGCTCGGGGCCAACTGGGGCTTCGCCGGGCGGTGAAGCAGCCAACGGCGGCAGTGCCGGCAAGGCGGATGGTGGGGCCGCGGACGGAACGGCGCCAGCAGCTGCGGCGGCGGCCCCAGCAGCGGACTTGGCAGCTGGCGACGGTGGCATGCGGCAGCAGGACGCTGAGGCAACCGACGGACAGCCGCAGCAGCCTGCGGAAGAAGGAGTCTCAGATGGTGCTGCTGGCCTTGCTCATGCTGGCTCTAGTGGTGAGGCTGGCATGTCGTCCGAAGCTGCTATGGAGACGACGGGCGCGGAGGCCGCTGCCACTGTCGCTGCTGCTGCTGCTGCAGCTCCTGTTGCAGCAGTGGATGGCCAAGCTAGGGAGGGTACCTCGCCAGGCGGCGGGGGTGATACCACGGCAGCAGGCACGGATGACCACCCCAGCGAAGCTGAAACAAGCGACATGCCTCGTGAGAAGGAGGCAACGAACGGAGTTTCAACTTTGGATGCTGCTGCAGCTGCCGACACGGACGGCGCTCATGCCGGGCCGGGGGCCTCAGACCACCTCTCGGCCGCGGCCGCACCACACGCCGGCGAGCCCGCGACGGGTCCCGCTGCTGCGGCGGCAGGAGACGCGGCGAATGACTCAGCTGCAGCAGCGGCTGATGCTCCGAATCCTGCCGGGGATGACACTCACGCCTCAGCGCAGCTAAGCCCTCCTGACGGTGTGCTGGGTGGGCCTGTGATGGAGCCGCCGTCTGACCCCATGGATACGGAGGTTGCGAGCGGGGCCGCGGCGGGGCCGCCGGATGGTTCGGCGGCTGCAGCCTCACCCTGGGCTGAGCCGGGTCAGTCGTCCGCTGCACCAGGGGCCCAGGCCGCGGAAATGACAGAGGCTGCTATGGAAGGAATTGAACAGCAGGAGCAGCATCAGGAGCAAGAGCCGCCGCAAGGGCAGCCGCAAGACCAGCAAGCAGACCAAGGCCACCACCAGCAGCAGCAGCAGCTTCCCGAGCAACAGGATGGCCAACAGCATCCGGAGCCGCTATCCGAGCAGCAGCCTCAGGGCATGCAGGAGGAACCGCAGCAGCAGCAGCCGCAAGAGGCCCGAGAACAGGCTGGTAGTGACGGTGGCGCGATGGATGCGGAAGCCATGGTCGCTTCCGAGCCCCAGCAGCAGCAGCCCGGTGGCCTGCAGGAGGCGGCAGCAAGCACCGCTGCTGCTGTTGCCGCGGCAGCCGGGCCCAGCCGGGGGCCGCCGCTGCTGCCCCAGGCGCGGACATGCTTCTTGCAGCTCAACCTGCCTGTGTACACAAGCATGGAGGACATGCGGCGCGCATTTGCGATCGCGCTGGATAACATGTCGTTTGGGCTGCACTAGTGTGGGTTGAGCTGCGCAGGCGCTAGGCTGGGATGGGTTTGCCGGTGTGCGGGCGGGTGGGTTGGGGTCCAAGGCAGCGAGGCCTGCGACGGCAGCAACGCTGCGGCGCGGCTTGGGTTTCCCAATCGAATGCCAGAGGCGTGGGGCCCGCGCCTTTTGCTGTATTCCTCCTGGGCTGGCTCGGGGGCGACGATGGCTGGGGAAAAAGTGGAGGAGGCTCAGATGGCGAAGGTGAGTGTTGTTAGTGTACTGCAGGGAACGGGCTGGTGATTGCGAGCAGAGCGAGCTTAAGGAGATGCGGGCGTCAGAGGGCACACGGGCTGGCTGGAAACCTGCCGGGAAGTGGAGTGAGGCGTCAACTTATGTGGGGTGTACTACTCAGCTGTCGTGTATTTCGTTTCTTCAGGACAGCAAACCAGCATATACTTTATTCTCTCGTCGCTATCAGAGGGTAGCCACCTTGTCTCATCAGCCCATTCATCTTCTACGGTTTTAGTCAGGTTTGTAGCTTGCAGGAGGAGTGTGACGGCAAAGGTATCGCTAGGTTGTTCTTCTGGCCACATGTTAAGGCAACCTTCTGCTTGTGAGCCAGAGAACAGAGGAAGGTTAGTGGAAGCAGTTCTATGAGTGCAGGGTGGCCGTGTATGAGGGTTGGGTGTGCGGAGCTGAACAGATGCGTGGACGACTGTCGGATGCCGGCTGCCCGGACCACAGCAACCAACCAGGCAGATGTTGGTTGTCGGTGGTCAGATAGGCATTTACAGCGCAGACGGGCATGCCGTAGCACATAGCGTGTTGGCTCCTTTCTTGGATACTACAGATGAGATTTGCAGGTGTGTTTCCGACGAGGCCAAGATGCGGTCAAGTAGATCCCTGTTGGAAATTAGGATGATCCTTCACCCTCGTTCATATGCCTTCCCATCCGTAATAGATACACCGAAAAGCCGGGCCCCTCAATACGCCGTTTTGTCCATGAATCCCATGCCTAGACGTACACCTAGACTACTGGAGACCAGCATGGAGGCCTGCAGGCCATACTAGATACTACCCACTACCTTGGAACATGAGTGCTATTAGTGCGCGGCTGTGTGCTCTTGCGCACTACCAGCGTCGACAAGGACACCTAAAAGCAATGGCACTGCCGCTGATCCATGAAAGCCTGCACGTCAACCTACAACTACACTAGCTGCTACCTACAACTACACTAGCTGCTACCTACTCCCTAGAGCCTAGTTGTTACGCCATGTCCTACGTTACCCGTCCATACTTCTGCGCCATATTCTTAACTGGCATGCGATTGGTAAGCTTGTGCCGATCATAAGCACTGCATCGTCAGTCGCCCCTTGATTACTAACTGAAACACACATCATGCTTACTCCTCCTACGTGTCCCATCTAGCTGTACCTACTCCTTATCGCAAACTCTGCTGTCATCCCTACGTTCCGCACCTGCAAGCCACGCACCTCTCCCTACTGCGAAATCATCAGCACCGAATATCCAATTGCCGAATAACTGCCGTAAGCCTTCCACACTGCAGAGCTAACCCACAACACTTATGAGCTGATCTAGAACGCCTACCTTCACTGCTACTACTACTAACGCGGTATAAAGCGGGGAAAAGCTTAAATCCTCATCCAGCTAGGGCCCATCCTCCTCTACCAGCATCTGTCATGGCAACAACACATGTATTATAAGGCACAAAGCCAGTCGTACAACAGCTTACCGGTACATGAATAGCAATTACAACTTCGCAGCCGGAGAGCTGTCAGGTCCCCAATACCTCCAACTCGACAATGACATTCCAGAAGACGTCAAGCCGCCCGCCCCAGCACTCGCGGTCCCAGCACTTGCTCCCAGCCCCGCTGCCGCTGGCGGCTTCTTGGGCGCCAGACGCTCCCTAAACTCCCGCGCGCGCCGCAGCGCATCCGTCAGATCACTCCGGCCCAGGGGCTGAGGCGACTGGAAGGCCCGTAGCACGTCGTCGAGCTCTCCGCACTCCAGCAGCCGCCGCCGCTGCGACAGCACCACAGCAGCAACCAGGTAGGGGAAGAGCTCCCGCCCAAAGGAAGCCGGCGGCGCGCCGGCAGAGGGGTCTACAGCAGGAGTTGAAGGAGCAGAAGAAAGAGCAGCAGCAGGGGTGCCGTCTGCATCTCCGGCGCACTTCCCTGTGTCGGCTTGCTCATTACCGGCTGTTACCCATATGGACGCTGCATTCGCTTCCGAGCGCGGCAGATCCCTGGAAGCGCCGGCTCCTGGAGGACTGGCAGCAGGTCCGTCACAGGCCTCTACCAACGCCGCCTGGCTCTCGCTGTGACCCACGGGTCCGGCCGAAGCCACAGTCGCGGCACTGCTGCTCTCACCGCTCCCCTGAATCTGCACAGGTACATCCTGAACCTCCACCAATGCGGCCACTTCGCCGCCTTCGCTCTCCGCCCTATCTCCCCGCCTCGTCAGGCCTCCCCCAAGGCCACCAAACTCTGCAAGCTCCACGGCCCCCGCCTCCGCAGCCTTCCTTCGTTCCGTCGCCCTCTGCTCCGCCTCCCTTCGCGCCGTTCGCGCCTCCAACGCATCGTCCGCCCAGAGCTGCTCCCACAGCCGTACGGCCAGATCTGCTGTCAGATCTCGCCGCATGAGTACGGCAACCATGCGGTGTGCGAAGTGGCAGGGGTGCGCATGCAGGCGAGCTAGGTGGGCGCCGAGAGGCGGGTCCAGCGCGGAAAGGAGAGGCCACAGGGCTGCCAGGGGCGCAAAGACGCCGTCGGGACTCGGTTGGAAGTTGGGACGGACCTGGAGGGAAGGGCGTGGGCAGCGTGTGGGGCATAGTGTATCGTGTGTGCGGCAGTGAATGCGACACTGCTCATCTCAGTCCCCTATTCGCACCGACTGACAGCGCACGCCTGGAGAGCGGGCTGCGTTCTCCAACGCATGGCACCACGCGCACCTTCGCCATGAGGCGCGCAAAGCACCAGAAGGCGACCACATCGTCCTCCATCAGCAGCACGAACGGCAGCGCCAGGTCCGACATCCTGCATGGGGGCCATCAGAGACAAACGCCAGCGGCTCTCTGCTTCCTACAGACCAAGCATTATAAACTAGGGATGAAGCAAAGCCAAGCAAAACGCGGGAAAAGCATTGAACAAGCGGCACTAACAGTGTCATGCGGCTATCGCCACACGTTATATATTCTTCACCCTCAGGGTCACCCTCAACAACAATAGCAGCAGCCAGCAAACACGAGTAGACCGCGTTCGGTTGCGCAGTAGTAGGCAACGGCCCTTAGCCCCTCTCAAGACACCCCCGCTGCCGCGTTCCTCCGGCACCCGCGTCCCTTCCCTTACCCCTGGCAGTACCCCAAGTCGGGATCATGCGCCGCATAGGCCGACAGCACCGTCACCAGCCGCTCTAGCAGCTGCCGCTGGGGCCGGCTAAAGTGCGCCGCATGGGCGGCCATGTGGAACCGAACCACCCCGCTCATCCACACAGCAGCTGCCGTACTGGGGTTGCTGCTTACAGCAGCTGCGTTGACGTCGCCATTGCAACAGCCAGCACCAGCGACACCGCCGTTGGTACTGCTGCTGCTGTTAAGCGATGAAGAAGAAGATGGAGGGGAGGAGGAAGGTGGGCCGGACGTGCTGTCAGGAGCCATTTGCGGAATGCTAGCAGAAGCGGAGGTGCTGTTTACGGCTGCATCAGCGGTGGCGTCGGCAGGATCGACGGATAATTGCAGGCGGTCTATCGCTTGGCTGCAGCCGCAGCCGCAAGGGCATGCGTGAACAGAGGGAATGCGGGTTGGCGGATTGGAAAGGCTCTGTGCGGTGACTGCCGTAGCGACAGTGGTACGGCTCCGGACGCGGACGATGCTGCTGCCCTTGTCGTTGAAGCCAGGTGGGGTGACAGAGCCCACGGGAGAGCTCGAGGGCTCAGGGGCAGGCGGCAGTGGGGCCTCCATAGCTGCTCGTCCAAAAGGGCTGGAGGACGGCGACACAGAGGGAAGCAAAGGCGGTGCATCGTCACCGTCGGTGCTAATGCTGTGGCGGCAGCGGTCCGCGGCAGCAGCAAACGGCGTGAGAGCTTCAGCCGACTCTTGTGACACGTCTGCATCGCTGGCTAGAGCGCCGCCTGAAGAAAGGCTGGAGGCGGACCGTGGCTCCACTGCTCCGTCCGCACCATCAGCCGCTTCCTCGCGTGCGGTGGTATCCTCCATTGGGCATGAAGCCCTTGCAAATCCTGAAGCGGTTCGCGGCTGTTCCTCCAGCTCCCGTTGCGGCTGTTGCGGCGGCAATTGCAATGACTGTTGCCTTGCGGCACGCGCCGCCTGGTACAACGAACTGTTCTCCATCCGCTCTCGGAACCAGCTAGCCAACCGATTGCCGCCGCTGCTACTGCTGCTGCCGTTACAGGCGTTGCCGCCGCCACCTCCACCTTCCGCGCCCGGTGCCGATGCCGTCGCTGCTGCCGATGTCTGCAAGGACAACCGCAGCGAAGCGGCGGCCGCTGATGACGGCGGCGCCGATGCCTCACAGGCCGCAGCCTGGCTGCCGCCGCTGCCACCAGCGCCGCCGCCGTCGCTGCAGGCTCGTATGGACAAGCTCAAGGTACGGAGACTCGACGCCAAGCCTCCACCGCCGCTCCCACTTCCTGTCGTGCAACTCGCAGAGATCGCAGATCCAGGCAAGTTCGCCTTCTTGAAGTCTGTACGGATGATGTCCATGGCTATGGACTGCTGAGCCTCAAAGTACGGACGGAGTGACGGCGGCACATCTGTGCGACTAAGACGGCCAAAGCAGGGAGGAGTCAGGGCATCCGCGCAGCTGCCTCCTCTTCCACTCGCACCATTCTCCGGGCTCCCGACGCACGCAGAGTCCACGCCCGCAGCGTTGGTGATTGCAGTGGGTTCAGCGCTGCTGACGCGCCCGGGTTCGGCCGTAGCATCTCCCGAGGAGGAACCGTTGGTGCTGTTGTTCCGGCTGCAGCTACGGCTCTGGCTGCGACTGCCGGATACCGGCGTGCGCAAGGACAAGCGGTCGTCGTGGTTTTCAACTTCCACCGAGGCAGCCGAGGCGACTTCGCAGCTTGCGGAGTGTAGCTCAGCACTGGCGGGCCCCGAAGCGGCTATGGTGGTGCTATCGGCGCCGCCGCTGCCACAGCTTTCCACGCGTGCGGTGCTGCGACGCATGGCGATGTGGCCCAGACAGGCGGTCTCCATGTCCTGAAGAGAGCGCAAAGGAGGCATAGACACGAGAAGACGGGGTTCAAGCCGTTGAATAATGGGGCGAGGTGATCAACGAGGCATTAAGAAGGGGACCAAGCCCAACAGTACAGGGTGCTGATGCGCTGTTGGGGTCTGCCATGCACAGCATAGCAAGGGCCGTCTGAGCCGGCGCCTTTTCAAGGCTTTCTCACCTGGCATTGCTGCAAGAGTGCGTCGTACCGTTGACGCAGTTCTCCGTACGAGATTGTTCTCTGCTCCGTACCCTCGCCAGGGTCGTACACGCCCAGCAGTAATGGCCAAATCTCAGGCCGTACTTCTGGGTCCAGGCCCTGGTTGCAAGGCGTGTAGGAGTCAATGCTGCCGCCGTAATAGCTCCATAACAAGGCCACACGCTAAGAGCGGGTGTTTCTTATTACCTTATCTGCAATATGCTGCAGCAGGTCATCAAAGTCAGGCACTGTCCCATCTTGAGCCACGTGCAATTTCCACTGAGATGTTCCAACAGACGACCTGGCATGATGCGGGCAACATTGTAGAAAGCAACGGCAATGGGGCAAGGCGCGCATAACTGGTAGATTATTTCGCAGAAACGGTGTGTTTGCTTGTGACCATTAAAAGCTTACCTTAGGCGAGCAGCCTTATGAACCGCGTAAGCGAAAGCAGCTGCGGCAGCTACGCCAGCGCCAAAGCCGATGGCGGTTCCTGTAGTGCTTTTGTCATCCGAAATCCCCTCGCCCTCCGGATGCCGACTGGCGCGGAAGACCAGCGGCATAGTCATAAAGAGCAAAACGTTAATTCGTTTACAACAATTGCGCCATGACTAACTAAGATTGTAACGGTTAAGGGGAGGCTTGCACGGGTGCCCTGGGGCCATGGGAGTTGCAAGGGCACCGATCCCAGTAACGGATGGCTTCTGATATCCGGCAAAGCGCCTAAGCATCAATTTCAGATGAAAGGCATAGCAAAGAAAAGAGATAAGCGTAAAGATATACCGGTAGCTGTCACAACACAAAATTTATGCAACGGAAAAACGCGCGAGCAAGAGCGAAAGTGGAGAGCTTAAGAGGACATCGTGAAACGCAAGAGCCAATGCATCTTTGGTGAGCTGCAGCTCTGAAAAGAGGCCGTACAACTCTGGGGGCTTATATCGTACAGGGGAAGGCTGGGCTGCACATTTGGCGTTCTTTCTCTTAGGTGTCTCTCTCTTTGCCCCCTGTGGCCATAGTTGCGATAACAATGTCGAAGGTCAGTTAGTTACTATCGGGGCGGCCGCTTTTCGCGGTCTGCGGCGCCGGCGGCAAGCTACCTAGAAACCATACTGACAATTTGCATTCTGACTTTACAGACGGTGGTCATCGACGGGCGGGCCCACATGCTGGGCCGCCTGGCCTCTGTGGTTGCCAAGCAGATTCTGGGCGGACAGCAAATTGTAAGCGACCGGGGACGTTGCCTGCTCGCGCCGCGCTATATATATGACGTCTCGCTATTCATTGCACGAGTATAGAGGTTTACATTGTCAACCATAAGTATCTGCTCTTCTCCAGCCGCCGGCTAAACAACTTCACGGCGGCAGGCGCCAGCTGCTGGATATATAAAATATGCTTTAATGTGTCTATATGGTATAATAATACTCCTGCTGGCGGTTCACATGGTGCAGGTGGTTGTCCGGTGCGAGGAGATTACCATCTCCGGTGGCCTGGTGCGCCAGAAGATGAAGTATGACCGGTTCCTGCGCAAGCGGATGAACACCAACCCCACCCGCGGCCCCTTCCATTTCCGTGCTCCGTCTCGCGTCTTCTGGAGGACCGTGCGCGGGTGAGTACATTACGTTGCTGAATCGAACGTCCTAGACTTAAATTTAGGAAATCTATTATGAAGTATCGAGCATTGGGGCCTCGTCTTATGTCAGAGCCAGCAGCCTTTCTTGGGAGAGAGCACGGCGGCTATCCAGCACAGCTTAAGCAGGGCGCGCGGCTATTGGCGTTTCGGAGGCTGCTGAGGCGAGCTGCCCCCTAACGGGCATGCTGTCAGTGTGCGGGAGTTCGGGGCAAGGAGCCATCCTTGCTTCCCCTCGGTGGACGGTGCGAGCTGAGGCTTACCCCTCTTCGCATTATGCGGGCGGCCTCGCGACGGCAGTATATTTGCAGCGGCGTGAGCCCAGGCTTGAGGACGGTTCTGCATTGCCAAGCAGCCTTCAGACCCGCAGCTGCAAGGGTAGTACACCCACCCCGGCAGCGGCATGGTCGTGTGCGTACAGTTGGTGGCGCAGCTTGTCTAGTATGGCGTGCTTACAGCCCAGTACCGTTCAGCACTCCACGCACTCGCAGCTCTATGGTGGACAGCACGCTGTCTAGCTTGCCCGAAGGGCGGAAGGGGTTGTGGAGCTCGTGCCATGGATGGTGAATGCTTGAAAGGCGCGTTGTGCACACCATTTCAGCTGGTGTGCCATTGAAAAGGCGCGTCTTTCTGCATATTGCATGGGTCGGCGCCGGCTGCCCTTACTTGGCAGCAACAACCCTCCCATGCACACGGCTTCTGTGTGGCCGTGTTTCATGTTCCCGTTCGTTTCATGTTCCTTGAGCGTACTGGCGGGGTTTGCGTCCTCTCTTCGTTATAAAACAACCACTTCCTCCCGTTGTAAGTATGTCCCCCCGCCCCTCACTTCCTGCTGTGCAGCATGATCCCCCACAAGACCCCTCGCGGTGCCGCCGCCCTGGAGCGCCTCAAGGCGTTCGAGGGTGTCCCTACCCCCTACGACAAGGTGAAGCGCCTGGTGGTGCCTGACGCCCTGAAGGCGCTGCGCCTGCAGCACGGTCACCGGTACTGCAAGATGGGCGACCTGTCGGCCGCGGTGAGTAGGGGCTGCGGGCATTCGGGGGGGTGTTGTGGAGTATATGTGTGGGCGAACGGGATGTTCCTGCAAGATCTAGGGAGGAGGTGTACGGTAGGGAGTCGCTGGTTCCAGGGCCGAAGTTCGACCAAAGTACGGGAAGCGGGCACGTAGGCGAGGGCCGTAGACGACAACACAAACTGCATAAGGATAACTAAAAAACGCTAAGATCGCATAGGCTCTTTACTCTTCACGGCTATGGACAGCCCTCCTTGGATTCGTGGGGTCGCATGCGGCCAGCTTCACCCTGCGAGATAGCATATCCCTTGCCGGCTTCGCGAGTATGTGGCATTGTTTTTTCCTAGAGACTCCCGTCGGCGAGCACGTCTGGGTGTATACCAAATACCATGAAAGCCACGATGTCTTCAGGCAAGGCCTAACCTCACTTGTACCTCTCGTGCTGCTGCAGGTTGGCTGGAAGCACCAGGCCGCCGTTGCTGAGCTGGAGGAGAAGCGTAAGGCCAAGGCTAAGGCCTTCTACGTGGCCAAGAAGAAGCTCATTGCTCTGCGGGCCAAGGCCGCTGCTCAGGTCAAGGCGTAAAGCTGTTACGCGTGCCAGCAGGGAGAGAGCCTCGTGTTTGTAACCCCGATGTGCGTGTCTCTCCCTCCAATCCCTCTCTTAGTTGGCATCGCATGGGCACTCGTCGATGGCATCGCATGGGATGTTGGGGTTATGGAAGCCAGGGGCATGCGAACACACGGGTAAAACACGTGTCACCATGCTGCACGGGGCGAACCGAGTCGTAGTGTTGGGCATGTTACATGCCGGCCATTGCATAGTTTAAGCAACAGCCCAACGAGAACGAAGTCGCATGGCTATCAGCAATGGCTCTTCATTGACAGACATCAAGCGCAAGTCACAATCGTAGGATTAGCACTCAGCACTATAATTTTTCCAAGCTTCCACACTCAAAACTTCTTAAATTCTTCTCAATCACGTACTCTCCACACTCGCACTCCTCCATTGAACCGTCTCTCTCTTTGGGAGCGGTTTGGTCTCCCTCCTGACCCTTACTCTCCCTCCTTCAGCGTCGCCGCCCAGTAGCCCGCCAGCAAGCTGCCGATCGTGGCATGCGTGCAGGCGGACAGCACGCACGGTGCAACCACCACGGGGTCCGCAAAGTGCACTTTGGCCAGTACGGCCGCCAGCGCGGAGCTCTGCATGCCCACCTCGATGGAGTTGGTGCGGGCGATCTTGTCGGACAGCCCCATCGCCTTGGACAGCGCATAGCCCAGGAAGAAGCCCGTGGAGTGCAGCGCGAACACCGCAGCCACGATGGCCGCGCCCGAGGAGGCCACCACCGCAACGTTGGTGGCGATCATGGAACCTGCGTGCGTGCATGACATGTGACAGTTGAGAGAAAGAAGAAGGCATGGATTTAACTATAGCACAAACCCCTTGGCATTAATGGGTGTACAGTGCAGTGCAATGCCGTATGTAGAGTATAGAGCGCATCCAGCGGCTGCGCACTCGTCAGCCCTCCAACATGCATGGTCAAAGATGGCTAGGGAAGGAAACAGGAGGACATGAGCCAAGACGACAACAAAAAGAGCGCCGTATCAAGCGATCACACCAGCAGCCCGACCCATGGGTCTTACCCACGATGAAGAAGACCACCACGGTAGCCAGGAAGGGCGTGTAGAGCTTGACGCGTGCCACCGCAGCGGGGAAGAACTGGTTGACTGCGGTGCCCGCCAGCACGGGCGCCAGCACCAGTTGCAGCACGGACAGGAACATGGCTCGGGGGTCCACGGGAACCAGTGTCCTGGGGGGCGGGCGGGTAAGGAGGTGAAAGATAGCTGAGAAGTGAAGCAACTGGAATCCCAATCCCGATATCCCGACTCGTGCAGTGAGCGCATACGGAGAGACTATCCTAGAAACACGTAAGGGGTGAGGTATGGCCAAGAAGTGGGGCCAGGGAGGAATCAGGAACAAGCGTGTCATCGGGTGAAGGTAGGCAGCAAGAGCGTCTGCGGATGGCGACAGTGGGGTTGTTGTGGGGGAGGCTGGGGATGATGACGCAAGGGTGGAAGGAGGACTTCAACGGCAGTGAAGTGGGGGAGGAAGGCCGCGAGGAGGGAGGGCGGTCATGGGGGGCAAAACTACATGAGAAGTGTAGCAACTAATATTGGGCTGCAGGTGGCACCCACCCGACCAGCAGCGAAGTGAGCAGCGGTGTGGTGGCGATGGCCATGAGGGTGGAGGCGGTGGTCATCATGATGGACAGCGGCATGTCGCCCCGGGCAATGTACGCCTGCGGGCAGGCAGGTAGGAGCGCAGGAGGGAAGCAGGGAAGGAGGGACGTGCCCGCAACAGCGAAAGGCAGTTAACTTGTCATGTCTCCTCCACCTCCAACAAATCTCATGATGCTTCCATTCGACACCCTTCAGTATGCGCTCACCATCGCCAGCGCCGTGCTGAACGAGCCACCCGGCCCTACGCCTCATCATGCCTCATCAGCATGACTGCCACCCGCTATACCATACCGAATAGCACCCCAATCTTTGCTCTCTTCCCAGAATGCGCTCTTGCTTCTCTGTCTCTCTTTCCCCACCCCCGCCTTCACCCCCGCCTTACCACGATGTTCGAGGCGGTGCCCCCAGGCATGCAGGACACCAACGCCACGCCCACCGCCAGCCCGGGAGCCATGCCGGGTTGGGACGCCAGGTAGCGCGAGATGACGTAGCCAAAGCAAGGCAGGATGGTGTACTGCGCAGTATACAGCACATATGTCGCGATAAGGCGGTGCGAAGCGCGCGTGCTTGGTCTTCAAGGTGCGCGCACGGCCAACATCAGCAATGCGCGTCGTGACTCTACAATGACAGGGGCTGCGAACGCAATTCGCAGCATAATCCGGAGCGATTGCTAGGGGTTAGATTAGAGGGCCCTGCCGTACGCTCAATGTACGGCACCCCACCGCAGCCAGCAGCTCACCTGCAGCACCATGCCGAGCAGCAGCAGCTGCGGCTGCTTGGTGAAGACGGAGGCGATCTCGTTAAACGTGAGCGTCAAGCCCATGCCAGCCTGCGGGTTAGGGCGCAGCGCACGGGTCCATGCGGCGGACGCGTGGTGGAACCATGGGTCATGGGTCAAGGGCCATCCAGAGTCCCCCGTGCGGAAGATCTATCCCCGGGGTAGAATCCATGCAACAAGGTGTGCGTATCCGTGCATCGCACCGCACGTAGCGAACTCGTGCATGCTTGCTTTGCACGTGGGGAGGCGTCGAAAAGATGTGTGTGGCGTCATACTTGTGCGGGAGCGCTACCCCGAAGCGCATCTCCCAATCTGTCCTTCCCGAACCTCGGCTGCATCCTGCGGCCCGCGTCCTTACTGGTCCTTACTTCGCCCAGGGAGGCCTCCCGAGGCCACCGAGGCCCGGAGGCTACAACATGCCAACGCTGCCAGCCCCGGGCTTTGCCTGCCGTACAAACCTACCATGACAAACATCAGGCCGTACGTGACGCAGGTGTTGTCAAACCAAAGGTACAGATGCGGTGCATGGAATGCGGTCACGGCAGCTAGGATGACCCACACGGGGAACAACCGCGTGAAGCCTGCAGCGAATCCAGCTAGCTTCTGCTCAAAAGGGGTCAGGACAACTGCCGTGGTGTTGGCGGTGCTGCTGCTGCTGGTGTTGCGGTCGCTGGTGTTGTCACCCCCGCTGGCAGATGCTCCGGCAGACGCGCCGCATGCAACTCCGCTACCAGGCCGGTTCAGTGTCGGCGCGTGGCATGGCCTGGGGTGCTGCTGAGTCGGAGGTGCGGTACGGCTTTGGTGGCCATGTTGTCGGGCTAGGAGGGCTCCGGCGGGTGTGAAAGGAACGGGCCGAGCCATGCAGCCGATAAGCGGGCGCGAGGCGGAGGCACGGGGTGCAAGAGGCCTGCATAGCCTGCAACCAGAAGGAACATGCGGCGCTTAACAGCATGTGTCTTTATGTGGAGGAATGGGGGCAGGGAGGCGCGCAAGCGGAGAGTAGGGTGTTGCGCGGCGCTGTGCTGCGTAAAAGGTCGCTTTAGTTCATGCATACCTGGAAGGATCCATCGCCGTAGCCAGCGCGGCCTGCATTGCTATCACGGTTCCAGCGCGCTATGGATTGTTAAGGAGGATAACACCGCGCAGCTCAAGATGGGCGGAATAAAGTCAATGTTCTCATAAACATTCACAGTCAGTATAAGGAACAACAGCATGTGCTGTATGTTGCCTGTATGTGGGTTCTGCGTTGTGTCGTGCGGTCTGATCCGCATCAGCATGGAAACCGCAAAACAAGTCCACTTCAAGAAACTGTTATAAACCGTTACTACGATATCTTGCTTGGCACTCGTTATGATTACATTTATTTAGCCTGCTATATAATAGTGTATGCGCCTGCCCATCTCTTTCCAGGAAACCAAGAAGCTTGCGGAGACTTGATGTTTGTACGCATTATCATATCATTATGCAACTCTAAATACCTTAGCTCATTTTGCTGTCAGTATTAAGAGACATGGACAATTGTTGTCATAGCGGCGAGGCATCGTGACCCTGCCCTTGCAAGACGTCCATCGAAAATGACACAGCAACAATCGGCTGCTGTTGACATTCGCAAGATAGCATGTATAGGGGCGGGGTATGTCGGTGGGCCTTCCATGAGCTGTCTGGCTTACAAGTGCCCGGACGTAACGGTGACGGTTCTGGACATCAGCCCTGCACGGGTGGATGCATGGAACAGCGATAAGCTTCCCATCTACGAGCCAGGCTTACTGGACATCGTGAAGGCGTGTCGTGGGAGAAACCTGTTTTTCTCAACTGACGCCAAGAAACACCTTTCCGAAGCGGACTTGATCTTTGTCTGGTGAGTGCCACGAACCAAGCGCTGCCTAACCCACGCGGGGGTTTCACTTGGGGTGAAGGTTACAGGAGTTACGGTGCACGACCTTGCAACTATGCACGTACTGTGCCTAAACCATCCATGTACACTTTCCTGCTGCACCTTCTTCCTGGAGTCCAATATACTGTAAACCCTCAAACAATCCATTTCAGCCCCATCCAGAGCCCCTTCGCAGTACTGTGGCGCTAGACATAGCAACCCAGCAGCACCTTCCTCCTCTCCCCCCTGCTCCCTCTGCCCCTGCTTCCCATCCAGTTCATCACCCCATCCACCACGCTCCCTACACGCCTCCCCTTTCCCTTTTCCCATGTACATCTCTGACCCTCCTTGCCCTCTTCCGTCCTCTTCCGCCCTCCTCACCCCCCCCCCCCCCCCCCCCCCCCCCCAGCGTCAACACGCCCACCAAGCTGCAGGGTGTGGGTGCGGGCAAGGCCGCCACGTTCGGGTTCTGGGAGGCGGCTGCGCGCCTCATCGCGGCCTCCTGCCAGGGCTGCGGACCCAAGATAGTGGCGGAGAAGTCCCCGGTGCCCGTCAAGACGGCGCAGGCCATGTCGCGGGTGGGTGGGTGGTGCGGTTGGTGTGCTTACCCGCCTGTGCGGTGCTTGCACACATGGCGCCCCGCCCCGCCCATCCCGCACTTGAGGTGGTACTGTGTCCTGCTGCCTACCTTCCCCCCCCCTCCTGCCTCCCCCAGGTGCTGACAGGCTGCCAGGACGGCGTGAAGACGCGGTTCGAGGTGATCTCCAATCCCGAGTTCATGAGCGCGGGGACAGCCATACAGGACTGCCTCAACCCAGATCGGGTAGGTGTGCTGGGCGGGATATGGCAGAGCATCAGGGACAACCACAGGGACAGAACAGTGCGTCACGGAAGCGGCGTTCATGTCTCCCAACGTCAAACCCGCACCCTATCCCCTCGTCCACCTCAACCCCATGCCCCCCCCATCCTTCCCTCACCCTCACCCCCATCCCCTCTCCAACACCTCCCGGCCCCCCTCCCAGGTCCTCATCGGCGGTCGCGACACCCCCGAGGGTGCCAGCGCCGTGGAGAGCCTGTCCCGGCTGTACCGCCGCTGGGTGCCCCCCGAGCGGGTGCTGCACATGGGGCTGTGGAGCTCCGAGCTGGCCAAGCTGGCGGCCAACGCCTTCCTGGCGCAGCGCATCTCCTCCATGAACGCCATCTCCGCGCTGTGTGAGGAGACGGGCGCGGATGTGCAGCAGGTGGGGTGCGGTGTAGGGGGGGGGGAGGGTAGGGGTAAAGGGGAGGAGGAGGCATGGGGTAGGGGAAACGAGATTAGGAGGAGCCAAAAAGGCTTAGGACACGGGATGCTGGCCAAGGAAACCTACCCATGCGTGGATTCCATCCTCGCTCCCCCAATCCGCCGCTCCTCACTACCGGTTCCTAACTCCCTCACTCCAAAACCAACCATGATGACGCCTTATCACACTGTCAGTTAGTTGTTCCCTCTTTTCCCTCCCCCACCCGCCGCTGCCCCCAGGTGTCTCACGCCATCGGCACCGACAGCCGCATTGGCCCTCGCTTCCTGGAGGCGGGCTGTGGCTTCGGCGGCCCCGCACTGCAAAAGCACGTGCTCAACCTGGTCTACATCTGCGAGGCGCTGGGGCTGCAGCAGGCGGCGCAATACTGGCAGCAGGTGGTGGACATGAACGATTGGGTCAAGTCGCGCTTCGTGCGCCGGGTCATCAACTCCATGTTTGGCACCATTCGCGGCAAGCGCATCGCGGTGCTGGGGTTCGCGTACAAGGCGCACACCACTGACACGCGCGACACGGCTGCCATTGATGTGTGCCGGGGGCTGCTGCTGGACGGGGCCAAGCTGTCGGTGTACGATCCAAAGGTGCGCGCGGACGGGGGGCACCTTTGGGGCGCTGAGTGGGGTTGAATGTAGGTGAGGAGGAGAGTGGGTTGGGAAGACGGTTCGTGTGTCGTCGTTTCTTTCTTCCCTCCTCATGCTGTGCAGGTCATATACCGCGGAAGCCCTCGTTTGCTCCACCAAGGTACCTCCCGCCCTCATGCACCTCCAATCCTTGGCGCCCATGTGTTTCCCTCCACCTCACCAACTAACAGCATCGTGCTTTCTCCTCCCTTCCCCCCACCCCCTTCCCCCATCCCCCACCAGGTATCTCCCGAGCAGATCCACCTGGACATGTGCCTGCCGCGGGGCTCCCTGGAGCAGCCGCGGCGGCAGGGAACCACCGTGTCGCTTGCCACGGTGGAGGTGGCGCGCAGTGCGCTGGAGGCGTGCAGGGGCGCACACGGGGTGTGTGTGCTCACGGATTGGCCGGAGTTCAGGTGGGGCGGGCCGGGCGGGTTTGGGTGGGGGAGGGCGTGGTGCATGCGCGTTGGGAAATACCGGTACCGTACCCCTTGTGTTGTGGTGTGTTGCTGCATGCAAGTGTAGGTGCCGACTGCAGTGCAGGCGGGGAGGAGGGTTGTCGGCACATGTGCGTGCAGTACGGTACCTTCCCAACACCTTTTCTCTGTCGGCATCCACCACCCACCTGCCCCCCTTCACCGGAAACCTCCTCCTAAGGCCCAATAGTTAAACCTTAACAACCTTCTTCCCCCCCCTCTCTTCCAACCTTCACCCCCCCAGGTCCCTCGACTTCCGCGCCATCTTCGGCGCCATGATGAAGCCCGCATTCATCTTCGACGGTCGCAACATGCTGGACCAGGCGGCGCTGCGGGACATGGGATTCGTGGTGTACGGGCTGGGCAAGCCGCTGGACCCCTTCCTCACGCAGCGCCTGGAGGAGGACTTCGGAGCGGGGGGAGGGGGCGGGCAGCAGCTGCGGCAGCCGGGAGGGGAGCTAGCGGGAGTGGGCCCTACGTCGGCGGTAGCAGCAGCAGAGGCATCTGACGTAACGGCGCCATTGGCTGCGGAGGGTGCGGAGGGTATGGTGGCGGGAGGGTTGCGGGACTGCATGGCGGGCTTGGCGGTAGGGGTTCCTGGGGGTGGGGCGGCGTCAGGGGAGGCGTCGTGTGGGGGAGGCGCGAGTCGGGAGGATGAGGCTGGAGGTGGGGTGGGAGGGCGGCATGCAGATGTCGGGGCTTGCTGCTCGGTGGGTGGGGAAGGGTGTGGGGGCCGGGAGGTAAAGGGGCCGGGGGAGGCGGAGGAGGTTGTGGAAGGGAGAAGGGCGCGGTGTGGGTTAGGAGAGGGGGGTGGTGATGGGGTACATGGGGCAGCGGATTCGCCGCAGCGGGAGGAAGGGTGAGGAAGGTCGTTGACCGGGCGGTGGCCACTGTCAAAAGGAATGGATGCGTGAGAAGGGATGTGGCGAGAACCCGGCAAGCAGTGATGGAGGCCTGTGTGCTTCGTGAGTCTTCGTAAGGGTCTTTGTTTTGGCTTTTGTGATCGACTTGGCGATTACGGCCGCCTTGATATGTGCTGATCGGCAGTACGACACACTGTTGCTCGCTAGCCTTGTCCTTCCACGTGTGCAAGGGCTTACACGCATCGCGAGATATCTGTCCAACAATTTGGTTCCGGAACCGAGCCGGTTGGCTGTCGACAACGGCTTGTGGCGCCGTATGTGCTTCCTTGGTGGATGTCGGCGTGTGTGCTGGCATGGTCATCCAGTGTTCAAAATGGCTGCATATTCAGTATTAAAATCAGTGATACTTGAAATATCTTGATCGGAGGCTTTGGTAGACGTATATTATCTTGGGCGGGCAAGCCCTTGCATGCCGTCAACGTCCTGGGTGCCCCGATGCATGTGAAGCACAGCGCAGCCGTGCCTTCCATATACTCGGACGATGTTATCCGGGCACTTCGATCCGGGCATTTCCGACATTTTGATTGGAAAAGGAGTGGTTGCTTAATTAGGACGCTAACCAACGACGCGGGAGCGCATCTCCTGTAAAGCATGGAATTGTGCGAGGTTGAAAGCCTTCGAGTCTGAAACCCATGCTGTCTAGTCGCACTATGCATGGTCCGCAATCCGCTAGTATAGTCCTACACGCTATATACTACGCTACTTGAAGCACCTGTCGACGCAACGCACACACCTTCTGAGGTCGCCCCCAACACAGCTCATCCTCACTCGTCAAACCCACACTGCCCCCTTCAAGTCGCTCTTCAGATGTGTCAGCAATTGCAACTCTTCTCGACAAACCGAACACGTCAACACGTCAATCGCTAATGTCCAACAACCAAAACACACACGCCACACAATTACCGGTCGGCGGTAATAGTTTACTACGTCGAGTATGCTGTACGCACATGGGCACACAAAATACGACAGGTCTATACATATGGTGACATCTCTTCTCTATCGGTATTCATGCGCATGCGCCGACCTCCTGCTCAATCTCCCCCCTCACGTCGCCCTGCAAGCACCCGCTGCCACAACTCGACAAGTCCCGCAGCCCTCAAATGGAGAGTAGCCACTCCTCCACATCCTCCCATGGGCGCGACAACCCCCAGCCATTTCCCAACACCTCTCCAGCCCCTAAACACGTTGTGTAGATGCGTGTCAAGCTGACACCTAGCCGACAGTCCGCAGGCCCCATCCCGCCGCGTACCCATGCCGCCCGCTATCCGCAAGCGCCGCCGCCGTCGCCGCCGCGATGCGTTGCTCCCGCCGCCCCGCCGACGCCGCCGCTTCCGCCGCCTTCTTGCCGTCTGCCTGCTGCGTGAAGATGGTTGCCAGCTTGCGCTTGGCCGCCGCCTCCGCCCACAGGTCACCTAGGTGGCAGGGGCAGGGCAAGGGGCGGGGGCGGGGCAGGGGCAGGGGTGGGGTTAGGGGCAGGGGAAAGGGCGGGGGCGGAGGCAAGGGTGGGGGCAGGCCACAGAGTTGTAATCGTGAGGGTGATTGTAGCAACCAAGGCATATAGGACGTGCAATGCAGGATCCCCCCCCCAGAAAACCCGTTGGGACTCTCCTTGCAGGGACTCCTCTGCCCACTTGCATGTGGCCATATCCCCCCGTCCCTCATCCGGCCTCCCACCTGCCGTCCTGCTGAAAGTCGCTGCGGAGGTGAGCGCCTCCAGCGCCGGGTGCGCGTCCCGCTGCGCCAGGAAGGTGGGTGCCAGCTCGCCCAGCACCGCACACACCAGCTGCGTGTGACCCAGCCGCCGGTGGGAGGTCTTCAGGGCGCGGGAGAGCTGCGGGGGGGGTCAAAGACCATACCAAACCATAGGAGACCACAAGTTAGGGCAAAGCAATGGGGGGGGCGAGGTGGGGAGGGCGAGGGAGGGCGAGGGGGGCTAACAGGCAAGTGGGGTGAGGAGAGGAGAGGCCAGGTAGAAAAGGTGCGAGGTTAGCGAGGAAGGTACGAACGGGATGACGAGCTGCAACACCCGCAGCACCCGCAGCAGAGGTCTTCACATGCGCCTGCCCCTCTTGCCCCCCCCCTGCCCCCCCTCCTGCCCCTCATCCGCTGCTCACCAGCTGGTTTGCGTTGCCCAGCTGCCCCTGCTGCGCCAGGCAGGCGGCGGAGGCCAGCAGGCAGCCCGCCTCCTCCATGTAGCCCAGCGCGCCGGAGTGGGGGCCGGGCTCGCCGCCGGGGGGCAGACCGCCGCCCGGCAGGCTGCGGGGAGGTGTGCGGGGTGGGGGGTAAAAAGTATAATGAGACACTGACGGGGTGGGGCAGGGTGATAGGTGGTACCATGGCGTCCACAGCACAGGAGAGGTAAGGGTAGGGAGTGCGGATGTAAGCAACACACTTGCAGCACCCAAGCCCCCATGCACGTACCCTTGAGCATCTGTGTAGAAGGGCCCAAGTGCCGCTAGCGCCCGAGCCACTCCCTCTCCTGCTCCTCCCGCCCCTGCTCCTCCCTCCCCTGCTCCGGCCGCCCCCGCCCCTCCTGCCGGCATGAGGGCGTACGACAGGTGCGCCTCCGCCTCCAGTACGGCAGCTAGGGCGGCAGCGGGTCGGCTGGGGGCGCTGGTTCGGGCAAACTGCGGAGGCAGGCAGGGAGATTGCGGGGGGCAGGAGGGTATGGTGGACACCAAGACCATAGAGCCAGCGAGTGAGTGTGAATGACGTGGGTAAATTACGCGGGTGTACACAAGCCGTACTCGCACCACCACTACCCTCACCCTGGCCGCCTTCACTCGTTCCTTATCCCTCGGTTTTTTTATTCCGTGCGCCAATACACATATACAGGTATAAGCCCCAACCCAACCCGCCCCCCGCTCCCGCCTCCCACCTCGAAGTGCGCCGCCGCCGCCGGCAGCTCCCCCGTTGCCACGCAGTACTGCCCCGTCAGCGCGTGTAGCCCCGGCAGGTGCGCCGCCAGCAGGTGCGGGTAGCGCTCCGCCAGCTGCTGGCAGCGCAGCACGTCCTCGCGGGCGGAGGACAGCTCGGCCTGGGCGGGGGTCAAAGACCATACCAAACCATAGGAGGAGGAGTAGCACATTAGGAGGAGAGGCGGAGAGAAGAGTGAGGAGGGATTGCAGTTGCGGGGCATGGGAGGATGATGACCAGACAGGGGGAAGGCAAACGACCAAAGCCAGCCGACCACGGTCTTCACATCCCATGCCGTGCCGTGTTTTGGCATATCCCTCGCATGCCCATTCCCTCTCCTCCTTTGGTACTGAACCCCTTACACTGACCCCGCCACGCCACCGCCGCCCACCGCCCACGGCCCCTCTCCCCCACCTTGCTCAGCAGCACCTGCGCCCTGCACTCCAGCAGCAGCAGCTGCAGCACCAGCCCCCACCTCGCGCCCTCCAGACACTGGGGCGGCAGACAGCCCTCGCCCTGCTCCGTATCCGCATCCCCCTCGCCCTCCGCCGCCCCGCCCTCCGCCCCGCCGGATGCCCCAGGCAGCGGCCGCACACCCAGCAGTGCGAGGAGTCGGGACACGGAGAGCAGCCCTGGGGAAGGATGGCAGGGAGCAGGGGCACGAGCAGAAAGGGAGGAAGGTGTAGCAAGGTAGCAACATGTCGTACGCTTGCTTGGTGTCCTAGCCCTGTCCCTGAACTTCGACTCCTCTCCCCGAAACTGTTGCGCCGAGCAATCCCAATCCAAGTCCCAACAAGACACCTCTGCCTGGCAACATGCGCCCTGACCACTTGCCATTCGTCTCTCCGTTCCCCAAGTCCTCAGTCCCCCAGGAGCCAACCTATTGCAGCCCAACGCGAAGTACCTATTCCAACTCAAACCCCCTCCGCTCCTCCGATAGGTCCTGGCCATGCTCCCAGCGGTGGTGCTGGCATACAGGGGCTAATACCCCTCACTGCCTCACCCCCTTAACACACGCCAGGACTACGCCCGGCGTAATTATTATTAGGTCCTGGCCATGCGTCTTCACTCCAACAAACCCCCCCTCGCAACCCCTCCCCCTGTGGTTTCCTATGGTTCGGTATGGTCTTTCACCCCCCCCCACCTCGCTCCAGGTAGCGGTCGGTGAGTCGCGGCCTCATGCAGCCCCCCCGCAGCACCAGCGCCCCCACCAGGCACACCAGCGGCTCCAGGGAGAGGGAGGGGAACCCGGCTAGGCTGTACGGCAATGCTGCTGCTGCTGCTGCTGCTGGTGCCGCTGACACCCCTGTCCCTGCGCCTGTTGCGACTGGGCTCCCTCCTTGCACTGCCCCCTGCTGCTGCTGCTGCTGCTGTGCGAGGGCTGCTGCGAGCTGGTCCAGGGTGGTGTCCAGGTGCTGCAGGATGGGGGGCGGGGGCGTGTCGGGGCCGTCCATGTCCGCGGGGGCAGGCCCCTGTCCCGGCTGCCCCGGAGGCGGTTGGGACTGCTTGGTGAGCTCCTTCACCTTACCCAGCCGCAGCATGTACATGACCTTGCGAGGGGGGGGGACGCATGGAGGGGATGAGGGGTTGGGGGGAGAAGTGGGCGGAAGTATACGGGTACGACAAGCCGGTTCTCCAGGTATGACGGGACCCATGGGTCATCACCTCATGATGCCTCCTTTACCAGTCCCCTCCACTCGCCTACCCCACCCACGTGCACCTCCTCTTCCCCTCCAAGAACATACCCCCAACCCACCCACGTGCTCCGACTCGCGGCCAGTTTTCTTAACCCACCCACCTGCAGCAGGTTGCAGTGCAGCAGCACATGCAGGTAGCCGGCGGCATCGAACCCCAGGAAGTCCCCACCACCGCCACTACCACCGCCACCACCGCTGCTTCCCCCAGGCGCCCCTCCTCCTCCATCAGCTGCCGCCCCCGCAGCGCTGCTGCTGCTGCCAGCCGCCTCAATGAGGGCGTTGAGGTTGGCCAGGCTGCGGTCCACGCCCTCGTGGTCCCAGCGGGACAGCGCCAGTTGCACGGCAAGCAGCAGGAAGATAACCTGCGGACGCATGTTGGACACAATAAACATGTACAACCTATGTGTGCTTACTTGAGCCGTTTGCGAAACGAGAAACTACCGGCATGTCCGGCATTACATGCTCGCGAACTGGAGGCCCCCGCTCCCTGTAGCGCACGCCCCGCCTCCCCTTCCCGTGTCACTCCCCAACCCATGTCCCGGCCCCCAGCACCCCCCAGCACCCTGCACCGCTCCCACCCGCTGCTGCTTGAGGCCGTGCGCCTCCGCGAACTGCAGCCCCTCCGCCACCGCGCGGACCGCCTCCCCCGGCCGCTGGCAGCGCACGTGCAGCGAGGTGACCCGCTGGGTCAGTCGGCACACCCAGCCGCACACGGCGGGCCTGCGAGGGAGGTGAGCGGGGCGGGGGATGGTGGTGGGGTGGGGGTGGGCATGCGCTCGGTGGCCCCCTGCCGCAGTACGGTAGCTAGCCCTCCTTGGTGCGCCCGCTGGGACCAGTGCTGGGGCCAGTGCTGGTGCGCCCGCTGGGACCAGTGCTCCCCTTTCCTAGCCGGCACCCTTGCGTAGCCGGTCACAGTGTCACGCACCATTCGCTAGAGCCGCGGGCGGATTTCCAGAGCTCAGCAACCGCGGTGTAGGCCTGGAGGGGGTCGCGTACAGAATGGGTTCAAGATGCTGGATACCTACCTTGCTTAGCACCGGCTCGCACTTTCTTCAGCCCATACGATGACGAGCGCTAGCCTGAATGTCTTGTTTGCTCACCTGCAGCTCCATAGCCTCTTCCCCCATGTACTGGTAGCAAGTCGCTAACTGGTTGTGGACCTCGTACTTCAGGCAATAATTGCCGATCAGGTTCCGCACAAGCATTTGCTGCATTGCAGTTTATATGATGTAGCACATGTAAGGGAAGGCAATGCGACAGGTATAACGCAGGGGCTGTCTACCGGTAGCCAACTTGAGGGATGGCCCCGATGTGTGCGAACCGTCGACTAGGGAAATCCCGACATCCCGACTTACTGCTCGCAGCAGGTGTGAGGATGCCTCCTTAAAGTTATAGGTGTGTTCCAGCAGCAACCGACCTAGGTGAAGTCGCGCTTTGGCCTCGAAATCGGGAGGCAACTGTTGTTTGACAAGAGCCTGGAGACAATGAATTGCTTGTATCGGAAACCCATCACGGTCGTAGCTGGTGGCAAGGATAGCAAGAGCATCGGGGAGGTTGGGTGCGGACATTTCCTAGCGAAAAACAACTATTGGCTCAGGAGATTTAAGTCCATGCCCAGGACCAAGAAACCTCCAGGAAACATACGTCTATTGGGTACTGGGTAAGAGGGTCATGCGCTATGGCTTTCCCGCCAGGACATGTGTCATGATGGCGCCGCACGCGTTCGCGCAGCATGCTGGGCCCATATGTCACGTCACCCCAACGCCTCTGCGCCGCAGTCACGATAATGCGCTGTTACAAATGTGTCTATACAGTATAGCTACCATCGTCGAACGGCTTTGTTCCCCAAAGTGATTTGCCCTTCCACGTTATCTTGCTAACTGTCAAACGTTGCCAAGGTCCGATTGAGTTTCACAATTAACGTTTGTACACCACTTATGTCAGATCTATTGCTACCCATCTTTTCATATGATGACACAGACGTTGTTCCAGAATCGGACGCGTCGGCGCAAGCAGGGCAAGGATCCCGCTTGAAAGACATTACTGCTTCTTCCGTGGAGCTAGTTAGTGCTGATCAGAAGGGGGAAAGTCATGCGCTTGTTACAGAGAAGACAGCTAAGGGGTCCCCGGCATCCGGAGGAGCAGAAGCATCGCTGAACGCAGCTGGCGGCCAAAGCCTTGCTTTGCAGCCCAGCTCCATCCCAAACAACCCTGAACCTGCTGTGGAGCCCACCATAGCTACGGATCGCAGCCCTAGCTCCTCCGCTTCTGCCCGGGCCACTGCCTCCACCCCCAGTCAACCCACAGTCAGCTCTCCCCACTCCCCAGCTAAGCACTCCAGCCAAAAAGGCCGCTTAAGCGCCGCCTCAGCCTCTACAGACCGCTCCGCAAAGCCCAAACCCAGCTCTCACGCAGCCAACGGCGCCGCTATTAACACCGCTGGTGACACCAAAGCCGATGCTGATGCCAATCTCGACGACGACGACGACGACGACGGCGACGAGCTGGACTTCGAGGCCCGGCGGCGTCGCGCCGTGTTCACCGCCATGCTGTTGCTGCTGGAGCGGGGCGCGCGGGACGAGGGGCAGCTGGGGCGGCTGGTGGCGCCCATGAGCGGCGAGGAGCTGCTGCAGGTGGCGGAGGAGCGGGCGCTGGCAGGTGGGGGCGGGGCGGGGCGGGGCAGGGAGGGGAAGGTGGGGGCATGTGCCAGGGAGCAAAGCACATGGAGTTCTGGAAAGACGGATTCGGACAGGATGTTTTTGGCAAACCAGGCTGGGAAGTCGTAGCACTGGGAGCCACGGGCCCCATGTAACCACCTGTGCCGTCGTCACCTCGCCCCTCACAATGGTGCTCCTCCCCTCTCCCCCTCAGGCCACTGCGGCAACCCGCTATGTACCTCACCACACTCGGTGCCGCAGCCCACCTCCGCCCAGCAGCCCCCGCAGCAGCAGGGTGGACGGCGGCGCTGGGACCCTGCCAGCAACGGCTTTGTGGAGCTTCCGCCGCCGTCGCACTTCTGCAGCGCCGCCTGCGAGTCGCTCGTACAGTCGTACGCACAACAGCTGGGGGATGACCCCATGGAGCGGCTGAAGCCGGGTGTACGGCAGATGCTGGCGGCCAGCCATGCGCCCCGGAGGTGGGCTGGGGGTTGGAGGTTGGGGTGGGCGGCTTTGTCGGGGTGGGTTCGGACTTCGGAGTGTGGAGGAGGGACAGGCTCTGGGATGCCTTTTGAGTCAAGTGCGACAGGGACCCGGCCTGGATGAGGACGAGGTGCTGTTTACGCTGAACCCAATCTGCTGTTCAGAAGCAGCCGCTCATTCAGCAGCTCCTACAGGTGTGTATGCTCCATGCTCCTATCAGCATGGAATCCTCCATGCTGAGGCTTGCAGTGCTCCCACTGCCGCCGCCCTGCAGGCCCGGCCTGGAGGACGCCGCAGCTCAGGGAGGCGGCGTGGCCACCATGATGGCTGAGGTGAGGGAGCGGGACCCGGCGGCGGCGGCAGCGGAGGCAGTGGCGGGCGGCAGGGCGCTGGATAAGCTGACGGCAGCTGGCGGCGGCGGCGGGACGGCAGCGGCGGCGGCAACGGCGGTTGAGGGATACGTGCCGGGATCAGGGAAGCGGGGAACCCAGCAGGCGGTGGCTGTGGAGGCGGCGGTGAAGCCGGTTAACGGCAGCAGCAACAGCAGCGCCTCGGCGGTCCCAGTGGTGGCGGAGGCGGGGCCTAGTGGCTCGGAAGCAGCGACGGGAAGGCCAGCCACGACAGCGGCGACAGGTACGGCAGCGGGTACGGCGGGCACGGCGACGTCATCGGGATCCGTGGCGGGGGTGGCAGCAGGTCCGCAACCCGTGTTGAAGTCTAGCCTGAAGAAGAAGGCAGCTGGTGCGCCCTTGGGCGCCAAAGCTGTAGCAGGCAGGGCTGTGCCTGAGGCGGCTGCAGCAAAGCCGGCGCCGGCGGTGGAATCGGTAGCGGCAGCACCAGCAGCGGCGGAGGCACCGGCAAGGGCTGCAGCAGCAGCGGCCTCAGCTGTGGATGGGACCAAGGTTGGTGGGCCCAGTGAGGCTGAAGACGAGGAGGCGGGCAGGATCAAGGAGAAGGAGAAGCGACGCGTTACTTTCGGTACCAAGGTGCGGTCTGGCCTGAGGAGGATACGAGGATGCGAGGGTGGACGAATTGGAAACCAGAGGAGTAAGGGTATTCCATATTAGTAAAACGAGGGACGTACAAGGGATTCTTGAGGGCAGTGTGTAGGCAGGCTCTGTCACTTGTACCGCTCCGCGCATGCGTCCGCACCTGCGCCCGGTCGTCTGATGCGGTGGCGCCCCGCAGGTGGAGTACAAGATGCCCTCGTCCTCCTCCCCAGCACCCGCCCCTGCAGCCCCCGCACCCGCCTCCACCGCTGCTTCCGCTGCTGCTGCGGGAGCTGCGACCCCGCTGGAGCAGCCCGTGCTGGTGTTCGATGTGGACGATGCTGATGAGGGGGCGGATGAGGCGGGGGCGGGGGCGCTGCAGGGGCAGCGGCGGCGCGGGCCGGCGCACGGGCCCCTGGGGACACTGCGTGTGGCGGAGGCGGCGGCGGTGGTGCAGGCGGCGGTGCAGGAGGCGGTGGTGCAGGCGGCGGTGCAGGAGGCGGACGGAGGCGCAGTGACGGGCGGCTTGACGGACGAGGAGCTCGCTGCGTCCATGAGAGGTGGGGGCGCATGGCAGCATGGGGCTTTATGCTGTGTAATTTCTTTGCTTTGTGAAAAAACAGTTTGGGCGTGGCAATCCTCCCATCCGTGTTCCTAATGGATGAGGTGGGCTTAAGCCGCTTCCCAGGTCGTACTCAGCAAATCAGCTGGTGTCGCTGTCTGCACGCCCATGCCTCGGGGGTACTGGTGTCCTTTCCTAATTCCCACGTCGACCCATGGTTCCTTGTTGCAGAGGCCGCGGCGCCCGGTGTGAGCCCCCGCGCCATGCGCATGTGGTTCCCGCCCTCAGCCGGCGGCATGGGTGTGGGCAGGCGCCCGGCCGGCGGCAGCAGCGCCGCTAGGCGACCTGCCCAGCCGCAGCCCCCCCAGCGGCTTCAGCCCTCCCAACAAGTGGACCGGCACGCAGCCACTCCTGCTGCGGTGATCGCAACCGCTGCTGCCACTGCTATCGCCAACCTAGCCAAGGCGCCAGCTCCATCCGCCGCCACCGCAGCCCCAGCCGCACCCGCGTCCTCCTCCGCGGCTTCCCAATCCTCAACACGATCCGTACCTTCTCTCTTGCCGACTCCCTCTGCCTCAACAGCTCCTTCCGCAACCTCCCTGCCTGCCTCCTCCTCAAGCACTTCATCCAAGCCCAGCGGCTTGCGGCGCTTCCTGCCTGCTGCGCCCCCTCGCCGCAAGGTCGTGTTCCTGGACCGAGGGGGCGCGGAGGCCGCACCCTCGGCGCCCGGGTCCTCTGGCACAGGACGGGATACCGTCGCTGATGCTCCTCAGCAGCGGCAACCAGCAGCATCAGCTCCCGCAGCCGACACGACTACCACCGATGCCCTTCTTAAAGCCGTTACCGGCAGCAGCAGCACCGGTTCGCACCACCAGCCAGCTGCCAACGCGCGAACGCAGCCCTCTCCTCCACCTGCTACAGACGCCGCTGCAGGCGTCATGGCAGCTGCGGGCCCTTCGCATGGGGGCACCGTTACCGACCCATGGGCCCCCTGGGCGCCGGCACCTGCATCCTCCTCCTCCTCATCTGGGTCTGGATCCGTTCCCAAGGTGCATGTCGTACACATTCGCAGCGACAAGCGGCCTCCTGGCGGCGGAGTGCCCATACCGCCGGAGAATCAGCCGTACTTTTCTGAAGAGGAAGACGAGGATGATGGGGGCAATGAGGGGAACGGGGAGTACGACGAATATGGGCGGTTGGTACACGACGACCGAGATGCCGATGAGGTGGCGGATGACTTGTACGCGGGGACGTTGCGAGCTGCGGACGATGAGGAGGAGGAGCAGGAGGAGGGGGGGAGGGGCGAGGCGGAGGAGCGGTCTGCGAGCGCAACGTCGCGACCACGGCCCGCTTCCAACTGCTCCCATAGCAAGGCTAAAGCGGGGGCTTGTGCCAGGACGTCTGACGTCAGCGGGACTAGCGGAGGTAAGCCTGCTGCTAGCGGGAACAAGAGCAACAGCAACAAGAGCAGCACCAACACCGCGACTAGCTGGTGGAAGGAGCAGCGGCAACAGCAGCAGCAGCAGCAGGCGCGGAGCTCGGCAGCAGTGGCCGGGCCCCAGCTGACGACACGCCAGCCAGGGTCCGGGGCGCGCGGAAGCGCCTTGCCCTCCGCCCCTCCTCCTGACCCAGCTGCTGCTGCTGGCGAGACCGGGGCTTCGCATCAGCCCACAGCTGGATCCCTGGACACCATCGCAGGGCCTACTGCTGCCTCCGCTGCTCACACGCGAGGAGGAGCCGGCGAAGAGGAGCAGGCTACTAGGCTGGCTGCTACCGCTGCTGCTGCTCCGGGAGCCTCCGTTTCCACCACCGCTTCCACTTCAGGGACAGCGATTCCTCCCACAACACAGGCGGTCGGTTTGCCTAACCCTCGCACGGAGGAAAAAGAGGTTAGCGAAAGGCAGCCAGCTGCTGCTGCGGCTGCTGCTGCTGCGGCTGCTGCTGCTGCGGCTGCTGCTGCTGCGGCCTCCGGCGCCATCCCGGCTGGTAACGGCGAGGAGGCCTGCGCTGCAGCAGCCGGGGAAGAGGAGCGGGCACCGGGGGATGTGTCCTGGCCGCTGCGGGACGACCTGGATTCGGACGAGGAGAGCTGGGGAGCGGGCAGCGATGCAGACGAGACCGCCTCCCGTACCTCCGCCTCATCCGCGGATGACTATAACTACAAGTGGGTGCGGTAGTAGCGGGTTGGGCGCGAGGGGAAGGGTGCAGGGTGGCTGAGAAGCAAGGGGTCTTGCCTGTTAAGCTGACAGATGAGGTGTCGCTGGATCATTCCACTCCATATCCGCTACGTGCTTGGAGGTACACCCCGAACTGGAAAGCTCATATGACCTTGCAATCAACATCTACCCAGCCCTTACCAACCGCACGCACCTTCTTGAACCCTGCCGCACCCCTCCCCCTCCCTCACAGGTCCATGCTGCCGTACTTCCACCGTACGGCACAGCATTACCACACCGTGCTGTCGCCCTTCAACCAGGTGCAGCTGGCGCTGGTGGGCTGGGTCAACAGCCGCACGGTGGCCTTCGTGGTGGGGGTGGGACTCGGACCGCTTCGGGATCCCGGGCCGGCGCTGCCTGACGTGGCGTATGCGGCCGACGGAGGTGACGGCGGCGGCGGCGCGCCAGACCCGGCGGCGGTGCAGGCGCGTGCCGTCCTGTGTCAGCTGCTGGCGGCGCCGCTGCGGGAGTGCTGCGGCGCGCTGGCGGTGCGGGCGGCGCAGAGCGATGTGGACCGAAAGATCGCGGCGCTGGTGGCTACGTTCAGGTGAGGGAGGCGGGAGAAGGGAGGTCAGGACGTAGCGCCGGCTGAGAAGGGCTGGGAAGGCGATGATTGATGCTGCCGGTATGCAGCAGCAGGAGGTCTTACAGAGCCTGTTATGCTGCGATTCGTAGTGCTTGGTGAACGACAGAGGCTCTGGTTAGGTGATAACATCGCACCTGCATGCGTTCAGCTGGGGCGAACGACGCGGCGTCAAGTAAAGTCGAGCCCCGCCATCTTTCTTTTTACTTAAGGCGCCCCATGGCCCCTATTGCCCCTCCTCCCTCACAGGCTGTCTGGCCCCGTGCCCGGCTTCAAGCCGCCCCAGTGGCAGCTGCTGGCGCTCGCCCTCCTCGCCGCCCTGGCGCAGCACCACATCCCGGCACTGCGGTCCAACATCTACGCAGCCGCACCGCCGCCCGCATCCCCGTATGCTGCGCGCGCCGGCAGCAGCAGCGTGGAAACAAGCGGTTGCGAGGGGTCTGCTGTGGGTACCACCGGCGCGGTCGCCACTGCGGCGGCGGCGGAGGCGCAGGCGGCTCCAGCGTTGCGGGCGGGTGGCGGCGGTCTGGGCTCCGGCGGCGCGCATCCTCGGCTGGTGGCGTTGCTGCAGCGCGTTGGGTTCGACGTGCACTACCTGGGAGCTCTGGTGGACTTGTTGACGTCTCCGGAGTTTTAGTTGACGTGGCTGGTGGGGTTGTGTGTAGGTGGTGTGTGCGGGCGCTGAGGTTGCGAGAAGAGGCTGAGGAGCTGCGTTGGAGGGCATGCCGAATGGTGCCTTGGGCAAGGGCAGGTGGTTGGGTGGTATGCGCGGTTGCAGCGCCGTGTGGATTAACTGCGCTGCGACCCGTGTATGCTACATCGGAAGGCTGCCTGGTGCAAACTCCTTATTAACGATGCGTCAGCGCCTTAACCTGCAGTTAAAACCTTACAGACGTATGTGCAGCAATGCCTATTTACCTGTCGTCACGTAATAACGTCACACAAAGCTCCTATATTTTACTTTGACACCATCGCAGTTATATCCACGTGGGGCATATGCATGCTGGAGTGGTAGAAGCCACAGGTATATGATACATGTTTCTGTGCAAACGAAAATGTACAAACAAAAATTCCGCAAGGGTAGCCAACTAGCCATCCAGCTCTGCGTCGTTCAACATCATTTTATGCTCTCTAGAGCTAATACTTCGCTTCTTGCAAACAATGATTAGTACAGATCACGTAAGAAATTATCAGGCGTTGCCAAACACACTCCTATCTAAGCAACCGCTTCGGCTTTAATCTTAACCACAAACACCCCAACGTCACCTAGCCATCTGCTGTACGATGCCGTATCATCACGAATGCTGCGTTATCTGCGCTGTTTACCACGGACCAAAGTGCGGCGCCAGCGAGTCCTTGAATGTCAGCCAGCGTGTGTTGTTGGCGACAGACGCGGCCTTGCGGTCAACATCTACCACCATGGGGTAGCCCTCTTCATAGCGCTGCAGAACCACGTAGTCTCCGGCGTTGGGGAGCGCTAACGGCGTGGAAAATTCCACATACACGGAGGGCATCGATCGGCCCCCATGGGCCACAGACAGCTGCACGTCCGCAGGCACACTCCGATAGCCCTTGTCGTAGGCAATGATCAGGGAGTACCGGGCGCGCATGCCACCTGGCCTGATCAGGCCCAAGACAGGTGGTTTAGCCCCCAGCTGGGTGAAGAGAGGCGTGCTTCCAGCATTGCCGCCCGCCCACCGCCATCCCGAGACAGGGGGCTGTTGAGGCACGCCAATGCGTGTAGGATCCAGGCATACAACACCATTGTCCGAGACCTTCCGGCAGCCGCCGCCCCAGCCAAGATCAGGCGTGCTGTCGATGAGCAACACATCGATGTAGACACCGCCTGTGTCGGTTGTTGGAGAGCCGGCGCACGTCACGGTGCCCGAGCGCTGTAGCATGATGCCCGTTCGCCGCTTAGAGGCGGAGCCGCCTGCTGCCAACAAGGATGCGATGCTGGACGAGAACTCCACGTACATCCAAGGGGCGCAGTACGCGTCGTACATGCCACCACTCAGCGACATGGTCACGTCGCTGGGCTGCGAGCGAGTGCCATCGTCGTATGTGAAGACGACTTGGTACCTGACGCTCATGCTGCCATGTGCCCACAAGTCAAGCTGGCCGTAGCTGTTCTGGCAGCTACCAGCAGCGGCACCTCCCGCACTCCGCATACACGCCACGGGTGGGGCGACGTCTGTGGAAGGGTTAGTTTGGCAATTAAGGGGAAGTGGGCGGGGTCAACAATAAGGAGTTGTCTGCTGGGGGTATCTATCCTGGCCGGCAATCGTATGTAGTGGTAGGGAATACAAATTGAGTGCTTCTGGTAAGCCGCCGCTTACCCATGCATGCATGCACCTAGGAATGTACTTGGCAGGTCTCTGCTGAAAGTTAGCATTAATGGTCTCACTATACGTACAGGAGCCCAAGGCAGCAGCTGCACCCCCGCTGGCGAACCCAAGGTACGTAAGGAAGCTAGCATGCGGTAAAATACACATACGCTTCTCGTTCTTATGCCCACACTTGGCTGCATGCATGCATACCTTGGGTTGTCATGTCTCTTTCAGTCCACGCCCAAGAGCCATCTGAGCGGGCCAACACTTTGCCACTCGCGTCCGTCAACGACATGATGGCCTCGGCGGGGTTCGGAGCGCTTCCCACATTCACACAGCGCACTTGGATGAGGTTGGGGCCCGGCTGCAGAGAGAGCGCAATGGGGGCCACCACCTCATCGGAGCCCCATCCAGCCGAGATCCTCGCCCATCCGCCCGTCACTTTGCCTCCCACTTGGAGTCCGTTGAGAAAGACGTAGCCCTCGTTGTCGATGGCGAGGTTTAGGTAGGCCGTCAGGGCGCTGCTTGCCTCTACAACTTTGCTGAACGTGGTCGCAATGTTGGTGGGTGCCTGCCGTATCGCTCCCGCTCGCGACCAAATCCATTGAGCGCTGGGATCAACGAAAGAGTAGAAGTACCATGGGGGCGATCCCGGACCGCCCATAAGGCCCACGGCTGGGGTATGGTAAGGAAAGCAGGCAGGGGTGTAGGATTGTCAGGTTAGGCGAGAGGGTTAGCAAGTGAAGGGATTTCAGCTGCTATATCTTCCACTAGATGAGGATCAGGCTCTGGAAGTTGGAGATAGCCCTAACACCTGACTGCTGGCTTTCCAGTCGTCTGGCTGCCAAATGCACCACCCCAGGCGATGCCCCTTTACTCACGTCTCACGCCTCCCGACACCAGTGCAGCGTCAGGGTAGAAACCAGGTCCCGATCTCCCCTCACGCTTGAGCTGGCAGGCTCCACTGCTGGGCTCGAACACCCAGAAGCGGCAGACGGGGTCGCCAGAGCACGCAGCACAGCATTCCGTTTGAGACGCCATGACGAGAGTTCGGATTGTGGATGCATTTGTACCGTAGCCGGTGCCAGTCAGGGCAGCGGAGCACACTGCGTACATGCGGGTTGGAAAAGAGCGAGGTCAGAATGAGGGTTGCGCTGGTGGGTGGGGATTGACAGGTAGAGTTCATATACTGAAGTGCATGCCTGCAGCGGCTCACACCATCGACAAAATAGGCGCCCAGAAAAACATAAGATCCTTCTTAGGAAAATGCTTAAGCTGTCACTTCTCACGACTACTTGACACGCGCCAAGTAAGGAGTGCATACCTGGGGGGAAGGGCGATCGCGGGGAGGGCGGTGGCGGCGGCGGCGGGTTTGGGGAAGGATGCGGCGGAGAAGGAGGTCGCGATGAGGGTCGCAAAGAGCGCCGTGGTGGGGGGCGGCGATGGGAGCAGCGTAATGATCGTAGCTGATGCTGTGGTAGGGACGGTGGCGTTGGAGACGGCGGCATAGGGGTAGGGGATGGCAGTGGGACAGGAGGTGACGGTTGGGAAGGTGTCACACCGCTGCTGCTGCTGCTTCCGAGTTGCAGGTCGCTAGCTTGCGCATTGCTGCTGGCGGCTGCTGGCGTTGCCGCAGCGTGCGCCACCAGCAACACCAGGACGGCAGTTACAGCGTGCTGCTGCATGTGTTCGTGCAGCTGCCCTGCACGCCCACGACCGGGTTGCAAGCGTTGCATGTTCAATTCGTTGCGAAAACGAGTGCGTGTTTTGTTACATGCTCGCGGTCAGTAAGGCAAGATGAAAGGTAGTGCCTCCAAGACCGCAAAGTAGAAAGTAATGTGGGCGGCCCACAAAATTATCGCGACATTTTCTATCTGTCCGTACCTACCGTACGTACGTCCCAGGTCGATCAGCGTTACTGTCGGCTGGTTGCCTTACTTGGTCTGCGAAATGCTAATGCTGTCTGGCGTCCTAGGAAACCACTACGTACTGCAGACTGATTTGCTGTTTTCAGACTATGACTGCTGTACGCTATATATAATAGGATTGCGGAGCACTTATACTCCAACCGCAGTGCGCGTACGGCGGGGCCTGGCGAGGCCCCGTTTGGCCTTCGGCTGCTATCGTTGCTTTGTCCTAGGCAGGCCTGGCCTGGCCTCTATCTAATAAGGCCCGGGCAGGCCTTGCCGGTATTTGTTTTGCAAGGCCTCACGATCGAACTCGGACCTCACGGTTTCGGTGAAGGCAGCGGTTATGAGGTACGTACATTCTCTCGTCTGGACGATACACAGTGCTTGGGCCGACCCATGGGTCAGTGTATCCAAATGCTATACACTGGTGGTAATTACTTTCGGGCAGCTTTTGCTCGTGTCATGCTATCCTATTGGGTGTTTATGCAGTCATGTCGTGGGCCTCATGCATCGGGCAGCTGTAAACCCTCGAAGTATCTTCGCGCTAGCCATAGGAAAGTAACCTCGTTCATCGGTGCGTCAGCGGCCACTGGGAACTTAGTATACCGTATTGCCCAAAATTTAATTGACATGCGTTTGAAGGCCTATTTTCCAGCCCCATTTGCCCCATTTGACTTCCTGATGGCGAATTTCTAGCCCCATTTGACCTGCGCCAAAACGCCCCA